GGGGGGGGGGGGGAGGGCTTTTTAGCTATGCTCGTTGCCTCGTCCCAGCCACCAAAAGTGATTATTACTACGTATCTATAGGTAAGGTAGATGCAAAGTGGATGCGGCTAAAATCTATGATGCTGAAGCGGAGAAGGTCTGCCAAACCCACCTCCCACATCACAGGTACCCCCTTGGTCTACCGCTTTATGCCGCGTGTAAAGTTTTGCTCCCCATCTGTGCTAAAACAACATTCCTCGCTCAACCAGCAACTGAAATCAGATTATATTCTTCTACGAATGTACTACAACACCCAGCCAAGGCCAGTTTTGTGTCCCTTCTACTTGTCGAGCCTGGGTAGGTCAGTAACCTCTTGAGCCGTTAGGCCAGTGTCTATACTCCTCGTGTCGCTCGGGTATGGGGGCTGAGGGTAGCGTTGGGTTGGCCGAGCCATTTATGGCTGTTGATAGTGCGTTGGTTGGGGTTGATGTTGCCAACGCTCCGGGTGAGAGTATGACGGGTGTGGTGGCGGTTGAACCGGTAACACTGGTGTTTGTGGCAAAGGGGCTGATTCCGCCGTTGATGGTGTCGACGTTTTTGGTACCGAAGGCTGTGGGACTGATGAGCTTGCTTCTTGTTTCGCAGCTTCTTCGGCAGCAGCCTCTCTGGCCTTTTGCTCAGCAATTTGCCTACTTCTCCTCGCGTTCGCAATCAAGTCTTTAAAGGAAGAGTCGTGCTTTGCCGCCCAAGCGCCACCATCAAAATCTTTGTCCTTGATTTGAGCGCCTGTGCTGGCTGCTTTGGAGCTGGTGGGTGCCATGGTGCCTATAGTCCTTTCCCACACCTGCAAATCCTGAAATAGAGCCCCGCGGGTCTTGGGATTGGCAGAATCGCAGTTCGCATTCCAAAGTGTGAGCCACTCTCGGTGTCTTGCTTCGAGCATCGTTCGGTTGCCAGCAGTGGACAGACCCAGCTCTCGCATGATTTTCCGAAGAGCCTGATCCTTCACCATAGAGTATTGAAGAGTTGGGAGACGCTCGGGGGCCTTGGCAGCCGCGGCTGGTGGTCTCTTGGAGGGTGATCGCAGGGCAGAGGTGATCGAGCGGCTGGCGGCTGGCGTGCGTTTTGGCTGAGGCTGAGGTTCACCTGGACACGAGGTGTCAAGATGTCTGTCGACAAGAACTTCTTTCATGCGCTGTTCGCATATAGGGCACGCGACCAGTCCGTCATCTGAGAATCAGTTAGCCTTGTCCTCGGCGGCTAGAACGGGCCCAACGTACTAGGCTCTGGCACATATTCATCTTCCCCATCATTGTCATCTTGCAGGTCACCCTCCGAATCCTCAATAGTCAGTTGACTGGATGCTTGTGGTTCCCTTGCCTTGCGATTTCTCGTAGACCTCCTTGGCCGTTTGCTTTCCTGAAACTCGTCGTCGGAGTTGTCCACATCGGTCGCTTTTCTCTTAGGAGATATCGGTAGAGCCGGCGTTGGCGTTCTTGCGAATTTGAGAATGCTATCTCGGACTCCCCTAAATGCTTCGACTGCCTCTCGCAGGGCACCGTTGCCCCGCAGTTTGGAGAGGTCGACAGTCTTCCGGCAAAGCGGGCATTTGCTATCGGCGGTAAGACACCTCCTAATACAAAGCGAACAGAATGTATGGCTGCAGGAGGTAAGCATCGGTGTTGTGAAGAAGTCCTTGCAGACATGGCAGCGGAGTGCCTCCTCGACGGACTTCAAGCTGGCGAGCGGCGTTCCCAACCAGTCAGTCGAATCTGATACCTCCACCTCCATCTAGGCTAATGAATTTGAATTAAAAAGATTAATCCAAGATCGGCTGAACGCTGGTGGACCTGGAATGTGTTGCCGCGCTGCTGCTGCTTAATTCTGGAGGTGAACAAGGAAGGACAAGGACAATCCAACACTCTGAAAGCTGCAAATGGTGATGCGCGACGCGACCTATTCTTTGCTGAACGCGACGGAGCCATTAAACTTAAAGTGGGTCCTGGTTGCCACACCTAGCAATTCCCTTGAAGATCGATCAATCCAAACGTCAATACCCTCGTGGATATCTATCCTCTCTTTCAAATTGTTTCGAGTCCAATTCAGAAAACTCAATGTTGCTTCTCGATGACTTTCACTCTGATGTTCCAAATCTTGCTGCTCATTCCTGAAGCTGCAGCCAACCCTAGATGTGTTGGTCTTTCAATTGCCCATTAACCACTCGACTCGTACCATACGCATGATGAATTCAGCCAAGGAACCATTTTCATAGACGCTGGTCTGTTCACCATATGCGAAGCGTTATTCTTTGAGACGCTACAAGATACTGGTACACCATACAAGCACATGTGGACTGTCTCATTATTATCGCCATACTCCTATCAGCTATCTTCTACTAAACCTGGCACCGCACTTGCTCTCAGGGTCTGCCATGTAGGCAACACCAATTTCCCCGCTTCACGTCAAGTTCCTTTGCAAGGGGACCTTATACCAAAAACGAGTCTCTATCCGGACTCGATAAGAGGTAAATGGCACTGCCTCGTCTCAGAGGCGTTGTTTTGACTTCATCGTTCCCTCCAGCGGTTGCTGCAGATTTAAGCGTACCATGACCTAAGTACCGGTAAGCTCAGCAAAATTGCATTATCTTGGTAATGGGCCAGCAGCTTCTAAAAGATGGATATCAAATCTGGATTGTTGCTGGCGCGCAGAGGCACCGTTAACATTGAGGCCTAACGGAGATCAATTCAGGATTGTGGTGGACGCCTATGTCCATGGGATCATGTTTGGCGAAGGGTTGAAAAAGGGAGAGCTGAAAGCGATAGAGCTTGCATGATGTGCTATCTTTTAAGGCCTTTAACCAAGTAGGTGCTAATTTCCATGTCCTAATGAATAGAAATAGAAGTTATGGTGTAAATATCAGTCCTGTACATAGCACTGGCATGCAACCCGGAGAAAAGGTTATTGAGTGCAGATGGGCAAAGAAGAATGAACTGAAACAGGTCCAGTGCCCCGCACGTGAACAGGCGTCGGAGTTGAGCGGGAGGACCCCACCAAAATGCTCCAGGTTGCACCTTTCCTGTTTTGGAGGGAATCAAAACAATGGCTAACCAGATCAAGACGACCCGCTCTGCAAACCCACAACTTTCGCAAAGCAACCATCAATCCTCACCCTCCCTTCCCTGATGGCTCCTGGTAATCCCTTCTGAGTCTTACAATCCACCCACTTCCTCGCTCTTGTCTTCTTGTTATTTTTGTTGCTTCCCTTTCTGCAATTGTCCTGTACGCCCTTGGTTGACCTTCGAGACGCGCCGAACAAGCCCAAGAGCCACGAAAACGCCATACCCCATTACCGATCACGGCGACCTCACTCGACGAACAATGGCACTTCGAGGGGGCCCTCGACTTCAGGTCGGGTCGGCCGCCTGGGTCGAGGAGGAACGGAACTCTGCCCTCGACATCGCCGAGTCAGAGATAGAAGAATTCTCTTTCTCGGCGCGAAATGAGTTAGATTGGTTGAATGAGCACATGGCCGAGATTTTCTCAGAAAACCAGATGTATGGTCTTGCATGATGATTTAGCACGACGATGGAAATGCTGCTGACTACATTTGACAGGAATGTCGCTGAACTCTTCAAAACACCCGGAAAATTGCGTGGGAAAACGCCCATGACAACACGGAAAATCAGACCCTTGGAAACTCGCGTGGTAGGCAAATGTGGTTGGAGGCGGATATGACGCGTCAAATGCTAACTGGTATCTTGAAGCCACTGTCCGATGTCTTTTCATCAACACCAAAGGACGCGCCTAATTCATTCAGCAGCACTCAACGTCAAAGCCCAGCGCGATTGCCACAATTTCAGGTAGCCGAAGACAAGCCCGAGCCCACAGTTTCCAAGAGTACCAGCCCAGCAAGGATTTTAGCGCCCCCTCCTGCCCTAGCTGTTGCGGCCCCATCTTCCCTCCTGTTCACGGACTCCGGTTATCATGGCAGCCAAAGTTGCGACACGGTGAATTTGGATTATTGTGACAAGGACGATGACGTCGATATGGTCGACAGCCCACAGCCTGATGTCGAGACAGGAGATGGCGAACCCAATGTCCCCAGCGGTCTTGCAGAACAACCGAGTCCAACTCTGACGTTCGCCGAGGACGAATTTGACGCTGCTGATGAGAACGAGACACGCCAGCCTACAACCTATGCCTCAGCCAGTGGTGGCTTCTCTTCGGAAATGGGACAATCCAGCAGTCCTGTTGTGGTTCGAACTAAACTCGCAATGATGTCGCCAAGAGTACCATCTCCTAAAAAGACCGAACACCCTGCCAGGTTGTCACCCGTCAGAACATCACCGCAGAGGCAAGCGCCGACGAAGCCAGCGTCGCCCCAGAAGTCGTCTTCATCGCCTCGAAAACCATCCCCTCCAAAATCGTCGCCTGTAAAGCAGACCACGTCTAGTCTTCCGAGGGGTTTCCCGAAGCCTACGGAACATTTTTCTAGCGAAAGACACGAGGAGTCGGAGGAGGATGCCGAGGATGCTAGGTCACCATCAGAGGCCTCAAGTCCCATCAGGCCATTGGTGCGCAAGAGCAGTCTGAGCTTCGCCTCTCTGCCCGCCCGCGAGCCATTGGCCTCTAAGAGCGGCAGCCGGATATCTAGGACGAGCCATTTGGATTTCAGTCGCCCAAGCTTCTATAATCGCCACACTGGTGGCAAGAGCCTGGGCAACACCAGACAATACTCAGATGATGATGACAATGAGGACATGGATGTCGACGAGGAGCTCACTGCTCAGCTGGAAAACACCACCAGGATAGCGGAACACAGCAAGACTTACACTCAGCTGTTGCATGATCAGATCAGCATGTTGGGCAAGTCTCAGACTGCTGGCCCAAGACCTTCCAAATCACTGGCGAATCTCTTCGTTCCGCCAGCAGGTCAGACGCAGGCCAACTTGGGATCCGTTACAGAAGCCAAGCTGAAACAATCACCCGCAAAACCGAATGCACCAGCTCCTACTCCCGGAGCATTCCCAGTGGACGATGACGAGGACTGGATCGCGGCCCCAAGTAATGTTGTCACTACAGCCCCTGCCGTGGTGCCATATAACCCTCGTCCTGAACTCCGCAAGAGCCTCTCCGTCGAAGATATGGAGAATGTGGCAGGCAAGTCGTCGGTGAGCGATACTGAGCATGATATGCCCCCCAGCAGCCCCGCCACCGCTTGGAAAGCCCAAGCTAGCCCACAGTGGCAGAACAGCACTCCGGGGCATTCGAAGTCCGCATCTGTGCCTGCTTTTCCGACACTTGCGCAACTTGAGGGCGGTGATGGTGCTACTCTCAAAAAGATCGTGACGGCAACCCAGCCAACTCTGCCCTCTGTCGAAGAGGATGGTCGCATGCCAACACCCAGCAAATCGCCTACTCGCAGTGCTTTCCGAGACAACCCCCTGAAGCAGGTTAAGAATAAGCTGTCTTCCCTGTTGAGTAGCGCCAAGAACTTGAATGTAAGAAGCGCAGCCATCAGTGCTGAAGGCAAAGCTATGATCTCACCTTCCACTGTGCAGCTTGGTATTCATCCAGGACCATCTGTTGAGTCTTTCAGATCGGTAGACAACGTGATGTACCCCGACCTCACACAGCAGCTTTCATCCACTTCCCGACCACTGAGTCCAGTCAGGTCCAACAGCACCCGGAGAACTAGAGCGTCTACCGAACGAGAGAAGATCGAGGCCAAGGAGCGGGAGAAGGATTCTAGAGCCAAAGAGAAGGAGATGAAAGAGGTGAGGCGAGCAGAAAAAGAACTGGAGAAGTTGGATAAGGCACGTAAACAAGAGGACGAAAAGGCGCGCGTGTTCAGCAAAGAGCAGGAAAGACTTGCTGCCATGGAAAAGCAAGTGGCCCTGCAGAAGGACCGAGAGCAAGAGCAACAACAAGCACGTGCAGAACAAGCTCGCGCCGCTCATTCTCAGTACCGACCCCAACCCCAGGATTTACAAACACCGGCACCATCACGAAAGGCACTTCCGAAGGCGCTTCCCAAGTCGACCCGAACCAGCCCGGGAAGGGCCAACCGCCAAGCCGATGATCAAGGTCTCTCTGATGAGGGTGATGTCGATATGGCCGATGCGACCTCGACAGTCACTATGGCGATGCCCCCGTCTTCCATTCAGCGACCCACGACTGCATCGTCAGTCAGGACGCAGGGCATCAAGCGCCCAGTCAAGCCAACCAAGGAGACGCTCTCTAAGACGACTCGACAAGCGCCAACCGTCATGCGCGTTTATCCTCCCAGTTCTCAACAGTCTCAGTTCCATCCTTCAAATAGCGTCCTGGCCTCCAACCTCCAAGAGACATTAGGTCAGCCACAGCAGCAGCCACCAATGCATGTGAAGAACAAGACCAGCCAGAGTTCATTGAACGAGAAGAAGTCATTGCCCAATCTCAAGACATCAGCCTCTTCGGCGGCCTTGAAACGGAAGGAGCAAGAGGAGCGCGAGGCTCAACGGAAGCGTGATGCCAAAGCCGAGCTTGAACGGAAACGCATTGCTGCCCAGAAGCAAGAGCAACAGAGGGAGCGTATTGAAAAAGCCAAGGCCACCAGAGCACCCCCTCCGGCTGTTAGGTCACAGCCGAACGGGCCTCCTGATTACAGCATGGCAGACAAGGTTCCTGTGCGGCCTCCTTCTCGGCTGGGTTCCACTATGCATCAGGAAAGTCGACTTGTCAATCAGAGTTTGGCAAGCGGGAAAGCGCCTATGAAGCGTCCACACCAGCAAGAGAATGAGGGCTTTTCCAAATCCAAGTCACAAAAGACCACCCAGGAGACCAAACCTATCAGAGTGAGCGAGGACTTTGACCAAGACATTGAGATGGCCGACAGCCAGCAGCGGACAATGAAGCCACCGTCTATGAGGCCGTCGGCTGGGTTTAAGGTGAGTCGACCGGCAGGCCCCGTGGCGGTTGTAATCTGGGAGGATGCTAAACGGATCACTCAGGACCCTTCCAACAAGTCCATGTTCTCGACAGGCTATGCCAACGTGCCTCCGCCCAGTGCGAGTAGAGACCTTTTCAAGGCCACCGTCACAGCACAGCATCACAGCACCGTCAAGCCGGCTTTGCACAACACAGCCCAATTCGCCAAAGGTGCCATTCCCTTTGCGCCCAACCGCCCTACAGGACAGGCGGCAAATCCCCACAAGACCCCTGCTCGGCCTGGCGCTGGTGGTATTCCAAAGTCAGTCAACAGGACTGCGACTCGGTCATCTCCCCGTTTCCAGAACGGCGAGGCTATTGAACTCCCTGAGATTCAGACGGATGACGATGACGATGATGAAGACGAGCATATCATGGTGGCCGATTGGGCAGATTCACCAGCTCTCAAACAGGCATTGCTGGCACAAGAACGCATGGACCCCATGCAAGTCTTTGGACCACCGGCCCCACTCAACATGGAGGAGGTATTTAGCAAGAGCAAGGACAGATGGCACAGATTCAGGGCGAGAACGAGCTCGGCCAACTGGAGTGGAACGGATAGGTTGACAGAAGACGAAGTCAGAAAGGATAATATGGCCAGAGACAAGATGAGACGGGATGGTGGGTGGAGTTACGAGTTGTCCAAAGACATTTCAGGATAACATTCTGAGGGGAGATGCATTGTTGGGAGTTTCATTGTTTTAATCTTTCGGTAACAAGTGTATCATATATGTTGTGGGGAATTAGAGATATCAAGGCAAGGGTCTCATAACGACAAAGGTGTTTCCATGTACATCTCGGGAATGAATGGTCAGCATGACGGAGCGCATGGAAGGAAAGATATCAAGTTTGAATAGGAGTATGCTATGTATGGCCGGCCCTGTTGAACTTCAATCTGGCGCCACTTGCAATCTTGTTCTGTGTCTTGCTTATGTCCGATGTGTTTCGTTAGCGGATTTCGTCGTCACAACCCTAACCCGGACGATGCCTTGATGTTCTTCACACGTCCTTCGCATCTTGAAGTAAAAGACCCGTTCCATGTTTGAGGTGTTCGTAGGATGCCCAGAGTTGGCTTGCTGAGTACGCATCACACTGTTGTTATGCAAGCTGACGTTACGAGGGTTCTCGGGTTCTGGCAGATGACAAGTTCATCTCCCCCACGATAGTATAGCATAGCCTCAGCCCATCCGGGACTGGTCATCCTATCATTTAAATGTCCCGTGACCTGATGCTTCAGCACAATAGTCACTGGAACCATTTCTGGCCCTCAAGATCTCCAATCTGAATATGATGGAGGGGGGAAGAACACCTCGTGCGGAGATATCATGCAATGATGATCAAGTGGAAATGAATGGGCGGGACTGAGGGCAACAGAATGATGGTGATAGTAGGATCTTAGGTGGGTAGTCCTAGGTTCAAGAAGAGGCGCCGATTATTACCCCGCAACCCACAAGTATGGGGTGAAAGGATTCGGATGAACTCCTACTTGTGAGATATAGCGGCAACAAGTGGTGATGACAGTTAGGACGCCTCACCGCTTTTCGCTCTCTTTCCTCTCAAGCAGCATCTCTTGCAGCTTTTGTACAAAGTACTATAGACACAGCTACCCTGCCTCGCCGGCCCAGGTTCACCAGCTTGAAAAAGGAAAAGCCAGTGGACCAGGCAGGGCGGGAACAGGGGACCAGCAGGTACGTCATATTCACTGTGACGCTGGTGTAAATAGAGCACGCGCTAATGGCGCCCCCCCTCCACGCCTTGCTCCCAGTTGCCCTTGACAGCTGAAGTAGACCCCACCTAATTGTTTCGATCAAGTGAGCTGCGGCAGGCGCCCTCTTTTTTGACTGTTGACCTGGCTGGAGATTGAGCACACTCCGAACAATACTAGGGTCGAGGTGCAAGAAGAGGTTACTACATACTCGGTGTCTTTTGTCATTATTTTGAAAAGCAGTCACTCTTTTCTCCGCATTCCAGAACCGGCGGTTTCCAGCTTGGCAGTTCCTGTCTCGCCTTCCTGTTGGTGAGTGAGGTAAGCCGAGCGACACGAGGATTGGGACTTACTGCCAGCGCGCGGCGTGTTTGTGTTCCCAAACGCATGCGCCTGTTCGAATTGCGGCTAACCACAAACCAACATTCGCAGTTTTCCAACACGCACCGAATATTCTCTGCGGAAACGGCTCGACTTGTCAGCACGACATCCTGCAAGCTCCTTCCACCTCTCATCACTTGCCTCCAACTGCTGGCTCCGCCGAGACCGAGTTCCTGCTCCCACCCAGCCAGCCCACTTTCGACTTTCATTTTTTTGTCCAATATTTGCCCCACCAAATAGTTCACGGTTTTGCGACTCGATCCCTACCCTCAACGTACTGTCACGGTTCCGCGACCTCCAAACAAACCCCTCGAGTTGCCTCTGTGCTAAACAACGCGTGCGAAGCTGTGCTTGAACGCGGCACCATTCCCACGTCGACACGATCTGGTTTCCCGCCCCCGCCCACGACAACTGCGTCGGGCCCCAATTGCCAGTCGACTATCCGACCATCCGGCACCGTTTGCCTTCACCCGGAATCAAACGGGCTCGGCCAGACAAGGGGGCCACCAAGTTTGTCCCCTTGCATAGCCAAGGCAACAGACAGTTCGCCATTTTGCTCTTTCACTGTTTGCTTGGGGATTTCCGACTTGGAACTTAGAGTGGAGGAAATTCTTCACCAACTTCGAATCTAAGCGCTTGCAAAAGTTGTTCCTACAGTTGGTATCTTTGGCAGGAAGGGGGACAGGTAGGGCGTGCCCTAGCCCAATATCAGATCACAATGGTCAAGCCAGATTTCGAACGCGATTACTATGCCGATCTCGAACTCCCATCCATGTCCGAGATCGAAGTGGTCAAAAAGCAATTCAAGAAGCTCGGTAGGAACCACCAAACTGGCTACTATTCAACATGATTTCGTGCTAACAACTCTTACGCAGCTCTTAAGTATCATCCAGATCGCAACATTGGCAACGAAGAACTATCGAAGGATAAGTTTGTGCTCATCCAAACAGCCCATGAGATCTTGACCGACCCCTCGCAAAAAGCAAAGTACGATGCCCACCGCGCGCGCTTGGGGCGATGGAGCGCCGCCTACGGCGGTGCGTCAGGCGTCAGAGGCAACCCATACATGAATACCTCTCAAGATATAAACTCGAAGTTTGGCGCACCTCCGCAGAGACGACCTCCGATGCCCACCCGGCCGACTACCACAGCCAGCACCGGGGGAGCTTCAAGATACTCGCAATGGCAGGCAAAGCCAAAGACGAAGACGGAGTCAATGAGGGAACAATCGAAATCGGAGGCTTGGGAAAGGTCCAGGGCATCAAATCCGCAAACTGCCTACGGGGCAACGCGCCCGGTCCCACCGAGACCGAGAGATGCTCCTCCGACCCCGAGGAGCGCGGCTCAGGAAAGACGGCAACAGGCTGCCTTTGGTGGAAACTCAACAAGGAAGACAGGATTTACACCATCATCACCAACAGGCGACGAACCGCCGGTTAAAAATCATCACTACAACACGTACACAGCCTCAGGGAGCACCTCAGCAGCCGGCGCTGCCCCTACTGACAAACCTCGGCCGACGTCTGAGTACGTTGACCCACTGACCCAACAATTCGGCGACACCTTCTTGGATAATCGGCAGAGCACGCCTTATGCTACCAATGTGGGGGAAAAGTTTAACCCATTCGAGCCTCTGAACGTCAACCGGGCCAAGAGCATGAAGGACAACGCGCGCAAGAATCCCGCTGAGGCGCCGCCTGCACCTCCTAATCGCCAACGAAGTGCCAGCGTGGGTTCTGACGGTTTCCGACGATCGAGCAATGAGAAGCCGCCATATCATGAGACAGCCACCAACCCCCGCTTTCCAGCTCAATCAAAGGCCAGCGCCCGGTACAGCCCCCGAACTGCCCAGCCGCCTGACTCCGCACCACCGACTACGGCTGGGTTTGGCGGAGCCGCCACCAGCTCTACCTCATCAGTCAATAGTAGCGCAAACGGTGAGACCCGAACCTGTTAGAAATGAACTTGTGCGTTGCTAACGTCATAAAGCCACAGTAAACGGAGGAGCTTCTGCTCAGGCCAAGCCTGGCCCCAAGGTGTATGCCGCACCCCTTTCTTCTCGTTACCCCTATCCGGACTATTTCAGCAGAGTTTCTCAGATTCCGCCTCCGTGTGGGTGGACTGGTGAGAAGTCTTGCCCTCGTAATACTGGATCTGGCGCTACCAAGCCTGGCGTCAACCACCCTCCAGAGAGCTCTCACGGCTACGATGCTTACAGTAAAATCAAGTACTCCTTCGCTTCCAGCGCGCAGCACAGCATGTATGAAACTCCAAGTGGAGTCCAGCGGGCTGGTTCTCGCTCGAGTCTTTTCGAAGACGACTTGACCGACCAACTGAATGTGTTGCTGGCCAAGAAGGGGACAAACTCTTCACGGAAACGCCCCAGACCAACTCAGGATGGGCAACAACCACAAAGGCCTACGTGTGATGCTAACGCCGGTCAAACTGTCAGTTTCGCGGTGCCCGACGACGATGACGACCCGACCTCTCCCATCCAAACAGCCCGGTTCGCGAGACACAGCGCCGATAATATCAATACGAAGTTTGTCGCCGAAGACAAGGGTAGGTTTGAGTTCAGCGCTGGGAGTGATTTTGAGGCTTCGCCCAGCTCTCCGCTAGATAATGCCTTTACGAGAGCGAGACGCCGTGGCCGACAATCCCCACTGCGACAAGATTCCGGGACCTCATACGAAGCATTTACCAATGCATCCCCGAAACCAGCAGCAGCCATGCCTCAGCAAGAGGCTGCTCCGAAGCTGAGTGCCTTCGATGCCAAGAAGTGGGAGGAATTGAGCAAGGTCAACATCTTTAATCCAACAGCGGCTCAGAGGTCATCAGTGTCACCTACTCGACCAGTCAAACCTCTCAAGAAGACTCGGGGCGGAGGAGTTCGCCTAACAGCAGGACCGGCTGGAATGGCAGAGGAGGACGATAGTAGTGGTGAGGACCGAGCACAGGCAGGTACCGGAAGAGCCAACGCCAGTGGTCCCAAAAGCCCCAACGCCATGGATATCGACCCTCCCGTTTCTGAAACGACAGCTCAACAACCGCCTGCGGCCAACGAAGCCCGACCCATCCCTGTTGAACCGACGAAGCCGGAGTGGCGAGCTGGCCATGTTGGCACCACTGCAACCGCTGCTCCGCCTCTGCCTCCAAAGGTCAACGGTACACAGAAGATGCCCAAAGTGAACCCAACTCACGCAGGGTCCGAAGACACGGACGACTTTATGAGACCGAATGTGTTTGCAGACTTTGAGAATGTTGCGCCTTTCAGCCAGAAAGCAACAGGACTGAACTCATTTGCCGATTTGGGCCAAAGCCTGCCATTCCAATCCAGACCCTCAGCCACAATTCCCATACCTCAGATGAAGCCTACGCCGCTTTCCTGTCCACCTGTTCCCCAAGCACCCAAAGTTCCGACAACACTTGCTTTTGGCGGTGTCAAGTTAGGGAGCCCAGCTTGGAATACATATACCAAGGAGTTTGAGGCCTACATGATTGCTTGGTCTCAATGGAACGGCACGATGTTGACACACTTTTCTACACGCCAGGCTCAACAAAACTCGGCGGGCTTCTCATGGGTCAGTGCTATGGGTGACAATGGTTATCAGGAATATGTCAACTCGCTGGAGCAGGACAAGCCACTCAGACAAAAGTGGCTAGCCGCATGCGAGAACCATGAGCTGCAGTTCAAAGAGTTTCAGAAGATGCGGCAGGGGTTGATGAGGAATTAGGAGGCTTGAAGGCATCGGGTATCCTGAAGGTAATGGCGCCCTGCGACTGCGTTTTCATCACCCTCACCCGGCTCCTAAAATTGCTTCGATGCCGCCTGAACTGCGGTAACGCAACAGCAGGAAGACAAGTGGGCATCTTCAGCTGCGAAGCCCAGCCATCATTATCCAAGGTTCGGTTTCAAGCCGTTATGTGACCTACCGTTACGCTCAGCTGTATCTTCGGCTAAAGGGATGTCAGCTTGTGGGAAATGACGAGCATGACCGCATAGTTTTGTTCTCCCGGGAGGACACCGAGTAGCAAAAGTGCGGAAATGTTACGCAGGCCTTTTGGTTGGAGCTTGGTCTGTCGATAGGAGAGCACGACATCCTCAAGCCGAGATACTTCCATCTATCATTATCAAGTAGGGGTTGGGTACGAGACGCCATCTCAAGAAAGATCGGGTTGGATGAAGGTTGATGTTCTATGGGCTTGGCTCGCTGCCGCTTTTCGGTGATAGTTCAGGCTATCCCTAATGTCACGGAGATCAGTGCGATGGCTCTTTTTGCGTTTCTAGGTTCTGGCAACAAGGCTTAAGGTTTGCTTGCCGTTGCTATCTTGCTAGATTTGTTCTCTGCGAACTTGGCGAAACAAAATCGGGGAAGGGGGGATAGAAGCGGTTACCTAGAGGGATGCACATGAAACTAGATGAAATGGGGAGACGAGCTTTGGTTGGGTTATTTTTGTGTATAGTACTGTTAGATGGAGTTCTTGATTGCTGGATATTGTGGCTTGGTGCGTGTCGATGCAGGTTACCATCTCTTTCTGCGTAATGGCTCAAGAAGAAGACGAGAAGATCAAGTTCCCTCCTTGTTATGGACAGTCGAGGCTGATGTGTCTCATGGTGGCAAAGTTCGGCCCTAACATAGTGTGATGTTATTTCTACCTATCAGAGTCGCCCCTCCAAAAACACCCACCTTGTTACCCTTGACGACAGCTATCGAGTCTCGCCTGACAAACCCCTCAACACACGCCCCAATCTCCTTACCCCCTCTGTGATCTTGTGCTCCTCCTCCCAAGAGAAACTCAACCTGATATTCCCCCTAAACTTCGCCCCTTCCTCATCTCCCCTCACCTCAAACATCTCCCCCTCTGCCACGATCAACTCCTCCTCTTGCCTGGCCTTTTGCGCCACCACCCTTGCGTCAAGCCCCCCCGGCAAAGTCAACCAAACAAAATACCCCCCAAACCTATCCCCATCCTGCGCAGCCACCGTCACCCCCAACTCTCCCAACTCCTGCTTGATCGTTTCCATGATGAGCTCATGTCGTCTCCGCAGACCGGGCCTGACCGTTTCCTGCAGATGCTTCTCCAACTCCCCAGCCTTCATCACTTCAGCCAACAACGCAGCAGCAAACTGGCTGCCCGCGCCTCCCGACCTGGTCGCCCCCGTCTGGGACAGCCCCATGACGAAGTCTGGTGTGCCGTGAACCCACCCCGTCCTGAGACCGGGTCCCAGCAGTTTGGAGAAAGAGCCGTTGGAAATAACGTTGCCGAACCATTTCCCAGAGCTTGTTGCGGGCTCTGAGGGACCCAATGACAAGTCAATGTCTGAGAGGCGCGGGAGCAACGGGCCGAGGTCAGACGAGGGGGAGGCTGGCAGGATAGGCCATTGTAAAAAGTCGTAGACATCATCACTCACGACCAGCACATCGTGCCTTCTGGCGACTTTGACCAGTCGGTTTCTCTTCTCCAGCGTCATGGTCGTCCCAGAAGGGTTGGAGCACGTCGAAACGAGGTAGACAACATGGCGGTAGTGCTTTCTGTAGGGGCCGGCGTTTTTCCTTTCTGCTCCTTTGTGAGTTGGCTGGTGGTGCTGGGCCTCGTGCTTTTGAAGCAAAGTGTCCAGCAAGTCGATATCAATGCCCCCTTGCTGGTCCTCTGGCACGGCTTTTATGCGTCCTGGACCAAACCCGGCATCCTCAAAGATGGGACAGGCGAGGTAGTAGCAGGGCGCCGAGGCCCATACTTTGTGACATTGACTGTCAGCATAACGTCTCTAAAAACTGGCCATGGGTGAGACACCTACCAGTCTGGGTGTAAGACGGGTCAGTAAAACTAGCCAGCACACATGCCAACCCCTGACTCGCGCCGCCGGTGATGCATATCTCCTCGCTCTTGGTGCTGGTTGAGTATTGCTTCTCCAGCCAGACAGCCAATTCCTCTCTGAGAGGCTGGTACCCCGGGTCTGGGCCGTATTGCAAGGCAGGAACGAACAGGGAGGGGTCAGAGAGGAGCGCCGTCGAGGCGGCCTGTAAAATGGAGGAAGATAACAAGGACGGGGAGGGCCAGCCTCTGAGAAAGTTGATGAGCTCCTTCTTGGAACTGGAAGCACCCCTTTCAGGGTCGAGTGTCTGGTTAGTGACGTCTTGTAGTGGTGGCGTGGGTGAGGTGTATATGGAGTTTGAAATCGTCTTATCAGATGTTGTTGGCGCCATCTTGACCAAATCATGTAACCAATGGCAAGAAAACTGCGCGGTTCCAACTAAAGTGATGACTGAAGGCAAGAATGTAATGGCCAAGTCCGAGGTTTGATGTCGTGAGTGGAGAAAGGCCTCTTGACAACAAAACACGACCAGAGGCGGAAGGAGGTGCGGGGCGAATGACAATTGTCTCCCCCGAAAAGGGCGACCAAATATTGACATGCGCATACTGACAAGTCATTGGTACCATACGAGGCGAGACTCGAAAAGAAACGTACCAAAATAATACATACAATCATGAGCTCATTTACTGCACTGAACTAATAAGTTACAATGTTACTCCAGTTGCCTACCGCCCCATGCTTCAGCTGAAAAACTCATGATGGAATTATGCCGTCCATACACTACAGATAAAAATGACAAGTCCTCATCCTTCTCTTGTACACCCTTTGTTTTTTGATGGAAGACACCCGTGCTATAATGTGTCAAGAACATCCAGTTGTGCCCTGCCATCCTACCGGATTACCATTCCCTCCATTTTGGAATCCTTCCTAATGCAAATGTTCCAAAGGATGAAAGCCTGAACAAGCATCTGTTGCACTCATATCCCACTTTCCACGGTCCCACCCTTTTTGCCCTGTCTAACGGTTTGAGCTGCCATGTGAATCCAGAGAACCTGGCAGACAAACTCATTGCAGGGAGTTGACAGTCCCCACTCTTCCGTTCAACAAATGCATCCTCTAGTGGCCATGTTGGTGCGACAAAACAGGAGAAATCCGTGTTGCTTCGAAAGAAATCAACCAAGAAGTGGCCAGACTCCAGAAAATGCGACTGACTATGTCGCTGCAAAGAATGGGGCTGGCTCAGAAACTCGTACAGGACCGCCGCACCTCAGGCCACAGGTTCAACATAACGAAGGCCAGTATATCGCTTAGCCGTCATACTTAGTGCCGTGGTATCGTGCTTCGACTTCTACTTGTCGATAGAACGGAGTTGACGGCACCAAGGAAGAAAGAATTATACCACTGTGCTGGCCCGTTTTGCCACCATGTCAGCATCCACCCACTTCCTCTATGTTTGAATGGGTGCTGGGGTGTTACGAGACCAATTGTCACGCCCGCGATAGCTGCCACGACTTCCTCGACTATGCGAGGGATTGGCACCCGTGGAGCTCGAGCCTTGATCAACAGAGGACGATGGTGTATCTCGTCCCTTGCCTCCTTGCCTGTAATGGGGTGCAGTGGTGTTCCGGCCACCACGCGGACCACCACGGCGGGGGTTGCTGCGGTTCCGCCCGTAGGGAACCACAATCTCCTTCCTCTCGGTTCCGGGAAAGGACACGCACCATATAGTGCCAGCCCCGGACATGGGCACCGGGAAAGTGATGGAATCAGCACTCGAAGGAACTGCATAGAGTTTCTTCGGGAGAGGTTTAGGCGTGGGAGACGGCTGCCATGCCGCTTCGGAGACTGTGTTAGGAATCCTCACTGGTGGCAACGATCCCATCTCTTGCTCCTCAAAGCAGTCTTCCGCCATCCCCTTAGTGGTTACGGATCCATCCTTGCCAGATAGCGGTGAAGAGGGGTGAGAGAAAGGTGAACTAGGCCATGGCTCGGAAGCCATGTGGACTGGTTCATCTCCGAATCTGAGGCCGGGCGACCTGGGATTGACAGAGTGAGCCTTGCGCCCACCGAGCAGATTGTCAAACCTTGCCTGCCAGGCACTCTCCGGTTTGTTGAATGATGGCCGACGATTGCCTGCGTTTGATCCAGCGGGGGGGTGTTCAGACTCCTTGTAAGCAGCTTCTTTGGCCCAAGCGAAACTTGGAACGTGGGATTTGCCTTGGCCAGCGGCTATGGCGCTTCTCCTGTCGCTAGATGCGGATGGAGGAAGTCGAACAACGGGCTGAGGACGAGGCAGAGACACGTGGGGATGGGCAACATCCCCATCGAAGGCAGGGTGACCAGCCATGTCTGGTGGAGGAGGAGACGGTGACTTGGGCCGAGAAACTTCCATGCTACTCTCAAGACGCACGTCACGGGAAGGGGGGAAGAAACGAGACCCACGAGCATGCTGGGGTGCAGTCGGGACACCGAGGATCGAAGTTGTCGAGATATCCCGAGTATTGATAGTACTCTGGGTAAGGTGGCCGTACTCGGCCGGGCCATTGCTCGACGCCGACGGTTCTTGCTGAGAGGCTGTGGCCTTCACCTCGGCAGCGGCGCCCCAAGCATGTTCAGAGCCAATCTTGACCGTCTGCTTCGGGGCAGCTTCTATCCGCCTGCCGTCAGCATCAAGTTTCGTTGGGCGCCAAGTATCCTTGATAGGCGGTTGGTCATTCAATCCACGACCAGATTCTTTGAGACGACGCTCCCGCTCTGAGGCGGAATCGCCCAGTATCTTGGCAAACAGTTCATCTTGTAAGCCTATCGTGCTGGCGCTGTTAGTCCAGGCGGAGGAGGCAGTCTGCCTGGGCTCTGATGCATTTCCTCCATGAGCTTGTTCACTCCGGGGTCCAGGTCTCGGGGGCCCAATCGGCGGCAAACGAGTTGTGGGAGCCATTGCCCCGCGTACGCTGGTTGGCGGTGCTATAGGACCAGGTCCAGATTTACTCGAAAGCTGATGCGGGAGTTGCGTAGTACCCAAATCAGAAACAAATGTACCGTTGCCCAGAGTGCGATTGTTATTCGGAGCGCCCCAAACGTTTTTAGCAGGTCCAGCTTGTGGAGGGCCCCAGGTGGGAGTCGCTTGATAGCGCTCAACGGGCTTGCCTGTGCTCGGCCAAGGGTGGGCGTGGGTGTGCGGCTGTGCGTCGATGCTGTCCAGAGTTGCCAGGGTTTGCACCGGTGATCCATTTGGCAGAGCTTCAGGCTTCCGTTCGGGTTCGGGTGCAGCACCCGGATCGACATCCTCCTTCGGCTTGGGCTCATGAGTCTCTGTGGGCTTTTGCGTGACAGGCTCACGGAGTTGAGCTGGAGCTGGAGCTGGAGGGTGGTCCTTGGCGGCGGCCATCTTGGCGCTCTTAGATTCAGGGGCAGGACCCATCGCTTCCAGCTTTGCGCGAATGCGCTCTTTTCTTTCGGCCTCCTCTCTCGCTTCTTGTTCTTGACGACGCTTCAGGGCAAGCTCGCGCCTTTCCCTCATCAATTTCTTCTGCAATTCGATATCCTGCTCAGTAACACCAACAAGGCTTGCCGCGGGAACAAGTGGGGATTGTTGGATGGTTGCGGGGGCAGCATCCTGTACACTGGCCACGGATGGTGCCTGATGATATGGAATGGCATGTGTCATCGCAGGAGAAGCTCGGGGAGCCCAGCCTTGGGGATGACGAGGACCGCCGGACGGTGAAAAGTTGCGTGGCGAAGCTGGGCCATCACTGCCGACTGTCATAGACCCACGTCTTGCGTTGATGAGCTCTGGGGGTGGCATCGGATGCTCGAGAGTCTTAAGCCGGTGCAGGGCTCCGCTACCGCCACTAACATTGGACGATCCACGGCGTCGGCCATAAGGCCCAGGCTGTTCAATATCCCTGGCTCCCGGGTATGGACCAGAAGGTTCAAAAGGCCCTTGCTGGTCATAATGCGCAGGCCGGTGCAAGACCGCTGGTTGTCGACCTGGTGGCACATCAGAGCGTACCGTACCCCGGCGATCAGAAACGGGTTCATAGCGGCCAGACTGCGAGTTGTACAATTCTCTGTTGCTGTGCGGTGGACCATCGCGCCATGGGGCCCTACTAAAATCATCGGCAGCGATCTCCTTGGGCGCCAGGCGAGCGTCGCCAGAAAGGGCGGGATCACGTGGAGGGAATCTGGAAACTGGCGGGCCAGACACATCTGGTGCTGCTATCGGCGAGACCTTGTCGACCTTTGGTATTGTAGCCCATGGCGACTTTATCGCGGCGGGCGGAGGAGGTGGCTTCGCTACAAGCGTTGGTTTCTCGGGAGCACCCTTCAACACCAGACCTTTGCCACCACCAAGTACATGGGTCTTAGGTGCGGGACCAGGACCGGGAGCAGTAGCCGGTGGGGCAACAAGGGCCGAGGCTTTCGTTTTGGCTGAACTCTCACTTTCTCGTGATGCTTGCCGGACAGCCAACTCGCCCGTTGATGCTGTTTGCGCTGCCTGGGGCGCGGAAGCAGAAGCTGGCATTGCATGATGGTCATCGACATGTGGGATGGTAGTTTTCGTTCCGTCAGCCCAAACGATGGCCTCGGGGGTCCAATCCTCGTCGTCATCTTCTATATCTGCCCAGTTATTCTCCCCTTTGATGTCCTCGGGCCCAAGGCGGCTCGCCATATGGATGCCATACTTCTTAAGTTCTTCATCCGTATATTTCTTGGGCTCCGGTGGGGGTGCGGCTAGTGAAGATGTATTAGCAAACTACTCACAACAGCAACAACTGCCATGTAATTCCATGATGCTTGCTCACGTCGATTCTTGTTCCAGACTGCGTTTGCGTCTGGAGCCGATCCCGACTTCCCTCCGTTTGCGCCAGAGGACTTTGCAACCAAGCCACTTCCGGTCTTGGCAACCAATCGGGGTCGAGATGAACTCAAAGTGCTGGATGGGGTCGGGGAGGAGCTGAGGGTGACGGTAGGTTTCTCCAGCGGCTTGGTCTGAGCAGGAGGCGCCGTGCCCTTTTGGTGGAGGAAGGTCTTATTGACACTGATGGCCTTGAATGGCGCTGGCTTCTTGATGGTCGACGAAGGTCTAGGATGACCGGCGCCGTCCTCCTTGCCCTTGGAGCCATCTTTAGACGCCTCGTTGTCGGACCCTCCACTAACACTGACTTCGGCCGAGTTCACAAGATCATCGATAATGTCGGATATATGCTTGTTTGCAAGGTCGTCGGTCGAGGCGCCATTTATGTGCGTTCGGTTGACGTCGACATTTTCCGGGTTAGTATCGACCTTGGTGGACTGTACACATGCGCAAACAAACAGTCAGCAAAGGCGGGGTGCGCCTGAGAAGAAGGGGGGAAGCTCTCGAGACTCACGGGTTGGGCGTCAGAAGTTATGGTAGCTTCATCGGATCGTTGTTTTGGTGACTCAGTGGCCATCATCCGCGTGGAATACTCGTGGATTCGAATCGTGGATGGGAATAGTCCGATCGCAGTTCGGCGCAGAACAGATTAGGCCGTGGTAGCGTAGAGATAGACGATGCTGTAATGTTTTCTGTAGGAAAAAAAAGGTGGGTTCCGGTCAGCTCCAGGAAGCAACGGGAGTGGTTTGCTCGAGAGTGCAGCGCGGAGCAGATCGAAGGCTGGGCCTCGCGCAACGGAGGGACTGAGCCAGGTCGACTCGCAACTTTTGTTCGCCGTGTGCAACCCACTTGGCCCGGCCGGTCTAGTTGGGAGCGAGATACGTACCTCTTGACCCTGAAGATGCTGGGGATAATTGAGAACGGTGATACCTCGCGGTCGCGGGTCAATATTTGGGTCGTCGTGGGGGAGTGAGGTAAGGGTCGTTGGAGAAAGAGAGGGCAGGAAGCGTCCTGTGAGGCGATGCGGCTGGTGGTGGTCGGAGGTCTTTTTGCCCACTTGCAGCACTGACGACTCGGTCGGTTGGCAACCAGAGGTCAGAGCTGCCGGGGTCATCGCTTCAGGCTTAGCGCTGGGTGGTGGTCTGTGCTTTGTTGAAGATCTACTCTCTGCCCCTCCACAGACAACCAGTCCCGAGCCAGCGACTATATGAAGGGAAAATCTCTATATGTTTGAGTTCAGGATCTGGCAAAGTTTGTATAGATTGTTCATTGCCAGTCCTAGTCGAATAAATGTACAGTATCTCTGCACCAAGGGCCTCTAGCAATCATGCTTCGACTGAGAGGCATCGCGCTTCCTAGGCTGAACCATGGTCTTGACTTTTTGTGTGTCATGCCTGATATATTCCGCAATGCCCATCATCAGAGAAACAGAAAGATCACGTAGAGCTCACATGCCAAACTTGCTCATGAAAAATTAGAGAACTACATCACTAGGACTGAAGATATTCGGCCTCTTGATTGTACAGGTGGTGTTTCGCGCATCCTCCCAATTGCTTGCTAGCGAGCGGACTGGACTTTATGTAGAACAGCAAGTTCGCGCAAGGGCTCTGAGCCTAGCTGGGAATATCCGACCCTCATCTCCACATTGAAATCGGGTTACAGTGACCGTAGGCTGCACCATTGGCCACTTGGTAGAGCGCCATCCCAGGCAGCTAGCAGAGACATAAAAGAAACAACTCTGTTGCTAAGTGTCTCGTAGGCACTTCACTCTATTCGGTAACAGGTTATATACACGCCCGAGTCAACTCCAAGCGGAATGTCATCTTCCACAACACCGGCTGAGTAGCTTAGTGGGCGTTGTTCTTGTGGTGACCTATTATTTGTTAGAGAGCAAGCCTCAACTCCCGAGCTCTTTGCATTCAAGACTCACGCAGGTGGAAGTAGTAGTTCTGGGCGTAACCAGTGATCAGGACCAGGAGAATGGCGTGGACGATGGCTATGACATGATCAGCATTTGATACTCCCTCTTGTCGTGTCTCCGACAGATACAGGGATACCTACGCGCAGCACTGGGGTTCTTGCCAAAGTACTTGGCCTGGTATCTTCCGAGGAGACCGGTGGGCTTGACCTCAGGGGCGGAGCCACGGGGAAGTTTGGAGTAGAAGTTGACGACACGCTGCATGCGGACGGCATCGGGGTTGGCACCAATGGCCTAGTTTCCTCCGTTAGCTAATGACCCCTTTCAAATTGTTGACCTGTCCGAATTCTCCATTTCCAAGCGTATTCTGTCCAACAATATCCCGTCGTCCATGTCGTCGTCCCTCATTCCACTTCAGAGTCCTCCCCTCCCCTCCCCACCACCAACTTTCCAGATCCCATTTGGCTTTCCAGTGTCGATTCGCAATGTCGGAGTGAATCAAAATAGACGTACCTTGGGGGAAGCGACCTGGAAATGTGAGTTAGCAAGGTTCCCTACCTGGCTGCAGTCCTCCCTATGCATCCGGATCTTACCTTGGGGGGGATGAGGGTCGAAAGCGCCCGGCGAGTGACAAAGCTCATTTTGGCAGAGGGGTAATCGCGGCTTTCGCGCGATTTCGGATTCGATACAAGAAGGAGTCGGCTCGGGTCGAATGGAGCGAAGTGTCGTCGTCGTCGGCAACGATTGACGGAATTGAGCTGTTAAGGTCCAACTGGGAAGGGCTGCGGGAAAACGCAAGGTCCCCAATCATCCGGCTAGCAAGAATGTTGTTGCGCAAAACGGTTGTTTCCGGTTGGCCAATCAGAGCACCAATAGTGGGGTCAAAAGCCGCACCTCGACGCAAGCACCAGCCAGCCAGGTCCCAGTCAAGCCAGCAGCTCCGACGACCTGTAAGTTCGCCCCCCATCGATTGAAGCTTTGCGCTGGAAGCTTGCGGTGCGAGCTTCACTTGTCCCTCACCTCGACGACGACCACAGCCATCCTCGTCAGTACACCAACATATAATGGCCTCATTACGCCCTTCCACGGCCGCCGCCGCCGCCAGACTGCTGCGCACAGCAACGTTCTCCCCCCGATCGAGCATCCTCCCCGCCTCCCGCCGTTTCGAGAGCTCTACCCCCTCGTCCTCTTCGACCGCCGTGGCTCCCAAGCAAGCCAAGGCAGAGGACCTGGCCCCTGTTCAGCGGAATGCGCCCGACTATGACGTTCCTGTTGATCAGGCCACTTCGTACGACCCCTCCACAACTATTTTGATATGGATCTCTACAACCATGCACAACTTGATATCTGATATTGGGTGATATAGGATGTTCACCCCAGTACCCAAGACCATTCAGGATGGTTCCGAAGAAAACCTCACTCTCCCTGCCGGCCTAATCTCTGGCGCCCCCCTAGAGCTGCAAGCCCGTACAGTCCGGTTTGTTTGCCCTTTGTCCTGTGGTCTACGCCTCTATGGAAGATGCATTTGTCTAACTTTGTCTTCCAAAGTATCTACCAACCCTCCAAACCAGCCACCCAATCCGGCACCGCCAAGGGCTCCCGCTGGCGCATGGACTGGGACGTCCTCGGCAAGGGCCACAGATGGGAGAACCCCCTCATGGGTTGGCAGTCCTCTGCCGATTCAATGCAGGGCACCCACCTAACCTTCAAGTCCAAGGAGGATGCTATTGCCTTTGCCGAGAAACAGGGATACGAGTACTTTGTCCAGGAGCCAAACACCCGTGCCTTCACACCCAAGGCGTACGCCAACAACTTTACCTACTCGCCCGGTAAGTTGAAGATCGTCAGGACCAAATAAAAGGGGGGAAGAGCGAGGCTGGGCGTCAATGTACATATCACGGAACAAGAAAGGGGTTACGGTGTGACCATGCATGTTGAAGCGGCGAATGTGTGTTGTTGTAGTTATAGAATGGTCAACTGAAAAGAACTGGAGTATTTTTGACGCGCAACTGCTCCGTTCAGCTGGTGCAAGATGGGGCTTGCAACTTTGACACGGTAACGCAAGACTTTGCCCATGATACAGAACAGAGAAATGTTGGCAGTCATTTCAGCATATAGCCTTTCTCGGTAGGTGAACGCTGACTGGCTCAAGCTCGATGCGGTCAACACACCGGAGCTACATTCTGGACCCTTTGGTTCAGGAGCTTGAGAAGCTATCAGTTGTCCGGAGGTGTGAATGGCAAACCCCCTGAATGTGTGAAACCATACATGTGAACAAAACATGCTTGACCTGAGTAAAGTATCGTAAGCTGGCCAGATGGTGTGATTACAAAGAGGATTGATGAGCAAAACCAAGGACATGGCATTAGTGAGACTCTGAGGAGTCTATCCCAAGACAGACTTATGGATTTCGCAGCCTCGAATCAGAAAGATCAGAGATCACAAAACACTTCAACGATAAATTTCGATGCAAGAAAGATTCTCAGTATTATACGCTTTAACATACCACCGCCCACATGACGGTCTGCTAAAATAGTGTTGGTATAATAACCAGCTGAGCTCAAGTCCTGTATTGCCCGATTGTCTCGTTGCCGAGTGCCCGTGTTGCCCAATGACGCCATCAAAATGCCTGCAAACCCGCGGAAGAAACAGTTCCCTTACTCATAAAATACCAACGCTGCCAATGCCCAAAACAAATAAAGAGGATATCATGTCATCTTCCACCCCGTGGTTCATCTTCAAGTCGTAATCATTGGTTCATGTCCATTCGTCTCGGTGAGTCCTTGAAACTCAACTGCGTTCTCCCCATTCAGCCCAATGTCGATGTCAGGCGGCAGGTCCTTGATCTTGGACGATCTGGCCGATGATTCAGCCCAGGCACGCATGCGCACCAGAGCCCGGATAGCGGCCTCTCTGCGCTGGTCTTGCCGGACCAAGACCGCCTCGTTGACCTTGGTAGCGGTCTTTCTGCGTAGGTCTGATGATAGCAGGTCCTTCAGTTCGGGACTGAGGTTCGAGTCGTGATCAAAGAACAGCAGAGACATGGCTCTTTCGAGATCAACTCGAAACTGTTCATTTATCGACGCCCTGGGAGCCACCTGTTGCGTGGCAAAATCCAAAGCGGGGGTGATATCACCGCCGTAGCATTGCCTGATGAGCTCCACAAGCTGGAGACGCAATAATGAAAAGTGAAGCTCGGGGTTTTTGTCCAGTATCTGATATGCACGTTAGAGAGACTCAAAACAGGCAATTTCAATACAATCAAATGTGTGTAGGTTGCGCTCATAAAGTGGTGGGTGTTTCTCAGCAAAGAGCCCGAAGGCCTATTATGCGTGGTGCATGAAACTCTGTGTCAAATCATAGCAACGGGGTGTGAACAAGATCGAAAGACTTACATCAGAATCGAGGGCATTCAGGGCCGTGATGGCCGTCTCGATATCCCCGCTGTGAATGGCATGTTGGATCTCTTGTCTCGTCTTGATGGAGGGGTCCGCTTGCTGTGGCGCCAGGTTTGCCTCTTTGGAGAAGTTGGCAGCGGCGCCTGGGTACCCCTCCATCGTCAAGTAGTCCAAGATCAAAGCGTTGATGTCACTAGGCCTTCTGTCAGCACGGAACCGAGTCATGTTGAGAGCAGTGAAGCGACAAGGAATCGAGGTTAAGAAAGAGGCAGTTCAGAGATTACGAGATAAATGCAGAGTTTCTCCTCATGGATAATCAGAGAGATTCCCATTGATATGCGATCATCATATTGCCAGGGCAAAGGAAGCGGAGGGAAGGTGACTAACTTTTTGGGCGTCTTGGTGTGGCCTACGCGCGCCTCGAATGCATATTTAGGAGTAGCAGTCGCCGTGGATGAAGTCTTGGTTGAGCAAGTCAGCGTGTGAACTTGCGTAGCAAGGTTGTCAAGAGGCACATACCATGGGGGCAGCCTGCGATTGACGCTGCGCTGCCTGTCGAAACTGGGCGAAGATGTGTTCTCTGAACGCAAAATCGGGATCGAGGTGCCCCTGCTGCTGAAAGGCCTGCCAGTTGGACATGTGCAAACTGGCTCGCTGTGCTTCACATCTGCCGTTGGGTGCACCTGAAGTCAGGTTGCACTGCGGTGTTTTTGGCGGTTTGACCAGAGAAAATTGTTGGGAATGGAGGAGGTGGAAGTTGCAAGAGAGCTCAAGTTGAAGGTGAAAACCTGGAGGCAGAGGTGTCCGAGCTCCCAGTGGAGTCGTTTACGGGTCTCTCTGTGGGGGCTCTTTCGGTCAGGGTCAAAGAGAAGCCGGGCAACAGTGGCACCGTGCGAATTTCCCATGCTGTAACACCGTGCTCGGTGGGTAGAAGAGAGCAGCACTGATGGCCACAGATAACCCTCAGGACCTTCCCAACCTGATGCTTGGCGAGGGGCAATAGGGCACCTGAGGCACCCATGGCTCCAAACAAAGCAGGGCACTCCCTCTGCCTTCACCAGCCAGAATGGACCAAAAAGCGGCCTCTACCTGGTAGGTTAAGTTTTTCGTGGATTTGCGCCTATAGTTTGGCCAGCAAAGCAGGGCAAAAGGTAAGCTTCAAGCCTCACACCCACGAGGCACAAATGCAAATGAGATTCCCGTAACAACCTGTTCCTCCCTCACGACACTTACCCCTCACAACCACCACCGCTCTGGTCCAAGATGCCTTCCACCATCCCCGTCGCCCCCGGCACGCCGCAGCTGGAAGATCTTGTCATGAACCTGAAGACCAACGGCACTGCTGGTACCTCGTCAGTCGACGGCACTATCGCAAAGAGGGCGCACTATGCTCCACCATGGGCCGATGTCAGCATCATCGGTATCGCCGGCAGCTCGGGTTCTGGAAAGTCGACTCTCTCGCAGGCCATCGTTAGCAAATTGAACCTGCCGTGGGTTGTCATCTTGTCCATTGTAAGTCTCGGGCCTAAGAAAGTACAGGCTAGAAACAAAATAAAAACTCATGCTTTGTTCATATCCGCTAGGACTCTTTCTACAAGTCCCTCGATGAAGAAGCGTCGAGAAAAGCGTTCCGCTGTGAATACGACTTTGATGCGCCAGATGTAAGAAGACAACCTCCAACAAATCATTCTCGTGAATGGGATCCAGGATTGGCAGACTTACCAGGATCGTTTCCACCCCAGGCCTTGGACTTTGACGTTTTGGTAGACCGGCTGCGAGACCTGAAAGCGGGGTGAGTCCTTCTCTTCTCACGTTGGCCGTAGGCATGAACTGTAAAAGAGCCCATCTGATAATCAGATGTTGTTAGCAAACGCGCGGATATTCCAGTCTACTCTTTTGAGAAGCACGCTCGCATGGAACAAACCACATCGATCTACTCACCTCATGTCTTGATTCTTGAAGGAATCTTCGCCCTTCATGACCCAAGAGTCCTTGAGCTCTTGGACATGAAGGTAATTTCCGTCTTACAATCTTCAGAGTTACATCTCGAGTACTAACATGGGAGAAGATCTTTTGTGAAGCAGACGCAGACACCTGCCTGTCCCGAAGAAGTAGGTTCCCTTGAAGTGAATCGGCTCGTTATGGAAGAGTTCAAGAATCTAACGAGCTACAGTTCTCCGAGATCAGCGGGAGAGAGGCCGTGATGTTGAAGGTATCATCAAGCAGTGGTTCTCCTTTGTAAAGCCCAATTTCGAACGGGTAAGCATCATGCTCCGCTCACCTTGGGATTCTTGCTAACTTGAGATCAGTATGTCGATCCTCAGCGCAAAGTGGCCGATATTATCGTCCCCCGCGGTGTTGAAAATCAGGTTGCCATGAGTACGTCCAACTTCATTCAGCCCTGGTATAACCATGCATCCCTTGAAGCTAACTGTCATAGCCATGGTTACCCAATTCATCCAGCAAAAGCTTCTCGAAAAGTCAACTCATCATCGTGCGGCACTCACCCGCCTCGAGATCGGTGCTCTTTCAGAGCCCCTAACCTCCAAAGTTCACATCATGAATCAAACGTCTCAGATGCGTGGCATGAACACCATCATACACAACATCGACACCTCGTCAGAGGACTTCATCTTCTATTTCGACCGCCTTGCTGCCCTGCTAGTTGAGCAGTAAGTTGCCCCCTTTTCTTGTAGGCTACCGCGTTCCAGCCAGAGTCTCACGCCTACTACAGGGCCTTAAACAACGTCTTCTTTACATCCAAAACCATCACCACGCCTCAAAACCTCCCATATCGCGGCCTCGCCCCGGCAGGCGAGGTATCCGCCGTCGTTGTTCTTAGGGGCGGCGCGGCTCTTGAGGCTGGTCTGCATCGCGTAATCCCAGACTGCAAGACTGGTCGCGTGCTGATTCAGTCCAACATCCGCACTGGAGAGCCCGAGTTGCATTACCAGGTCCTCCCCAAGGACATCGCTGAACACTCGGCCGTTCTACTGCTCGACGCTCAGATGAGCTCTGGTGGTTCGGCGCTCATGGCCGTGCAAGTTCTTGTTGACCACGGTGTCAAGGAAGAGAGAATTGTGTTGGTCACTTACAGTGCAGGCCGGATGGGTTTGCACAGGCTCACCAAAGTATTTCCCGACATTTCTGTGGTGGTGGGTAATTTGTGCACTGATGCCGAGGAGCGCTGGGTTGAAAGGCGGTATTTCCGTTGCTGAAGTGTTTGCATCTAAATGTACATGGAGTCGGTAGCATGGCGCCGGGGCAGGTCTGTCCCATGTTTATATATGCATTGAACACAGCTTTATCATACCCTGAACTATGAGCTAAAGGCTTCATCCACTGCGTGTTTTCATGGAAACGTTCTGGAATTCACTCCTTGGCCTTCTGTGGCCTGAGCTGTAACAAAACGATAGAGACCCCTCTGTTTGAACGCCACGCTAGGCTTGCTTGCATGGTCTATGATACAAAATGGCTTCACTCATAAGGTATATTCAGCAAAAAGCCCCCTCCCTAACTCAAGAGGACAAAAGTGTCCAGAGCAGGAAGCTCAGTAGCTCATCAAATCTGTTTCATCAAGGTCAGCCAACAGCCATTCTCATAAAGGCAGAAACAACTTACCTCTCCCAAACAATGCCCTCTTTCCCCAGTCCATGGCCATCAGCACTCTCGTCCTGAAACTGACGCTTTGAGCAAAGTAGATGCTTCTCCATGCATACACCGCCCACAAACCGCCAGCGAACCGCCACCCATCATTTCCGAGGTCAAAAACCGCCGAGTTACCAATATACGCCAAGCTTCCCAAGTGTTTGTACTCAAATGCTTTGTAAACCGCCGCGTCCACGTCGCCGTCCGAAATCTCGTTGGCTCTCAGCCCTGGAGCCGCCCGTGCCAGCTTGTTAAACTTGTGAGCGAGGTACGACCCTTGCTGGTGGGCCCTTTGCGCCGTCGCTGGCAAGCTGGTCAGTTTGCTGTCGATTGTCTTGAGCAGCTCGCGCAGCTCCCCAAAATCCAGGGTACCGGACCGATCACGGTCGTACTCCTCGAACAGCTTGTCTAGCCTCTTTAGATGTCCCACCGCCTGAGGAAACCGCTTCTTGACCTGTTCGGCAACATTTCTCCAGTCGGAAAAATGCAGGGAAAGCTTCTCGGGGTCAGTAACACCGTGCTTCCAGGCGATGCTTCGGAGGAAAGAAATGATGTGGTCGGCGACGTTGTTTTGAACAGTGGCACAGTCCCCAATAGCATACACGTCTCCAAGAGGCGTGCCGTTCAGTCTTAGATGTGTGTCTGTCTCAAGGGCATGTCTGTTGTTTTGCGCCTTGCCCAGTTTCGCGCTCAAGGTTTTGCACAAGTCTGCCTGAGAGACACCAGTGGACCATAGACAGAACCCCATGGGGAGCTCTTTCGTGATGACTGTTCCATCCTTTTGCTTTTGCGTAAATACGATGCTGTCCTCCTTCACTTCGCTGACCCTCGAGTTGACCAAGACCTCAACTTGATCTCTGGCAAACCTTTCCTCGGCATAGGTCGAAAGTGTCTCGTCGTATGTGTTGAGAATGTGGTCTCTGCTCTGAATCAGATGAACTGAGATTTCGTTTCTCAGCAACCTTGGGAACAACTGGATCAGGTCTTCATTTAGCAGATCATACAGCTCCGCCGCGAACTCCACCCCAGTTGGCCCGCCTCCACTGACCACAAACGATAATAACCTCTTGCGATCTTCGTCACTCGTTGTTGGCAGGCAAGCCAGCTCCAGGTTGCGAATGATCCTGTTGCGGATCTCCCGGGCGTCTCTGATATCCTTCAAAAAATGGCAGTGCTCCAGCCCCTTAACTCCGTGAGCATTCGTCACCGAACCCACCGCTACCCACGAGTTTGTCGTAAGGCACATAGAACCTCTGTTCAACACCATGGCAGTCCACCTGGCTGACTTCGACTAATCTCGCACTGAAATCGACATCTTCGGCCCTGGCGCGCAGGAACCGGCCCCTAACCCCGTGGATTATCCTCCGTATCGGCTCGACCAAACTCCGCAGTCCTAATGTTCCAACAGTGGCTGAGGGCAGCATGGGCGTGAACAGGAAGTAATTGGTAGGACTAACAACGGTGACATGCCAATCCTCAGGATTCAGTTCCTTCAGCAGCGCCACACCTCCCCACCCACCACCCAAGATCACCAGTCTTGGCTTGTCCTTTTGCCGCTTGCGGTCCTCGTCATCCTCATCGTCGATGAATACTTCCAAAATGGGAAGGTTCTTGGGCCCACCCCGTCGGGGGTTGAGTGCAAGCTGTGAGATGGTAAAGGTCGGACTTGTTGGAGGCGTGGTCGACATAGGTGGTGGCATCGTAGACGAAGAAACCAATTACGCCGAGGGAGACGAATAACACGGAAGAGCCAAACCAGGCGGCGAAACGATAGGCGTATTTGAGGGCTTTTGGAGTGGTTTTGGGTGAGTTTTTGGATGTTGTGGTAGACAATCGACGGAGGTGGGTTAACGTCAGGGGTGGTGTGGTGAAGAAGGTCTTGAAGTCTGGAGCGGTTCCAGGGATCGTGGTCCGTGAGGAGGGGAGGTTGGAAACGATGCGTTGTTGAGAAGGGGAGACTATTCTAGTTGGGTATGCCGATGTTCTGGCCCGAAAAGGCAAAGAATGGACCGTCCGAAGCCCGGCGTCTCGAGACAGGCGACGGCTGAGCATGTTGACGTTGCGGTGTAGTTATGGTGTTTGTTAATTTGCTGTTGGTTGTGAACCCGTCGCGATGTCTTCAATGACGTCAATTCGTAATCGATAAGGAGCTGCTCGACACAAACTGGTGTAAGTGAGAATCTCAAAACCACATCGCTGGAGCGCAATTGTGTATCGATATTCAGAGGAAAGGTGAGGATTAAGGAGGAGATCGATGTCAGTTGCTCTAATTCAACAGCAGGAAATTGGAGTTGTCACGGTGCAGGGAGGGTAGTTCATCCCACCTCAAGTTCCAGCCCATCAGATACGTCAGTGCCCGTTTCCAGCTTGACAGGTCAGGGGTCTTGACCTGGACCTGGCGGCGGCGCTTGTAAGTGCTTTTTTTTCTTGTTCACACTGTGCCAGACGGCCGGAAACACTACATTTAAGGCTGTGTCTAAATATGGCACTCTCTGCCTGCACTGTGCTCTCAGTTCAACCCCTTTTGGAGAGTGTGTCAACCTCAATGAAAGGCAACGTTGACAGAGGTTTTTTGATATGTTCCAAGTGTTGGATTATCTACGTCTATTTGTTGAAAACAAAGATTGTAAAACCTGTACTGTATGAAAAGCGGAGTTGCATATCGGATAGGTGTGACTGGAGTGCCCAATCACCTTATGTCCGACAGGATGCATGTATGATGCCAGTAGATTATCCCATAGGGATCTGTGAGAGGTGCAAACGCAACATGCTTGAAGCTATTAAGCGCCCCAGACATTTAGACTGGCATTATATTCACGCACGGGATGAGAACTTGCATATGCTATCTGGTTCTTCATCAAGATTCTGGTCTGGCTGCGCGCTGATATAAAATCAATTTAGTATTCTGTGGTTTGTCCCGGAGACCAACTCATTTGTCAAGACAAACCTACCATCTATTGCTAGGGATCCAGTCTATTGTCCTCGGTTATGCAAAAACCAAGATAGGTATCTCTTTAGTACCCACCCACCCCAGAGCCCAGCATGCACTGGCAAATGCTCTCAAGTTGAAGAAGAAAACAGGCCACTCCTCTTCTGGGAGCTGACATTGTCCTGGGGTTGGGCGTTTGGTCTTGTGGACAATGGTAAGTCGCTCACTTTGACGTGGCTCTCGCCAACAACGACTCCTCATTTGCAGGTCAGGGACGTCCTAAAACATTTACCCGGAACCTGGTAGAGGCCGTTATCACGGCTACCTAAGGAGCCAACTATATCACTCTTTGAAACAAGCACCAGCTTTCTGGACCACTCGGAGTCCATCCACTGTTTGGTTCTGTCCCACAGACTTGTTGCGTCATGGCTTCGAGGATCTCAAGAGAACAAAGTACGAGATAGTCTGAAGAGACCAATTGCCTTGAGATTAAGACCATCTCTCCTACACATGATAATGAAGACCGCATCTATTTCTAGGCTGCCGATACAGAATTGATCACACATGATCTGCCCTTCCATGTTGACTGATACATAGCGTGCTCGCTTCATAAACCTGGCACCGCAAATTCCACCGGCTCCCTCTGCGCCTCCCACGCCAACCAATCGCTCCTCGTCGTAGGCAACAGTCCCATCCCATTCACCTTCCAAACGCCCAGCGCAAGCGCCACGATTTGCATGACCACATAGACGAGCTTCACCTGCAGCACCTTGCCCTTGTTAGTCTCCGTCTCGAACCGCTCAAACGCCTGGTTCGTGCCGAGTATTCCCATAATAGGGTTCTTGAAAGCCATAACAATCATCATGATGCTGAATATTTGGAGCGAGTTGCCGGACATGTACATCATGATAGCGGTCATGGGAAGAGACTTGATCGGGGCGAGGGCAACCTCCCAGGCCTTTTTGAGTTTGAGGGTGTCCATTTCTTCGGGAGATGGAGGGTCGCGTTTGGGGGCAGTTTTCTTGTCTTTCTGTTACGCAACAGCAGCAGTTAGCCAAGCGCCAGGCACAGTAGTTTCGTGAGATGCGGGACGTACTTTGGAGTTTGAGGGTTGCGAAGAGGGATAGCCAGGGGGGTCGGGGATCGACGATTTGGGCTTATATGGTGGGGGGTTCTTGAGCTCAATCGCCCATGGCGGTAACGTTGTAGCTGGCATTGTGGTGGGATGATGTCGAGGAGTGCGCGTCGCGATGGTGGTTGATTGACCTGGAGGCTTGAATGTTGAAGGTGATGTCTAGATTGAATGGCGTCCGTGCTTTAGGATGGATTTCAGGAAGCTTCTTGGCGGACCATGCTTGTTCCCATGTCAGTGGAACCCCGTTGCTGTTCTGGACCCGCTCCCCCACTCCCCACAGAACCAATTCTCCACATTGGCTTTGACTTGGAATTGGCCCTGGCGCAATTTGAATTTCAGGGGCCTCCATTGTTGAACAACTGCCCGAGGAAGATCCACGCAACCACCCGACTCAAGCGGATCGGAACCGACTAAACGCATCTATCGAGCTCCCGGCAGAGCCGCAAGTTAAAACCGCCACCGACTTTGCGACCGTTGAGCGTCCGACGTTGTGCTGAATCTCGAATTGGATAGCAAGAACGGTAATACCGGTGGTTCCAAAGTCCGGTACTTTCTGGGGCGCCCGAGCCAGACACCAACGAAACAAAACCAACACCAACTCGGGCTCTTAACAACAATACAAGAATAGTGACGCGACGAGATCGAAAGCTACAAGCATCCATCTTGCCGGCTTGACTTCCACGCGCGAACCGAACAAGCGATCGCCTTCGAGTCCAGAACTTGCCGAACCCAGCTTCAGCTTGGCGCGTCTATCATAAAGAGAACGAGAGACACGGAAACGACTACGAAAGCAGAGCATTTCCAGGGCTTGGTGTGAGGGGTCCGCCCCGTTGTTGTATCAAATTATTTTGTGAGAGAAAAGAAGGAACAATTCGAGACAGCAAACATGGCGAGCGCACAGGGAGGAGATTCGAAGCTTTTTGCTCGGGTAAGCACACAATCCCTTGTTTGGCGGTCTTGGTCCGGGTTTGCGGGGGAAGCCATCTCACCCAACCAAGCTGAGCTATACGGATGGCTTCTGGGTGACTGGCCAAGGGCGACATCGTCGCCTTATCGCATTCCGTGTTGCTACCCTACATTCCTTGCCCCTCACCACCTTTCAGCACATGCCGTTTCTTCTACCCATACCAACCAGAAACACGACATCATGAACACCAAGCCTTCAAGATGTTCATGGCATATCTTCCTCCGTCCACTTACTTACAAAGACCACAGGGTAAAGTCGCTGAGCTCCGCCTCGAGTTGAACAGCGGCAGCAAAAAGGACAAGAATTTCACGACGAAAAAGATTGCGCTGAAAAAGATTGTTGCCAATATGACCATGAGCAACAACGATATGGTGGCCCTGTTTCCAGATATCATTGGGTGCATGGGCATTCAGAATCTCGAAATCAAAAAGATGTGCTTCTTGTTCTTGGTCAACTATGCGAGAATGCGCCCCGAGGTAGCAGTGAAGGCGATTCCTGTTCTGGAACATGTTGGTTGACCCCCTTTCTTCGACCTTCTGGTTGTTGATGTGCTGATGATATGGGCAGGACATGGAAGACCCTAACCCTCTTGTACGAGCGCTGGCCTTGCGGACAATGTCTTATATCCATGTGCGAGAGTTTGTCGAGGCCACAGTGCCCATTGTTAAGCAGCTTCTCCGGGATTCTGATCCGTATGTGCGCAAGACGGCTGCGTACACTGTCGCCAAGTTGTATGATCATGACAGGCACATGGTGGAAAAGTCAGACTTGATCGACAGGCTAAACGGCCTGCTGAGAGATGACAACCCGACAGTAGTTGCCAGCGCCTTGGCCGGGCTGATGGATATCTGGGAAAGAAGCGACGCCATCAAACTTACCATTGATTACAGCAATGCGTCCAAAATGGTTGCCATTCTGCCAGATTGCTCAGAGTAAGTCCAGAGTTGTGCACACTCGGGAAGGGACGTGCTGACAGATTTGACAGATGGGGCCAAACATACATCTTGGAAGCCCTCATGTCGTATGTTCCACAAGAAGCAGGGGAAGCTACCCTGTTGGCGGAGCGTATAGCACCTCGACTTTCTCACTCCAACTCGGCAGTTGTCCTCACCTGCATCAGAGTAATTCTCTATCTGATGAACTACATTGCCGACCAAAAACAGATCTCCGCCCTCTGCAGGAAACTGTCACCACCGCTCGTCACTCTGTTGGCCAAGGGACCCGAGGTTCAGTACCTGGCCTTGAGGAACGCCCTGTTGATCCTACAGCGCCGCCCCGAAGTCTTGCGCAACGACATCCGCGTCTTTTTCTGCAAATACAACGATCCCATCTACGTTAAGGTCACCAAGCTCGAGCTCATCTTTATGCTGGCCAACGAAAAGAACATTGACGAAGTCCTGACCGAATTGCGAGAGTACGCCACCGAAATCGACGTTCACTTTGTCCGCAAGGCTGTCAGAGCTATCGGAAAGCTTGCCATCAAGATTGAACCCGCCGCGCGCCGGTGCATCAACCTGCTGCTGGAATTGGTGTCAACAAAGGTGACTTATATCGTCCAAGAAGCCACGGTCGTCATCCGCAATATCTTCCGCAAATACCCCAACCAGTACGAGTCCATCATCGGCACCCTGTGCGAGCATCTCGACAGCCTCGACGAACCAGAAGCCAAGGCGGCCATGGTCTGGGTCATTGGCCAGTACGCCTCCCGCATCGAGAACTCGGACGTGCTGCTGGAAGACTTTTTGGACTCGTTTGCCGAAGAGCCCGTCGAGGTTCAACTCGCCCTTTTGACCGCTACAGTCAAGCTGTTTATCCAACGGCCGACAAAGGGCCAGGATTTGGTCCCCAAGGTTCTCAAATGGGCCACCGAGGAAACAGACAACCCCGACCTGCGAGACAGGGCGTACATGTACTGGAGATTGCTGTCGACAGACATGGAGGCGGCCAAAAGGGTGGTCATGGGCGAGAAGCCAGCCATCACTGCCGAGAGCGAGAAGCTGGACCCGCAAACCCTCGAGGAGATGTGTCTGAACGTGGGCACCCTGGCTACAGTGTATCTCAAGCCGGTGCAGACTGTGTTCAGGAATGCGCGGCCCAAGAAGTTGCACGACAGCCCGTGCCTGCAACGTCAGGAGGTGGCCGTTCCTGGTTTGAGGCAGCCGGGGGATGACGGGAACAAGAGTTTGAGCGGGTTCGGGTTCGGTAGTGACAAGGCGGTCCAGAGGCAAGGGAATATGAGTGCGGCCGTATCAGACGCGGATGCCTACTTTGCGCAGCAACACACCAGACAACAAGATGGATTTGGGGATCAGGGGCATGGAGGCGGGTATGTGGTCAGCCAGTTTGACGCCCAGGTACCAGTCTACTCTGCACAGGGGCAGCCAAACAATGCCGACCTTTTGCTGTGATTCGAGTACATGTGTCGACAAAGGACAGGTTGTCTGCATGAGAAATGAGCGCAAGATGATACATTGCATTAGTTTAATACCATAATTCGTTCTACATTAGATCCTTCACCATAATTGTCGGCCGTAATCCTGTCTATATCCCCACTTCATCAGTTTGTCGTCGGTGTGCAACCCAAGGGGCCGTGGGAGGTGGTTACACATAAGTCGTCTTCTGTCCGCCCCTTTTGTAGCTCCAGAATCTCAACCCGATCAGGCTGCCGCAAAGCGCAACCCCAACCACGAACATCAAACTTTGGTTCGCGACAGCTTTGTGGCACAGTCCTTGGAGCCTACTGAATGCCAAATCCGGGGATTTTAGGTCCTCCTCGCGCAGATAACCAGCAAGTGGCTCCGATCCGCCAACATCAATCAAGCCTCCGTTGATGAGACCGGTAAAATACAGGCCTCTGCCGTCGTCATCCCCCAATGAGCAGCCATGGGTATCCTTGAGTCCAATCGACCAAGCCTGATGTTCCTCCGCATTAGCACTCCGCCTCGAGGGCGGTACGGGGGGAATGAATACTCACGATTCCGGCTGCGATGAACAACAATGCGGCGATACCGTCCAGAGCCATCAGGGCAATCGTTGGGACAATGTCCTCGAGCCATGTCCACCAGATGGCGCCGAGGAGGTTGGCCACTGCTACGATGATGGTGAAGGCGGCAACGAAGATGGTGAACTTGGTGGTGGTGGGGGGGTCGCCATATACCTGGCCCTTGAGGAAGGTGAGGGTCAAAGCCAGGACCGTGATTGATAGGATGAGCTATTCCAGGTTCCGTTGTTAACCACAACACTAAGGACAGGACAGGCCACAGCATCATGATAGCATACCTGGAGGGCTCGAAACACGGCCGTAACCACTTTGGACTTGCCCATGGCTGCCGGTTGTGTGTTGCACTTGGATGGATTGGGTACAGTACAGGACCTGGGGTGTACACTGGGGATAATTTCTGTCAGTCTGAGAAAGCGGATGAGGAGTTACAGCTTGGGGTCGGGTATTTGATGTGCAGTAAGGGAAGGCAGGTGCGGGCGGGAGTGTTCTGGACTGCCTGAGCTTCTTTCCTTGGAGGGCGGGAGCGAACAGGCAGCTGTTCAGTAAAAGCTGGAAGCCATGAAGGACCTCCCGTCTTTCCCAAATGGTGGTTGAGGTGATGTCTTGGAGGGGTTAGATCCTACTCACGGTGTTGGGTTTCAGGGGGTGATTGTGCAATGGCGTGACGAAAAAAAGGTCAATTGACAGAGGAAATACGAGAAAGAAAACCAACAAGGAGGGTTCTTCCCTTATATACTAGCAAATTCAGTAGTGAACCTGGTAAAGGTAACCACTATCATAGCCGCATCAAGAGTGGGCGAATGCGTGGAACTTGTGTCTTGTGTCACCAGATAACACCACCAAAGAGTCACCATCAAGTTCAACGTCTGGTCTTCAATCTGATCACAAACGCTTGGCGGATGCCTGCCTTACCCTGAGGCACATGTTTTGATACGGCACTTTTGGCGTTGCACTCATGGATTTCTTCGTTCATGCCCTCGGACGATGTGGTGTGGTGGTCAGGACCGAGGTCTGACAGCCTTGCTAGACCCCTTATGCTATGGTGTAGATGCCAAGCCACGTTGGCTACAATCTCAGCTAACCAAATTGGCATCCAAAGGAACTTTCACTGAAAGATTTTGTCTTTCAAAATGCATCTTATGTGGAATTCTCAAAAGCTTCATGTGCAGGGCTCTCATGGGGAGACGGGACTTCGGTTCTAATATAGATTGGGCGCTCTTGGCCACTGTATGGTTATCATGGCTATCACCAAACAGTTATATAGGGAGATACACCAGCTAAAAAACACACCCCTGTGAGTATTTAATCCCAAACTACAGACAGTATCGGTTGAAACTGGCTGGCCCTTTTGTACATTTTCCTTGTCACAAGCAGCCGCCTTGCTTAACCCATCGACCCCAACAAAATTATTCGAAAGCAGCTGGTTGCAAGGAAAAAAAAGGAAAAAAGGAGGAAAGCTGTAAACTTGGAACCCTCTGACCGGCCCCCGACACAGATTCATTCAACTATATCATCATCCGTGCTTTACACGTCCACGTCCACGTCCATATCTGCAGCATCCCCAGGAACGGGAACAACCCCATCCTCCCCTTCACCTAGAACCACCTTGCCGCCGCCTTCGTAGGTGACTCTCCGCCACCCAGTCTCCTCCTCAGGGTCCTTGATGAGCTCCACTGTGGGGAAATAATGCTCGTTCTTCTTCATGGTAACCATCCACGGCACACTATCAAAAGTCACTGCCCTCATGCGGAAATCTGCGAAACTTGTCAGAATGTGGTAAGAAGGGCGGTGCGTACTAGAAATAAACTTACAGGTATTGTCGGGAATCCTAACAACCGCAGCCAAGAAGCTCTCCAGGTCCGGAGTCGGCTTGTTGTTGACATGTGTAATGAAGTTGGTCGGCGCCAACCCATACTGATACGCGGGGGATCCACGAGTCCGGGCAGAGACATAGACCTCGCTGAATAGTTCGCTGATTTGTTGTCTGACGGCATGGTGTGGTCTGTGAATGATAGCACCGCAAAAGGAGATTGCCCGGTGCGTCTCGACGTCATCAGCCGCGACGGTGGGTAGTTTCAACTTCAACTCCTGGCGCTCGCGCACAATCACGGCATCCAGAAACTCGTTGGCGTACATGACATCGAGATCAGATATTCTGGTGATCATACTGCCGTTCAGGGTCAAAATTATGTCGCCCTCAAGCAGAGCCGGGGCCTCTTTCTCCTCCACACGCTCACAGGTGCACTTGGTGACCATGAAGAGCTGGTGATGGGCAGTATTGGCCACAGAGACCTTCTCGATCCATTCCTCAGAGACACCCATTAGGCGCGCCTGAAGCATCTGGACAGCGCGGAGCTCGACTGGCAACATGCGCAGCTTGGGGACGATGCCATCCTGAATCTGCTTGAGGACGGGCAGCAGAGTAGGAGTGGCAAGGCCGAGATGGTACTCCTCATCTCTGTGGGTGGAATGAGAACGCTCTCCCAGATATGTCAACCACAGGGCCTGAACGGTACCGTCCTGCGCAACCAAGACTCCGCTGCCGCACTGTCCACTGAGACTGGTGTCGACAGTGATAGCGTCGAAATTGACAGCACGATAACGGGGCGCCCCGGAGTTTGCCGGAATCGTCACAGCAAAACTCTCGGTGACCGTGGTGGCCGCGTGAACGATTCGGCCGATTCTGTTGTAGCCGATGAAGTAAGTTGAGGCACCTTGGCTGATCTGCTCGTTACCCAGTTTGGCGCTAAGAACCGGCGCTTCAACCAGCTTAGGATCATACTGAATGATGGCGTAGTTTTGCAGAGGGTGGAGAAAGACCACCTTGCCCTCCACCACAATGGAATCGGCGATAGTGATGCTGATATCGCAGAGATCGTACGGAACGATGGCTCTGGAGATCACCACGAGGCCCTTCTCTGCATCCACGACCAGGCCCATTCCCCACTTCCGGTTCTTCGGGAAGCCGTCCAGCTTGACCGGAAGAGTGCATTGAACATGAACAAAGCTTCTAACGAGATCTGCCACGGCAGGGTGAGATGTGTGCTCCAGCTGAATGAATCTGGCCTTGGTGGGGACCGGAGGGATTGGGGGAAGGGGGTCCGCGAGGTTGGTGAAGTCCCAAAGTCCAGTTTTGTCGTTTCTGACTGCCAGCTTCATCTTCTTGGCCCAGTGGCGGTCGACGAAGATAATGGTGGTGTTCAAAGTGTGCAGATCTCGCAGATGTTTATATGTGACAACAACCCTAGACTTATCCGGAATCCCCTTCAAAACGTCAATGAAGGTATCGAGGTCGGGTGTCTTCTTATGGTCCACAGTCTGGATTAGCCACCCGCATTCAGAGCTCTCAAAGCGCCAAGAACCACCGGCTTCGCAGACGTAGACACCCTTGCAGGCCACACCGTACAGACGGGCTTGCTGGTACGACAACTCGTGAAAGCTACCGCCCGCAACCGAGACGAATCGATCAGGCGTAATCTTATGCAGATCACCGACCTCCACCTCGACTTCGACCTCATCGCCGCCACGCAGCACCAGAAGCTTGACAGTACCTCCAACACTGGAGTCCAGAATATCATCCAGGCGAATGAACTGAGTCAGCATTTCACCGTTGACTTTGATCAGCACATCGCCTTCCTCGATCTTCTTGTGCGAGGGACCCCCAGGGAGAATAATTTCGGCAACCAACATGTTGGTCTCCTTGGGGAACTTTTCGCGGACTTGAGCCTCCCACTCAGGGGTCAGGCCCAATCTCCGGCATTCGTCGAACGGCTTAAGAACGAACTGAGTTTGGATATCTCCGCGGGTGATGGGATTTCCTTCTTGCAGACACTTGAGCGCGCGGAGAGGGCGGTCTAATGGGAGGAAGTAATCTGTGGAAGCACCGTCGCTTCTCCCTCCAGCTTGAAGCGCCACGGCATATCCATCGATGTCTACCACGGGACTGCCCGAAGAACCACCGCTGGCTGCGGCGCTAGCCTGGTAGTAACATGTGTTGAAGTCGCTGTACCCTTCACCATATTCGGGAGCATTCCGGTCCAGTCTGCTGATCACACCCGAGAGGATACTGAGCTTTTCTCCAGCATCGTTGCCGACCACTCTAATCTCAATGCCCACCTTTGCCAGATCTGGCCGAAGCTGGAGGGCCTCAACAGGCATGTATTTGATGGCTTTGGGGTCGAATTTCAGGATGCCGAAGTCGTGGACCGGATCGCGATAGACGGGGTAGGCGTCAACCTCCTCGTGGTTATCAAACACGCAGTAACCCCAGAAGGGTCCTGACCCAACAACGTGACGATTTGTCAAGATGTACCTATGATGAGTGTGGAAATCAGCACATATTCACACGCTTACACCCAAGCGTAATAACTGACCCTCTCTCCGCATCTACCACGAACCCCGTGGCCTCGCTGGTCAAGGCGGGGTCTGTATCGAAGCTACATGTCTGGCAAAAGCGGATTGAGACGACATTTCGTACCACCCGCTGGATGGTTTCTTGCCATTCGGCGGTATCAGGACCAGCTGGGAGGAGGGCAGCCAGCTTGTCGTCAGGCTCTTCGTATTCGGGCTCGATGAAGCTGTCGTCGGGTCTGTCGGGGGTGTTCTCGCCGCCCGAAGTATCCAGATCCCCATTGGCGCGATGATGCTTGGGGTGGCGGGCATCCAGTGCATGGGGTGGCTCTTTGCGCTTGGTACGAACTGACGGGGTCAGGTTGGAACCGTTCATCGTGGCGGTGATGGGGTTGACGGTAGATGGATGTGGTGGTGATGGTAGTGATGATGACACAGTTGTGGAAAATCGCTGGGCGGTCGTACGTAGAAAGAAGAGGTGATTGTTGAACTTTTTGCCTGGTAGATTCAAGGCTCTGAAGGGGAATGGGTGATTATGATAGTTGGTAAATAAAGTGGAATGAGTGTGTTGACGAGGTGAACGGGAAGCTACTGTTTGGTAGCTGATTGTGAGTCTGGCTGGTGTAACCAAGCTCTGTTTACTGGATCTGTTGGCAGAAACACCTGAGCGCGTGCCGAAAAAGAGAGCTGGCCGCATTCACAGCCTGGAAGAAAATACCGAGAAGTGTTGGTTGTTGAGAAAAAGAGGCCCAGCTAAGAATGGGATTGCTCTGTCAATTCACACTCGCGACGAATTCTTGCGTTGCCTTGCAGCAACCTGCAGGGCCACAGAGGCAAGGCGCATATGCCGATTGGCGGGGTGGAGTGAGCCTACCACCAGGAGCTTATCTAATCAAACTCCATCCAATTTCATCATTCAGCGCATCCAAATATTTCAAACACTACTAACACAACACATAGGTAAATCGCAGAGGAGACGGCATGCTTCTTGAAACACATAGACTCTATAACAACGCAATCTTTTTTTTCACTCCCCCCCGACTCCCAGTGTATCTTTGACCCGTCACAAGACATGTTTCATGGTAAGGTTTCAAGCAAACATTTATGAGACTTCGTAGACATCCCAAGTGCCCAACGTTCAGGGGGGTAGGAAAAGCGTTTTCAGCTGAGTCAGCGGTGCTGATTGATTTACCAACTGGCACTTGATGGGAAATTGCCTCGGAAGCTCTCACCGTCTTGTAGGCTCGAGGTATGGACACGTATAGAAATTCTCCTGTTATGTTTGAGGGCAGCCAGTTGGAGATACGGTATGTATGATCATGGCAAATTGATTAGCAGGCGAATTTGGTTCACAAGAACAATTTGATCCACAAGAACAAGAAACCAGCAGGCAATGCTGCATTATGTATTCACACCAACTAGCAACCACAATACCCGCCTTCTTAGGCTGGGAGCTGGAAGTCCTTATACGTCCACTTCTCTGTGATCTTGGTCTTGGCCAGCCTCTTGTAGGGAATCTTTCTCCGAGCCTCCATTTTGCCCCGAACCAACATGCTCCTGTACCTGTCCTTGAGCAGGTTGCCTTCTGGCTTCAGGAGTCTCAACGAATCCTGAAGCTCGTCTGGAAGCACAAGCTCCAAGTCCTTCTCCGGCAGCCTGTACCGGCCAAACTGTTTCCTCCGCAGCTTCTCGTCATCACCAATCTCCTCCGCATCACTGAACTCGGCCTTTTCAAGGGCCAACTGCCTTTCCTTCTCTGCCACCTCCAACGCAATTTGCTTGATCCGCTCGGCCTGGGCATTCTTTGCCTTCATGGCCGCTTCGTGCTTCTGCCTCCGTTCTTCCTCCTTTCTTCTCTTGATTCTGTTTCTCTCAGCCTGTGTTTTGCGTCTTGGCCGCTTGGCCTTGACATTGAGCTCCTCTCCCGCACTCTCGAATCCTTCCCAAGCAGAATCGTCCTCCCACTCTGAAAGATCCGCCCTTGCCTCGGCAGCTTCAGCCTCGGCGGCTGATCGAGCGGCGGCCTCAAGTTTAATCCTTTCCGCTTCTAATTCGGCAAGACGCTTCTTCTCGGCCTCCACAGCCTTCTCGCTTTCCTCGATCAACCGTTCTCGATACTCGGTGAAGTCGGGGTTGTAACTGGCGCCACCCTTCGGTACATAGACAGCAGGGATCGGTTTGCCGTTGGCAGAGAGTGAGATGGATTGTTGTTCGAGGGTCTTGGGCTTCTTGGGCTTCTCTTTCTCGGGCAGGAAAGCCAGCTCGACAGCCTTCTCTGGCTCTGGCTGTGGCTCGTCGGCCCAAGGGTCAAATGCGGCATCGACGATGTCAACCGTTGAGTCGTGTTGCCCATCTGCCACCCTCTTTAATCTGCTGAGCTCCTTGCCGCTGACATACTCCTTGCGCTGCCTTTTGACTGGAAGAACACCATCTGTGGTCTTGTCGTGAGCGGGGCGCTTGCGCATAGGCACAGCCGGTACTGCTGACCGAGCCGCAAGAATCTCATCTGACTTGAGGCCCTTCTTGATCTTGGGGAACTTCTTGGTGATAGAGGCATCGCCCTTGACGTCGAGAACGAACAGATCGGCAGAATCCTTTTCCGCAATAACTCCACTGCAAAAGCACAATTGGTTAGCGACCGCAATCGCACATTCAAAAAGCAGGCATAATCGAGTCCTACCCAATAATCTTTTGAGTATTCAGCTGGTCAAGGCCCTTCGTGATGTCGGTAACGTCGACATTCTTGCGCCACGCCTTCTTGCCCTTCCTGGATGGTTGTTTGTACTGCGATGGGGCATCGATATTGCCCGAGGGGGCCTTGAGAACAGGCATCTTGGACTGTGGCTGTGGTTGCTGTCGGTCGAACCAGTCGTTGCTTTCAAGCAACTTTTTTCTGGTGTTTTCGTCGACTACGAGTCTGGCCCAAAGCACCCTGCCAGAGAAACAAAGTGGGGTCCGGGTTTTCAAAATTTCAGCGGGTGTTCGTGGCTGATAAGATAAGAACCCCTGCACGTGGCGCATAAAGTACCATGCACGGGGTGTCAGGCGAGGGTGACCTGGCCAGCACCCAATCCGAGGTCCAGGCCTGATGCTTCTGGCTGCTTGCTCATGACGGCCGCCAAGAGCGCTGGAACGGCCAGGCGTGGCTTGCGAAAAACAGCGGGCGTCGCCTGGCTGGTGGCATGCACGCACGCATGGACACGCCCCCCCCTTTCACCGTAGCCGCAATCGGGTCTGTTAAGGAGAGTTGAGAGACTGGGCGTTGTGGATTCGAGCCGAACCGAATTCCCATCACAAAGGGAACTTAGACCTCCCAGTTTTTGAACCTTACTCCGTACCGAGTATAATTTTCGAGGACACTTGTTCACTCCTAGACAATACCGATACAACCATCCGAAAGCTGTTGAACCACGCCGCGCTTCTTGGGTTCCTGGTCAGCCTGGCCACTGATTTGACGACGGTTAACGACGACTCCACGAGCACCCCTTTTAACGAATACACCCCTCCCTCCCTCAACGACGGCCACCACCGCCGAGACGATACATTTCGATTCTCTACACCAAATAATATCAAAACCATGGCGCAAACAGGAGCGGGCGGGTCCTACAACAACCCGCTGAAGAAATTTAAGTATGTTGCTGGTGCTCTTCGGCGCGCGCGGAATACAGCACGAGGTGGCTAACCACGTATTCCACAGGCTGGTATTTTTGGGCGAGCAAAGCGGTATGGAAACACGTACAACCCAAAGACGGAACCAGGGACAGATACTAAATCGTTTGATTAGTCGGCAAGACATCTCTCATCACACGGTTCATGTACGACTCGTTCGATAACATGTACCAGGCCACCATTGGCATTGACTTCCTCTCCAAGGTACGTTAATTCCGCTGTTGGCTTTCTGGCGTGTGGCATTGGCTAACAGGATGGAACAGACAATGTATCTTGAAGACAGGACAGTACGGCTTCAGCTTTGGGACACGGCAGGCCAAGAACGTTTCCGCAGCTTGATCCCCTCATATATCCGTGACTCAAGCGTTGCAGTAGTGGTCTACGATATATCTAGTACGTTTCTCTACTAAACCTTCTTACTCTCCTTTTCTTTCTTGCTGACCCCGACACCAGATGCCAAATCCTTCCAAAATACCCGGAAATGGATCGACGACGTCCGCGCAGAGCGAGGCAACGACGTCATCATTGTGCTGGTAGGCAACAAGACGGATCTCAACGACAAGCGTGAGGTTACCACCGCCCAGGGTGAGGAGGAAGCGCGCAAGAACAACCTCATGTTTGTCGAGACCAGTGCCAAGGCGGGTCACAACGTCAAGAACCTCTTCAAAAAGATCGCGCAGGCTCTGCCCGGGATGGAAGGGGCTGACGGGTCGGCTGCTGCTTCTGCGCAGGCCAGCTCCCAAATGATCGATGTTAAGAGCACAACTACACCACAGCAAGACGGGTGTGGTTGCTAGACAGATTCAAAATGTGAGGGTCTGGACGTACACGAAGGGGGATGAATGAGTCGGGAGAGAGCCATGGTCATTCCGCACACGAATATACCGCGCAACCTCTGTTTTGCTTGCTTTTGTGTGAAGGTTAGACTAGGGAAGCATAGCGGGGGGTCATGGGTGGCTTTCACGCACCAAAGCGTTTCACATACTTGGTTAAATCTACGTAATGATATATCTTTAGGAGTTTGGGTAGCCGGAACAAGTGGAATAACACGTTCAAGACACTCGATTCATCACTCGCTCAAAGTCCAAGTCGATCTTCTTTTGTGGGCAGGTAGAGGGGGTTACAGAGCCGTTGTTCTCAAAGCACAACAAAGGTATTTGCCGGCTGCCCATGAAGATGTCTACAACACTCTGGAGATACATTCTAGTAAATAAACTTTTTTTCTGAACACAGCTCCCCTTTCTTAGTTGTAACGCCGAATTCGCCAAACCCGCAGAAGAAAAAAAAACAATGTTCATGCATGTATGCCCGTCCCCTTTGAGAATCATATCTTGGTCCACACAGATTGTTCCTGGTGGCCCATGTTCAACGTCCCATTGGACGAACCACACATGTTCCCAACCTTCCTGATTAGCTGCTGATAGACGTCGTACTCATTGGCTCTGAGCCTAGCTCGGGTATCTTTTTCTCCTCCCATGACAGGACGATCGTCAAAAGGGAAAGTGACGAGAAATGACGGGTCTAACCCTTCCTTAACGCCACCCAGCTACCGGTAAAGGACATGAAGGGTGCTGAGACGGGAGCCAGTTCCGGATCACGGCTGAGAGATCGAGCCGCTCAGTCGGTATCCATCTCATCATCCTCGTCCTCGAATCCGTCGTCCTCGTCGTCATCCTCGCCCACAACACCGCCAAAAGACTCGGTAATTTCCTCCACGCCACCGTCAGTCCTGACCCTCAATCTCTTCACCTCACCACCGAAAGCCTTGCTCTTCTTCCCGGAAGCCTTGGCGGCGAGCTCCTCTCTCTCCAGCTCCTCAACATCGACACCCCTCTCAGCAGCCAACTCAACCAACCTCCTCTTCTCGCTGCCCCTGAGTCTGGGAAGCAAGTGCTCGTTGTCAGCCACCAGCTTCCTGGCCGCGGCAACCTCGCGCGCCCTCTTGCCGGCCATGCGTTTCTTGTAGAAGATTCTCTCGCGGCGGGCCTTGATTTCGCTGATGCGCTCCATGGCCTTGAGGGTCTTGGCGAAGAGCTCGCGGTCGTAGCGGACGGGCACATTGCGGCGGGCGGCAAACTGCAGAGTGCTGTCGACCGTCATCTCCTTGCCGGCGTTCTTGCGATAGGCCTTTGTCCACTTGAGCTTGCGGGGGTTGCGCTTCATCTTGAAGTTCTTGTGACATTTTGAGCGGCAGAAGCGGAAAGATTTGCCTGCGAAATTCGCAACGAGCAATGGTCAGCGACAATGGGAACACACACCAGCAAGGTGCAAGAGATCAAGAGGGGAGGACAAACCATCGTTGCGCATAAAGGTGATACCCTTGCTAGGCCACGCGGGCCTACCGCAGAAGAAACAGTTATCGACGCGCATCTTGGAGTGTGTATATGCGCCCCTTTGAAGACGTGGAAAAAAAGGGAAGCTAAGGTGGTGGTTGTTTTGCGAAAAGAGGGTGACAGGACTGCACTCTCTTCTCTCTCCACCTGGCGCTGAAGGTTCAACTTGCAGCAGGCCGAAAAAATTGACCGCCTTCTTTTGCCCACCCTCCGCTGCAGGAAAAAAAATGTGGGGTGTGGTGAAAATCGTTATCTTATCGGTCGCCAAGTGTTGAGAGACCAGCTTTTGAAGGGGTTAGGGTTATACAAGAGTATCGGCGTCCACAAGACCTTGAAGATAGCTGAGAGAGGTACTCTCCGTTTGTATGCGCAATTGGTTAAGCGGGATTGACCCTTAAGTTACTGCCCGATTTTGAGTTGATGATCTCTGCAGTGTTTTGATTGATATAGTGAGTGTACTTCGTCTCGTCCTTTGAGGCCATGAATTTTGCAATCGGTCTGCAAGAATCTGGAAAGGTTGGATCCTAAGGAATTCCACTCCCAATTGCTCTTTCGTTGACGTTCGGGATGTAGAATCGATTACTTGTAGATACTAAAGCTTCGATAAGTTTATGTAGATTTGCTGCATCTAGCTCGGAAGGAAAGGATGTAATTCAATTATCTGTACTCACGCCGTTTTGACTGGGCTGCTTCGTTGAAAACTTTAGGTATGTGCTCGAGGTCAGTTTATGAATGGTCTCTCACTGCTATCAAGAAAGAGATGCCTGGAAAAGCTGATTCCCCCATATTTTGGCAAGCCCAGCCGTATTGTGAGATATGAAGAAGTATCATGTGATACGTTTGAAGAGCAGCAGAGTTTCACCATCGCGAGCCTTGGCTTCCGAAGCGATGGGAGGTGCCAAGACAGGGTTTGGACGCTAACCTGAGGCTTGGTGATCAGTTCCACTCACCTCACTGGGCAGCCTTCGAGTACACGCAGAGAATGATCTCTACATACGAACTTCTCTTACAATCTGGATTCAAAACTGAAAGAAGTCAATTGCATCGAGCGTAGCAAGGGCTTTTGTGTTGTCCTTCACGGTTCTGGGACGCGAGAACCGCTTACGGCAGTCCAGGGGCTGCCCATGTGACCAACATGCGCCTGAGGGTTTCGCCCCAGGCCTGAAGGCTGGATGTTGATTATAATTCAAAGCACCCGGTGGCCCGGACTTGATCTCCGGAGTTTCTGTGTGTATGAGCGCTGCAAAAATCTTTCTTGCAATCAGATGAATTACATCAAAATAAGGTTTTCGATCGCGGTCAAGCAATGGCAAGAGACGTCAAATGAAGACGCCGTCGAGGATCGTGAACTCCACACATGACCCACTTGGCGCCGTTGTTTTCTGGGGAAAGTCTGGGGAATGTGGAGCAGTTAGACCAAGGTGGCTCCACCGACCCTCAATTGACAACGCTAGCACACAACCAAGAGGGAAACAATATCAAGTTTGATATCAAAAACATCTTGGGGTTTTGTTTTTGACCCTCTAACAATTCCAAATCCTTCTCCAACATTGGAGGCTCTGTCAAAGAGAAACAAGCTGAGCAGGGCCTGAGAGACAAGCCTAATCATCCTTTCCTCCCCCGCATTTCAAGTGTCTTGTGGCGCCATGTCAGTCCGTAAAGTGAGACGACATGGTTGACGGCTGGCAAGAGTGAGTCCAAAGTGACGTCCAATGAAGTCCATGATTGGTGCATGGATATTGCTGCGGTCTCTTACCCCGCTTTCTACCAGGCATGTCTGTGGGTGGTCTTTCCGCTCCTGTCAACGCGCCGCTTGATTGGCCTTGGCTGGTGCATCCCCTTCCTTCCTGGTTGGGCTTTGGAGTATGCCTGGGAAGGTCGTGGTGGCCATCGCTCCAAGCTCCTCGAAGGAGATGTGGCGGTTGCCCTTGAGGAGGGATACGTTCCTGCTGGCTGGATCATGGGAAGTGTATGCCAGCTGAGCACACCCGGGACAGGGTCGCCAACCCAGCCATAAAGGGGGTTTCCCGTCCCTCCCACTTCATCTTGACCTTACCTTCCCCAAGCTCTTCCCGCTCTTTGTTTGTGTGTAACATCTCCTCTTCTTTGTTCCACCGCGTGTAGACGTCAGTCCATCAACATCTGCATCTAGAGAACGATTTCCTTTGGTGGTGCATCTCCGTCAATCTACCTATCCTAGGTTCACCGCGGTCGATAACCGCTCTGGTATAGACGAGAAGGGTATGTGTTCCTTCCTCTCTTTCATCACCAGGCATCATCGTCACCTGTTTTGCCTGATGAGCCCACTATCTCCTTGCTTCTTCCCTAGGGTGTACCCCATCACGTCGCAGCAACCAAATCACATCGGTTCCAAGATTGTCATTGTGCTAACGTCAACACCTGTTGAAGATTTCCTGTCTCTTTGCAACGAACTCCCCATACGATCTATTTCCCCTCGAACCATCTCTCAAAATGCCCGTCCGCATCCCCGCTGCCACTCGGACTGAGGTCTTCTGCATGGGGGCAGGTGGCCTCAGCGCCTTTGCACCTTTCTACATGATCATCCCTGGCGCCGAGGAGCGTGTCGCTCGCCAGACCACCAAGTGGGCGCCCAAATGGGAGCGCAACATCACCATGTTCAAGTCTCCAGTTGAGCGTGGTGTCCAGCGGATCTCGCCCCCGGTAGCCCGCACTGTTCAGAAGGTTGAGCACAAACTTCATCTTGAACAGGCAGCACAGAAGACTGGCCGGGGTATCTCGAAGAGCTTTGACAAGATGGGTATGAAGCACACCTGAAAGTTTGGCGATGGGAAAGATCAAGTTGGTATGATGACATGATGGGAATGAAACACAACAATGGGTATCGTGTTGGCGTTGGCTTTGTTGCGCTCCTGTACATAAGTACTTGTGTTTGATGATGGGTGGTCCATGGTATTGCAATGGAAGCTAAATGAGGTATTGGAGCTCCAGCGCTGCCTCCATTCACTAGGAATATATGGCAGTATGACTGTGATTGGGCGTCTACCTGTGCAGTACCAACTCCGTCCTGTATGTTAGCATTACATGTCAAGCTTTTGCTGTCTTACAATTGCTTCCTTTCTCTTTTTTCCGCTATCAACAAAATCCCGATAATGGTCTGTACGTCCACAGCTGTTCTATAATTCTCGCCATGGCAGATGTCATCACGTTCATCTTTTAGGCCAACATCAGGCTGGCAGACACTTGTATTGCCAGATAGAACATAACCGCAGTACAGCGTCAAACTATCTTCGAGGTGTAGGAAGATGGCACTGGTTGATGCTGTGATAGAAACATGCAACTCTGTAATGCTGCTGGTGTAAAGTTAGGTAAGCCCGACGCCTAAGTTCAATGTTTCTTATGGCTTCATTCGAGCTGACATTTCTCTTCAGTATAAGACATGGTCATGTTGACCTCGATCATCAGCAGAGGCATATACTCAAATATGGTGTTCTGGTATTCCGCAGAAAGGTAATGGACAGTTCATTGCTGTATTCCTGAAAGAAGAGTCCCTTCCTGTCGATGACATGGAGCCCTACCAATTTGTGTACGGGCACTCCATCTGCAATGTTCTCATTACACAAGCATCACAACGTAGAAAGACCTATGTTGTCGCCAAGCGCTCACGCTTAAATTCATCATTGGAGACTGGGTCTGTATAACTAGTATCTCGTGAGAAAATGCAGAACATCTAGGTAGGGTTCTCAACTGTCAAGGATGTTTCAAGCCGGCTCAGTTGCTCGTCCACAGTAGATGGCATGGGTTCAAGTACCGGTCTGTATCTGGCGGCATTGTTGAGTCCAAAGGACGGTGTAAGTCGCAAAGTGAGCCAATCATATAACTCGACGGACTGGGCGGGTGGAGTTAAGGTCAGAAAAGGCCAGCGCGCTGTTGCAAATAGGTTAGCATGAAAGAGAAATCAACTGAGATGAACTTCATGCATCGAAAGCTTTACGCCCGTGAGAGCCTTACGACTAGTGTTGAAAATTCCCCATCTGTCTTGAACGAGGAGCACCTAGGTAGACATCTTACAGAGCAGCCAACGATCTTTTCTCATAGCGCGTGCTGACCGTGGTGGCTTCTAACTTTCCAGGGTCGCCAACCAAAAAACGCCCCCTACCAGCAGGCTGGAACCAGGGGCGTCTTTCACGCTCGCTGACTGGTGATTAAAATGGGTTACCGAGAGAAAGTAAGCGATGTAATTACGTATGACTGGTCAATGTACTGAATGGCTTTTCCCATATTCAAACATCGCGGTTCTATTCAGGACGCAATTCACGGCCTCACATTTTGAGCAGATACGCGGATACAAGCCATGAAAAATGGCCCCGCTATTTCCAACCGGCGCTCTTGGGCGCAACGCAAGCTTTCAAGGAAAACCAAGGCTTCAAAAGGCCCACACATTTCTGTTGGTCGCATAAAACTTGAACGTTGAGTGGCTCGAGAGCCAGTGCCGACTGATCCGATCCTGTTTGGGAAGTCTGGCCAAGACGGCGCGACACAACAGGAGGAGACCCAGGTGGAGTTGTTGATCGGGACCCTGAGGAAGTCCGAGATTTGTCGAGTTTAGTTGGTTCTGCGATTTTAGCTTCGGTTCCCTCTCCTGATCATCGCATTTCTGGCACAAAAACACTTCGACTTCTGCGCTTCTTGACGATTTTGGTTTGCGATTTCTCTTTGGGCGTTTGTACGGTTAAGGCGCAACGGGGATCAGGAAAAAGACCAAATAAAAGACGAAAAAGAACGGGGGAAAAAATGATATCCTCACGATCGTCGTGTCGGCTTCGGCTGCCTCGCCCAAGGGTTTGTTGGTCCTCGATGCCCTCCTTTTCGAAAGTTCAGACACTGATCATCGCGCAGTCATTCCTAGGCTTCATGTCCCTACAGACCGGCACGGAGCTTGTCTCTCTTGCGCTCTTGTTCAACAAGGCGACGGGAATCTATGGCCTCCTTACCCTCTTCACGGGCTTCCAGATGTCGATCCTTCAGTTCACCGCCTACTTCATTTCGATTGCCGTTATCGCCGTTCTGGCGTTCTGCCTCCCACATATTCGCAAGGGAACGCCGTTTCAAAACCTCTTGCTAGCCTGGGTTTACGCGGTGGACACGATTGTGAGCGGACTATACACGACAGCTTTTGCGACGGGGTGGTACATGCAGTTAAAGGAGATGCAGGCCACTGTCGCCTCAGGAGCTCCCGAAGAAGAGGAATTTCAAATGGTTGAGCCTAGGGGCGAGACAACCACCCCAGTCAGAGACGACGGCATCGACACGGCGTTTAGCATGGTGCTTATTATTGGGTTTACACTTATCAGGATTTACTTCAGCTTGGTTATCATGGCCTATGCTCGGGCCGTTATCCTGCGGTTTGTTGACGAGAGGGTGCCCGAGTCTGACGAGGATGATGAGTCCGGGTCGGCACCAAATCCGTTTGCTGAGGGTGCCCCCCTGGGAGAGGGATTGGAGGGCAAGATTGGGAGGTACATGATTTCTGTGGGGAAGAGCTATTGGCTTGGTGGAAGAAAGGAGGATGAGGAATGGGCTAAAGATGTTCATTCAAAATTCAGGAGCAGCAGGAGATGATTCTCCTCTGCCGGTGATGTTGTCGAGATGTGGGACGAAGTACATAATGGCGGAGGCGAGTCACATGTTTTCAGCGGCATTTAATGAGTTCAAAGGGCCATCTTTCTGATATAGCACGGTACATTTGGGCGCATGGCTGGTTGGCATACTGCCCTTTTTTTATACTAGACATTGTCATAATAGGGGTTAGGATCTTCGGTTCAGGGGCAAGTAGGGGGGGTTGGAGCTGGGGAGCTAATCATATTCACTCAGATAATAATGGATACGTTGAGAGACAACATCCCACCATGAACCCTTTGTACGAATTATGTACAATTTACGACATCTCGCCAGAGAGCCACGTGTGGCGGACTTGGCAACACCACCTGACTGCTCGCCCGCGCGGGTTGACATACCGCAGTAGATGACCCCCATCTCCATGGGACGTGAGAAGAGGTGAGAAGAGAGGATGGAAAGGCTGTGACCCCGAAGCCAAAGCCGAAACAGAGACGGATCCAGGTTCCCGTTTCAACGGCCTATGCCGAGAGACGAGCATGTTGGGTGCCGAAGACAAAGTGGAACGGCTGGGTTCGGAGACCCGGTGTTAGTCATTGTGGGCAGCGGTGGCATCAACTTCAGATGGTGGGTGTCAAAGGAGACATCGAGGAAGTCCATGACAAAGCATGATTTGAATCCCACGCGTGCAATTCGCTGGATGTGCAGCAGCACTCTGGGGGTTCTGGGCAATTCCCGGGATTCGAGGCGCTAGAGCGATCACGCAATCGATCACCTCTTGCGCCCACCTACCCATCAAGAGAAATTTGGGACACATGCGGGGCCGATATAGGGACCCTTTCGCATGAATTGCCTCCGGCTGCACCTTACATAAGTGCCATTGTTTTTTTTCCCTTTTGTCTGCTTGCGATGCAGTAATTCCCTTTCCCAGTCACTCCTCACACACTCTCAGTTCTCCTGTCGATACCCTCACGATGGCAGGCGCACTCACCACGATAAGGACGCCTGAAGAAGCCGGTAAGACACCCAAACCCCTCCCCCACATTACCCCAAGCTGTCAAATCGCCGCGAGCAAGCTTTCCCTGCCCCGCCAAAATTGTTTGCTCGCAATGCGACCGACAGCCGGACTCAACCCGGCATCTCGACCGACAGCCGGGCACACTGCGAAAAGCCTCACAACCGTCCCCAGGGTGTTGATGAGGTGCGCGCAAGCAGTGTAGAGACAGGTAGCTGACAGTTGATTGGACTAGTCGCGAGAATTGCATACCTTTCCAGCGATGTGGTCATCTCAGTCCAGCCGTCGCTCGCCTCTGATTCCGAGTTCTCGAGCCACTTGAAGCAGCTCGCCAAACAAAAGGAACAAAGCTTGGTCGCGAAGACCTCGGACGCTGTTCCAGAAATCCAATCAGTCAGACACAACAACGACCCATTACTCTCCGTCTTCACTCCCATCCGCTCCGGCCAGCTGGTTTCCGTCACCACCACATCTTCCATTCTCCTGCCCTCGGTAGCACATCTCTACAAGCTTGCCAACCTCCCGGTCGTCATCCATGTTGCGCTTGGTCCCAAGAGCTTCCCAGACTACTCGGCCATCACCTCCATCAGAAATTCGGGATGGACCTTCCTCCAGTCCTGGTCCCTCCAGGAGGCTCAAGACATTGCGCTGACTGCTCATGCCTTGGCCATTCGCTCGGGCAAGGGTGTCATCCACTTCTTCGACCCCAGCTCCGGTGCTGTTGCCGAGTCCATTGAGGGCGCGAGCGCCGACGTTGTCCGCGCTGTCCTCAACCTCGACAATGTGCGGAGGTTCCAGTCTGCGCCGATCTCGGGGTCAGGGATCTACGCGGATGATGGGCGGGTCGCCGTGGTTTCTGAGCAGCCGGAACCCCTGGCTCTCTCTGGTGGAGTCACCGCCAACCAAGCAGGAGAGGGTGAAGCAGAAACCCCTCTTCTTACCTCACAGTCGTCAGTCAAGTCCAGTCAACAGAGTGAGACCAGCACGCCACCAAGTGTATCCACTGCAACTACCATCGAGCCCGCAGCTCCCCTTGTGTCGTCCGAGGATATCTACAAGTACGTCACCGGCATCTGGGCTCAGCTCAACCAGCTTGTCGGCAGGCAATACAACGCCTTCGAGTGGACGGGGTCACAATCGGCCGAAAACACCATCTTCCTCTTTGGCTCAGATGTTGCCTTGTTCTCTGACGCTATTGCCAAGGCACAGTCTGGTGACTCCTTTGCCAACGCTGGCATCGTTGCTCCTAGACTTTACCGCCCGTGGCTGGGCGCCAAGTTGATCGATGCCCTTCCCAAATCTGTCAAGAGGGTGGCAGTCCTTGAGCAGGTGTCGAGAAAGACCACAAAGTGGGGCCCCGTTCTCATCGATGTCTTGACTTCTGTCAAGAGTGCTGTTGGTGGTGTCGAGACTATTGTTGGGTACCAAATTGGCTACATCACCAAGGAAAGTGTCAAGCAAGCTTTGTCCGGTGTTTTCCAGAACTTGACTCTAGAAAAGCCTGTACAGAACTTGGAGGTTGGTGAGCGCGAGATTCCTCAGGAGACCTCCGAGTACGACCTTTCGAAGCCCAAGCTTGAGGTTTCTTATACCAAGATCCTCGATCAGTTGTTTGGAAGCAGAGCCTTTGTCGCCAACTCCCTCGATTCCGACAATGCCGGCGTCTCACGGACCATCTCGGCCACTCCCGAGTATGGTTTCGGCTCTCTCCTCGCCAGAAAGGAGCGCAGACAAAAGTTTGTTGCCGAGGTCAAGGAGGCCGCCAGCAATGGCCGTTTCCTGACTGAAGTTCCCAAGAGAGCCTTGGCCAAGTGGGTAGCTAGCGCTGACGATGCGAAGAAGTCTGAGGAGGCTGCCGAGGAGGTTGTTTCCAAGCTTACACTCGACAACTCGACGCCATCAAAGGCCCTGCTCCAGCACAAGGCATTCTTTCGCAAGCAGTCTCTTTGGCTTGTTGGGTCCGACGCCTGGGCTTATGACCTTGGCAACTCTGGCGTTCATCAGGTTCTGGCTTCGGGCGAAAATGTCAACCTGCTCATCATTGACTCGACCCCTTACTCTGAGCGCGCTGCCGCTGATGCGAACCGCAGAAAGAAGGACATTGGTCTCTATGCCATGAACTTTGGAAACGCTTACGTCGCCTCCACCGCCGTCTACAGCTCTTACACCCAGGTTCTTCAGGCTATGGATGAGGCCGACAAGTTCAATGGCCCCTCTATCGTTCTGGCTTATCTTCCCTACTTTGGTGAGCACGAGTCTCCTTTGACCGTTCTCACTGAGACCAAGAAGGCCGTGGACCTTGGTTACTGGCCTCTGTACCGGTGGAACCCCGAGAATGAGAAGAAGGGCGAGCCCAACTTCTCTCTTGACTCTGAGCGTATCAAGAAGGAGCTCAAGGCCTTCCTTGACAGAGACAACCAGCTCACTCAGATGATGCGGAAGGAACCCCAGTTTGGTGCTGTTCTTGATCAGGACTTTGGTACTGAGATTCGCGCCCAGCAGAAGCGCAAGGCCAAGGATGCTTACAACCAGCTCTTGGAAGGTCTCTTCGGTGCGCCGTTGACCATTCTGTTTGGTTCTGATGGTGGCAACGCGCAGTCCCTCGCCAAGCGGTTGGGTACCAGGGGCCGTGCCCGTGGCCTGAAGACCACAGTCATGGCCATGGAGGACTACCCAGTCGAGGACTTGCCAACGGAGGAGAACATTGTCTTCATCACCTCGACCGCCGGTCAGGGTGAGTTCCCCGTCAACGGCAAGCCTCTCTGGGATGCCATCAAGGACAGCACCGAGCTCGATCTTGCTTCCGTCAAGTACTCCGTCTTCTCTCTTGGTGATAGCCACTACTGGCCCAGAAAGGAGGACAAGGTGTACTACAACAAGCCCGGAAAGGACCTCGATAGGGTTCTGGCCAACTTTGGCGGTTCCCGTCTGGCTCCTCTGGGTCTTGGTGATGACCAGGACCCAGATGGATACCAGACCGGCTACTCCGAGTGGGAGCCCAAGCTTTGGGAAGCCCTCGGCGTGTCAAAGGTCGATGGCCTCCCAGATGAGCCTCCCCCGATCACCAACGAGGACATCAAGATCGCCTCCAACTTCCTGCGTGGTACCATCGCCGAGGAGCTCTTGGACACATCTACCGGCGCCATCTCGGCTTCCAACCAGCAACTGACCAAGTTCCACGGCACATACATGCAGGATGATCGTGATGTCCGTGACGAGCGCAAGGCCCAGGGTCTTGAGCCAGCCTACTCATTCATGATTCGCTGCAGACTTCCCGGCGGTGTCTCGACACCAAAGCAGTGGATCCAGATGGACGACATTGCCAACGAGCTCGGAAACGAGACCATGAAGTTGACCACCCGTCAAACCTTCCAGTTCCACGGCGTCGTCAAGGCCAAGCTCAAGCCTGCCATGCAAGCCATCAACCGGGCTCTCATGGACACCCTTGCCGCCTGCGGTGATGTCAACCGTAACGTCATGTGCAGTCCTCTTCCTTCGCAGTCTGCCTACCATCGTGAGGTTTACTACTGGTCCAAGAAGATCAGCGAGCATCTTCTTCCATCGACTACCGCTTACCACGAGATCTGGCTCACCGACTACGACGGAAAGAAGACGCAGGTCGCTGGTGACGCCGTCCAGGACTTTGAGCCCCTTTATGGACCTACTTACCTCCCCCGCAAGTTCAAGATCTCGATCGCCATCCCCCCACACAACGATGTTGACGTGTACGCTCACGATATCGGCCTGATTGCCATCAAGGGTAACGACGGACATCTGCTTGGCTTCAACCTTCTTGTTGGTGGTGGTATGGGTACCACTCACAACAACAAGAAGACGTATCCCCAAACCGGTCGCATGCTTGGTTTCGTCAAGGCTGACCAGACCCATATCGCCTGTGAGAAGGTCATGCTCGTCCAACGCGACCACGGTGACCGCAAGAACCGCAAGCACGCCAGATTGAAGTACACCGTTGACGATCTGACTGTCGATGTCTTCAGGTCCAAGGTTGAGGAACTTTGGGGTCAGCCGTTCCTGCCTGCCAAGCCCTTCCACTTTGACAGCAATGTCGACACCTTTGGCTGGCTCAAGGATGAGACTGGCATGAACCACTTCACCATGTTCATTGAGAACGGCCGTATCGAGGACACTGCCGACTTCCAGATGAAGACTGGCCTCAGGGAGATTGCCAAGGTTCATAAGGGCGAGTTCCGCCTCACCCCCAACCAGCATCTTATCCTCAGCAACGTTGCTGACGAGGATCTGGACACCCTCAAGAAACTTCTCGCCCAGTACAAGCTTGACAACCTCCACTTCTCCGCCCTCCGTCTCTCTTCTTCCGCCTGCGTTGCCTTCCCCACCTGCGGTCTCGCCATGGCCGAGTCTGAGCGCTACCTCCCGGTGCTGATCTCCAAGCTGGAGGCCTGCCTCGAGGAGAACGGCCTCAGGCAAGACAGCATCGTCATGCGCATGACCGGTTGTCCCAACGGTTGCGCCCGCCCCTGGTTGGCCGAGGTTGCCTTTGTCGGCAAGGCCTACGGTGCTTACAACATGTATCTCGGTGGTGGGTACCACGGCCAGAGACTCAACAAGCTCTACCGCAGCAGCATCAAGGAGGACGAGATTCTCGAGATCATGAGGGGCTTGCTCAGCCGGTACGCCAAGGAGAGGGAGCAGGGCGAAAGATTTGGTGACTGGACCATCCGTGCCGGCATCATCAAGGCTACCACCGATGGCCGCAACTTCCACGAGGGTGTTGCCGAGGAGGAGGAGGAGGCAGAGGAGTGATTTTTGGATACACAGAATATGGAACAGAAAATGAGCAACGAGCAGGAGTCATGTAAATAGGGGATATTGGAGGGATGGCTTTTTGTCTACATTGCGAGCGCATTGCATGTTTTATTCTTCTTTTATTTGTTTGGTGTCAAAATAGGCGTTAAAAACAATTTGATTTGCTGTCTGAAACGATTCTAAATGTGCTTTGAAGTGCCTTGGGTTGCTTGGTTTCGCTGACACGGTCTGATAAAATAATGTTGCAAGTAAGGAGCCAAAATCGGGACTGTAACACTCTTTCAGATGCCTCCGTAAGCAAAGTAATAGAGATTCTCATGACACCAACACCCCTTAATTCGGTATCTTGACAGCCCCCTCAACTATCTTCAAAATAAATTATGTTGAAATGTGGTTAGACCTCCTGATTATCTTCAAGGGCCTATTAGCTTTCTGTCTCCAATGCCCCCCTTCCCTTCCCAAGTCTCCGTTCTTGATTTCATGACATGGCTGGTGAGACTTCTGAGCAGACCCGTTCATGACATGTCAAGTCACAGCAAAGTTCCACACATTTATTCCCCTTAAGCTGTAGAAGGGCATCAAAAGTACCATAAGAAAGGGTATTATGTACCTAACGAAAAGCTAGAAACCAAACAAAGACAAAACAATTATTACCTCCCGCCCAGTTCGTCGTCAAAATTTGTCTATCATACATGACTTGATCATTCATTTCCATACACACATTTCTTTCATCTTTCCCTCATGCTTTTTTTCTCTCCTCACATAAACGCCCAAAAACACCTGCCCATCCTTCTTCTGTTGTCTAAACATGACAAAAAGCAAGCGTGCAAAAGAGAGAGAGAGGAGGGGAAGGTGGCGAATGATGAAACCATCACCTCCTAACACTATTAGCAACCCCCTCTCCGATATCTCTCGCTCCGTCCCTCATCTTCTCAATCAAACCCCTAGCCCAGTTGGGCACTGCGAACTTTGCTTTGACCCTGCCCTCCACCACCATGTTGATCAAGTTGATGATGGCAAAAGTCGTGCTCCCCAGGGCTCTGAAGGCCGCCAACGCGGCGACAGACCAGAGAATGAAGCGCAGGTAAAAGTTGTCGCCAATGCCACTGCTGCCATAGATTTCACTGACTGCCATGGCGAGCGTGGCGTTGGCCACCAACCAGGAAACAACCATGTAGGTACGGACCGACTTGTAGTAATCCTCCTGCAGCTGCGCGTCCGAGGGTGGCTTCTCGGGCACTTCAATTCTATCTCTGAGGTTGCGGAGGGCCTCGTCGTATCCAGAGTCGATGTCCAACTGCTCAGAGGGCATTTCCAACTCGACAGTCGAACCGGACCCCTTGCCGACGGCACCACCGAGATCCGTCTTCATGACGTTGTCGCCCTTTGTTCCCCAGGTGACGTCGTGGGTGTTGCAAAAGGCGTAGATTTGCAAAGTGCAAATGTACGAGGGCAGGAGAATCAGGTACGGGACGAAGGAGGTGAACATGTGCCAGGGGTCGAGGTACATGAAGGACATGACAAAGTAGAGACCAATAGTCGAGGCTGTCGAGACGATCATGTTGGTGAAGACGTTGTTGCCCATCTCGAGCTCGGACTTGTCCTTGTCCTCCTTCTTAGGGGAGAGCTGGTGGACGACAATCCAAATCGAGGCGAACAGCGTGTAGATCATGATGACAGCGTAGATGATCATGGACGCGAGGTACATCTTGCGGGAACCCTGGGGACGGTTGCCGAGAGACAGGATGAACTGGGTCGAGATCAATAGAACACAGATATACCGGAGGATGGTGAAGATGTAGAGGGCAGCTTTGCCGTCGGCGTCGAAAGGTGTGACGTGGGGATCGGCAAGACCACCGGCGATGAAGTAGAAGGTGAGGTAGAAATTGGCGAGGGAGAAGTAGGTGAAGAGGAGTTGCAGGAGCTGATACAAGAACTCAATGTGCAGCAGCACCTTGCGGGCAATGGTGTGGTCGGTGAGCCAGATCTGCTTGAAATGCACCAGGGAATACACAGCGGCGAAGAACGCTCCGTTCAGCCAGCGACGACGCTGGGAGACGAACTCGGGGACGGTGTCTTGGGGGTGTTAGCGATATCCCCTTATCAAAACAAAGCGGCAAAAGAAGGGGCTTACCAGGCACATCTGTCTCACCCGTGCAACCTTTGACGTACTTCAACACCCATCTCTCGCCGCGTTTGGCAACCAGCTCCCAGCACAAGATTCTGTCCTCGGCCAAGTACATGTTGGCGGTAAACACGTCGGCGTGCTGTCCATGGAGCGTCTCTCCCTTGAAGTACTGGCTCAGTGGCCCGTGCCCCGTTTCGTCATTCTGGAGCGCATGGTATCGGTACGCACTCAGGGCGCCAGGCAACACGGTGATGTAGCCAAACACCGACTCCAACGGTTTGTCCAGAATATTGGACATTTTGTATTCGAAATTCTGTGACGCAACCAGCGGATTCAACAGATTGACTCCGTATTTACCTTTCATTGCTTTAATCTCTCCGCAAGCGCCGGCAACGTTCGAGTCGGTATCGAATGCCTTCCACAGGTGATATAGCGAGTTGCTCCCAGGCTTGGTTCCGACATCCAGCAAGATACACACGTTTGGGTTTAGCGCCTTGCCAAATGCGTTGAAGAACCATCTATGCGAGTTTAACTTCTTGGCGTTCTTTTCCTTCAAGCAAAAGATCATTTGGCAGGGCACTATCCCCTTCTCGGCGCCCTTGAACTTGAGATCCGAATCCAGAGAAACCTGCGTGGTGTACTCGTACACGTGGGCGGTGCAGTTGTGAACCACGGTGCGATCTGCAAGCTGGAAGAGCTCTCCCGAGACCTCGATGAGGCGGAACTCGCCGTCGCCGGCGTCCTCGACGTCGAAGGGCCGTACGTCCCTGTTCTTAGACGTGGTGAACGGGATCGTCATGCGCTTTCGAGGGAGGAGGAGGTGAGGCTGGAACTTCTCCACCCCTCTGCCCATATAAAAGAACCAGCCAGGCTCAGGGCGGTCCTTACCATTCTTCCGTTCGAAGATAGGGTTACACTGGATCCCGCAGGAGAGGGCTAACTTGCGGGCGTCCTCAACAAGCTTCTTGAGCTCGTAGGTGTACTGGCCAAAGCCGTAACAGTTGAGACCGTGAGAAAGCCATCCGTCGGATTCGATGAGGCCTGCGAGAACAGCCAGGCGCGTATTCTCGTCCGCGTTCATGTAGCAGTCGGGGATGCCACCGCTCTTGTCTCCCAGCAGGCCGAGTTCTCTGAGGCCGTCGTGAACAGGGTTCCAGTGTGTCTTGTCAAGGTTGCTTACAGTGCTCATAACACGCAAACGATGAGCGACCTTTGTTGTCTTGATTTCTTCTCCCTTGTAGACGTGTTTTGTGCCGATATCAATCTTGTACTTGGATACTTTGAGAGGCGCTTTTCCAGGAGGGATACTATCACGGTTCAGGCGGTCGACGAGTGCCTGCGTGTAGACCTCGACCTCCGGATCCGTACTGGTAATCTCACTGTTGTTCTTAGTGCCATTACCAAGCCAGAAACCAAACCAAAATGGGTCGATTGGGACAGGTGACACTGAACCCTGATACGGCTGGAACCTCAGGGGCGACCGATATAGTCTTAGCTTGCTCTTATGCTGCGTCATCGGAGCTGTGCAGGTTGCCTGATACTCCTCCAGCGTCATCGTGAACACCTCCATGTCCTGGACGGCGCAGGGGTCAACCACACGGTAGTGATCTCCTGATAGCAGCTCAAGAGCGAGGTCGGCTTGCTCTGAGGTTTCGAAGACAGTCGATACCCTCCGAAGGCCCTTGCAGGACAGATTCTGACACTTGCACTTCGGATCACGCACTGCGAGCTTGCTCCGGACAGGGGCGAACATCTCCCTGTGGTCGTCCTCAGTGAGTACAGACGCGTACGTCGGCACGGTCGACTGTGAGGCCTCGTTTTGAGACTGCTGTTGGCTGTTAACAGGAGACGACTTGATGGAAGGAGACTGGCGGAAAGTCTTGTCCGAGATGCGGGAAGACAGCGTGCTGATAGTGCCAATCTTTCTCTTCCGGTTGGTATCAAGATCGATGATCAAGTCGTCGTTGTCCTCGTCAGAGATATCCTCTGGCTCAGGTATCATGTGCTCAAGATAGTCCTCCATGTGCTGCTGTAGCAGCATCAATACTACCGATTCATCCTCACCGTCGACGTCCACGTCCATAGCCTTGAGCTTGGCCAGCAGCTTGATGAGAACAGGACTCTGATATGTCTCTTCAACCCTCTGAGAGTCATCATCTTCAGAATCGGGGACAACTCTCGTAGACGTGATGGCCTTCAGGTACTTGCGGACCTCAGCATCAGTCGGACGGCGACCCAGCTGCTCACGGTATTCGGTATACAGATCATGCATGGCTGCATCCCACTTGATCTCAACCGCATCGGCCCCAAGCTCGGTTCGATCGCAACGAGTCCACCACGTAACACGGTTGCTGTTCGAATGCCTGAAGGGCTTGACACCATAAGCCACCAGGGTCATGATATGGTCCGGCGTACAGGTGAAGGACGACTTGCTGACGCTGTTGTACCCGGTGTAGGTAACCTTCATCATGCGGGAGGTCTGAATAGCCTCAGCAGCTAGGCACTGGACGGGTCGGTCCTCGTGGTCGAAGAGCTGGTCTCCTACAGCGATGTCTCGGATGGGCTTGTCACCATTGGTGGTGCGGACCATCGTGTCTGGAGAGAGACACGTCTTCTGGTTGACGTAATTCTTTGCGATGCCGTGCTGGTAGACGCCCATGGCTGCCAAGGCGTCGAGTGTGCGAGGGTGAATCTTTTCTCGTCCATCAGACACCACACACACAACGATTTTCTGCCATCCGTTCTCTCCCCACGTTCGTGACTTGTTACGGCTGCAAAAGTGGGAGATGTTCTTCATGACAGCGTGCATCGTGCGCGTGAAGCCATACTCGTCTTCGTTGTACATGGTGATGCAAATAAACAATTCCGTCTCGCGGGCGGTCCGGCCAATGTTCTGACGCAGCTTGTAGCCCCTTTCAACAAAGTCGTCTGGGTCGCAGGTCACGGCCGTGTAGCGCATATGAGTAAACTCGATTTCGTCGCGGCGCGGGAGGAATGAGTACAAGATGGTGGGGATCTTGCACTCCAACACGAGTTCACCATTGATAAGCTGCACCTCTCTCTTGCTCATTTGGGGGGCGCGGACACCACGGCGCTCCTGTCGCCCCTCTGCCGGTGCTGGAACGTAGCGGTCAGCCTTCTCACGAACATCACCATCTTCATCGTAATATTCATTCTCGTTCAGGGTCATTTGATCTGCCGAGTAGGATGAGTGGGTATGATGGTGCCGTCTGTTGTCAGTGACGTCTGACTCGGGGCCAAAGGGATCGTCGTGATGGCTGGCAAGTGGGATGTTGACTGTTGCATCATCGTGAAAGCTGGTCGTCGACTGCATGCCCCTCGTTGGACTGTTGTACATTGGGGCACGGGGAAGGGGTCGGCGCGGAGAGCCTCCGTAGACGGTGGAAGGGGTTCCTGGGCGGGGGGCTCCATTGATATCGGCGGGCTCGAACCTGTGGCTGTGTGGTGGTGGGTGGCCGCGTGGAGGGGAATACTCGGGGGATGATGCTCGTGAAGGGCCCCAACTGCTCTCGTTCATGCTACTCTGATCATACGAAACATACGACTCGGTCGGTGGGTGCATTCGGAGGGGCGGGTCGAGAATAGAGGACCGTGAATCAATCGATGGTTCGTATGGCTGTCGTCTTCTGCCTCTGTTTTCATTTTCTTGTGAGCCTCTCATCCATACTCTTGACGGCACTTGTGGGCTGGGTAGTTGTCTAAGAAATTGTGAATCCGGTGGAGAGCTGCCTGGTGATGTTGCGGCTGTTTCACATCTCGCCTGAAACTGGCGTAACGACTTCCTGCGGGGAGAAGGCCCTTCAGGCAGGACAGGAAGGTCCTCGGGAACGACGACAGGGTGGACCGAAGGGGTGAACTTTTTTCTTCTCTGAAGCCTGAATTTTGGAGTGGCGGGCTGCTGACTACCTGTCTGCATTGTGGCCGGTTTGAAGACATCGGGCGCAGTCCCGATGATGAGAGCGCCGTCTTGTTCTTTGAGGGCATCGACGTCCACACAAAAGTCGCCGTTGGATCTGGGGGGCAAGGAAAGAGGGGGGGGAATAGAAACGGGTGGTAACACATACGGCCTCTCATGCCTATCAGATTCCTGATAATCACTAGGGTCCTCCATATCCGTCAACAGCCTGACATTAGAACCGTGGCCATGCGCGGTGCCCATGCCAGTGGTGCTCGATTCGTGGTGGACATCATCGTAAGCTGGCAGCATGTACTCGGGCGGTACTGGTACGCGTCCGCCTGGCGGGGAGTTGGGCCTGCCGAGCCTGTTGTCCATTGCGCTTCCTCTCTCAAGAAATCTCAAGGTCGGGCGTGATGGCGCGCAGCCGAGGAATGTGTCTCACGGACACGCGGCACGCTGGAGACAAAGCCAGAGTTGTGTTGAAAAGTCCAGTGGGGATTGCTGGGAATGTTTGTTAGCTACCAGACGTGTCAAGGAACCGGCGCAAACTTACAACGAGGCGGTCGCAAAGAAGCCGTTGAATGGCGTGCAGCGTGGAGCAAATGCAAGTTGAAAATGGGGTACACTTGAACAAAGCGCAGAGGAGAGCTTTGAACGGGGCTGCGGGCTCAATACATGGGATTCTGCAAATCCAGCGTGTGCGCTTCGTTGGGTCGTAATGTTGTCTCCCTTACTTCCCCGCTGTTGCTGGGGCAACTCCACTTTGCTGGGGTTCGGTGTCGTGCTGTAGCGGCTGCACGGGCCAATGACAGGGCCGTTTAGGTGGACCTGTGCCTTGAAAAGGTGGGGCTTGGCGCGTGGAGGCCCGCCGATGGTGTGGTTGATCAGTTTGCTGCAGAAGAGTCGCCGTTCATCGACCGCATGGATTGGCCTGTGCGATGATTCGGAAACAATACCCGTGGAGATGTCGAATGCTGGAATGGAAACCAGCAAAGTGAAATAAGTGAGGGATGTATGTCAACCGACGTGATTTGAGGCGGAGTGAGAACGAGAAGGCTATGTTGCTCTACCGATGTCGTAGTGCTGAATAACAGGAGGTTGGGAAGACCAAATAAGGGACCTAGCTCAAGGTGCTTGCGTGGTCTGGTGAAACTGGCAGGGGTCGTCCGCAGGTGTCTCCATGCCTGTGGCATCATCATTCAGGGCACTGTTGTTCCTTCCTGGTGTATAGAACCCGGAGCAGTCGCGACCTATTTACGGTTACTCCTTCCTCAGCCAATCCAGATGACACACCGCCTTGATCCATGAGTTATTGCACTCGATATCAAGCACCAAGACAAGGCAGGTAAATGTCCTGTATCTGTCCCCCACCAAGTTGTGTGACAAATACCCTTCCTGCCAACCCCCTCTCCACTTCCCTTATCGCTTCTCTTTGCTCCGATCCTATTGTCGATGGTAGAGTTGATGTCTGTCGTATGTCTTCCCTAACAAGACTGCATAACCGTTGCACAGACAATATCTCGTTCATCCCCACCTCCGTCTTCACTCGGTTTCGATCTCTGTCCAGGATTCTGCAGAGCGCTTTTGTCATGGTGTCGTCGAGCTTCCACGGGGAACCCGACTGTTCGAGCTCTGGCTGTGCTGCTCCTTGGTCACCTTGAGGCTCAACCGAATCTGAGGGTTCCAGATCGTTCAGATCAAATCCGGGCAGCAAAAGTGACCTTGGTCGTGCACGAGGCTTCTCAGCCATTTCTGGTTTTTGCTTTTCTTTTGACAGTTTGAACGAGATATTCAATGGCTCTGCTCCAAATCTTGATCTTCCCGAAGCCAACAAAGAAGGGACACACACGCCGAGCACCTGTTTCGTTCCCTTTCTAGAGAGCACACCAGGGCCCATAAAAAGCCTGATTTCTTGAGGGGGTTCGGCTTCCTCCCCAGTATGAGATTGTTGTGGTCGATTACTCTTGGAGGACGACAGTGGGAAAGGGGCCGTGCAGTCGAATATGAGAAGAACATCCCCTGGATGTTGCATGATTGGGTCGCGCACATCATCCCAGTAAAAATGGCTTCCTTCGTCACTACTTAGGGTTAGGATTACCGATCCACGAGTCCATATGTGGAAAGATCGAGTTTTGAAGTGGGAAATGTGGAAAGGAGTAATACCTGCTAAACCTCAGCCTCCCATCCTCTTCTGTGGCTCCAAACCCGTGATAATATACAATCAACAGCTCTCCACCCCTTGACGTAACTTCACTCCGAGATCTATTCCTCTTTTCATGTTGAACTGTCTGGTTCTGGCTCTGGGCAAGAAACTTATCAACCACCGTCTCGACCGCTGATGTGCTATAGTCGTTGGGAATCAGCCGACATTGCACCTTCCAGCCTCTCTTTTTGAAACATGTCCTGACGGCTTCAGTATTTGTTGGTAAGCTGGGGCTGAAAAGCTGGCCGTCAGGTCCAGGGCGAGCCAGCGGCGGTGCCCAGGATAGACAGAGGGCTGATACAGATGAGGGTGGGACTGATTGGATGAACGGCAGTGGTGAGTGAAGCGTGGTTGCTGGCGTCACCGTCGTGGAGCCTGGGACTGCTGTTCGGCTTGACAGTGTAGATGGGGACAAGGGAAGCTGGCGGGCGGTGTAATGTGGGCACAGCAACTGCTCCTGATGATCTTTCTGATTTTGTTGAGGTGGCCATAGTGATGGAGATGGAGTAGGCGGATCTGTCGGCCATGGAAGAACAGGCAGAGCTTGAATCTTACTTGACCTCAGAGGCACCGTCTCGGTGTAAGCATCCCCATCCGGAAACCAAGGTGTCCGGGGACTTTGAGTGGCGGTAGTGTTGGTCTTTCCGGTAGGTGATTGTCTTGAGAATACCTGTCAGCATTGCCGAGATGAGAATAGATGAGGGGAAGGAAGCCAAAGAAGAACGGACACGCACAGAGCCAACTCGTCTAGAGCATCGACTACCGAGTTGATCTTGTCGTCCCATCCATGCTCAGACTCATGGGTGTCATAATCTCTGCCCCCATCACCGCGTTGGAGGCTTGGAGACCCGGACGTCGGCGCCCGTACACTGCTGTCTGCCGAGAAGTTATCCCTCAAAACAGTAACCTGACGTTCCCAGAGATGAGAGAAATCTTCCATTTCTTTTTGAATTCTTTCCTGACAGCCTTTCCAATTTCATGACTTGTCACTTCGCCCTGGATCGGTATTGCGCAATTTGCTGACGAGAAATGGCTCTGAATCTCACGACTGCTATGCCCAAGAGTGAGATTAGACAAGAGAAAGCTCTGAAAGGCCACTCTGAAGAGCTGAGAAGTACCAATTGTGGCCCCCATCATCCGTCATCATGTTCGGTCCTTGGCATTCGACTCCCAGAGACGGCTAAAACAGTCAGCTTGAGGGTAGCACTGCAGCACCAGATTTCCGGACGCAAACGAATCCTGGTTTGGAACCGAGGAAGCCATGACACCACGTGAGTGGTCCATCCTGGTGGGTTGGTATCATCGGGCCTAGAGTTGGTTTCGAATGTTACCGTTTTGGCATATTATCTCATCTATTGTGCTGTTGTACTACTGCCGTGATTCCTCTGAGACACGCACATTGTCTGTTGGCTTGAAAAAGAGAGCGAGGGAGGATGGACCAGATGTTACAGGGTAACCGCTCGTCCCAGGAGTCGGAATAGGTTTACCGGCCCAAGGTCAGGTATGGCAAATGCAGCGCCCAAAGAATGGCGTATGAGGAACCTTTCCCGGTAACATAAGGTGCATGGCCTAGTTTCTTCTATTAAGGCCCCAGATGGTGTGCATCCAAGTATCCTCATCCGTCCTCAACGGCTTCCCCAGTTGTCCAAAGCGAGCCGGGAGCCCCATGTTTGGCTCTGGAAGGCACAACCACTCCTTGACGCAATCTGGGACCTCCTCCTTGACATGGCTGATACAGATCAGTGCTTGGTCCTCGCCCAGTCCCTTCACTTTGATCTTCTCCGGTGCAGGATGTTCCACGACAGTTCTGTCAGCGGCGTATGCTTTTTCCTCGCCGCAAGCTAGGAAGAGCATGCACTTGTCCCGCACATACTCATCCATACCGCTAAAGGCTTCATCCAAAACCACAATGTCCGGATGTTTAATGATGGCGCGAAGAAACAGCAACACTCGTTGCGCACTGAAGGACAGGCCGCCAAACAAATAATCCTGGGCCCAGGCGACATCATCACGGGGCCCGTCTTTGTCCTTTGAGTACCTAGGATTAAGTTCCTTCTCAAACCACCTGAGTGTTGCCTTCACTTTCTGTTTGGCGTCCTCGTCCAACTTGGGAACGCCCTTGAAAGTATCAGCCCAAGCGCTCTCCAGCACTTGTTGAACGTTCAAGCCACGAGGCATGTGCTTGTGAATCTCAGGGCTAGAATGCCCAATGCGAGATTGGATATCCCAGAAAGTCAGAGGCCGCTCACCAGATCCCGGCTCCGGCATTCGGTTGCGTCCAAATAGTTTGATGGGAAGCGAATATGTCTGGGGATGGTCAGAACAAAGCAATGCTACAATCGTCGTCTTGCCTGATCCATTGGGCCCAAAGACGCCCCATCTTTGACCTCTCCGGACAGTCCAGTGTAGACCACCATCCCAGTTTCCGAGAGCAATTTTGTTTCCGTAGCGCACTTTGCAGCCGTTCATCTCAACCAGCGGCTCTCCCAGCGCGCCCTCATCGGCCTCCGTAATGATATCCACCTGACTTCCCCCGCCCGCCTCCTTTACAAATGCATCCTCGGCGCCCTCAATTCCCAGTTGACCGGCGATAGCCATCTCTCCTGCTCCTTCCAAATATACGACCCTTTTTATCCAGCCTGGCAGCGGATCCTGTGGTCGGCAACTAATGACCACCCTCGGACTGGCTCTCTCGGCCAGCGTCTTCAACATCACACTCAGGGCCCTGGACGCTCCAGGATCCAGCCCCACAAACGGCTCGTCCAGCAAGAGTACCTCCGGTTCCGCCATCAAAGCCTTGGCAATCGCCGCTCGCCTTGACTGCCCATTTGACAAGAAGGCCACAGGGGTATCCAGCAGCTCGACCAAACTCAGGTCTTCGACAACTTTGTCGAAAAGATGCTGACTGATGACATGCTCCCCTGGAATATGGCCTAGGTTGAACTGCGTCTGGCCAAGTAGATGTTCCTTGAGAGAAAAGTCTGTGTCTTCTCTCAGACTCTCATATCTCGCTGACAGGTAAGCCGAAGTGGTGACCTCTGATATCCCCTTGCCGTAGAATCCGACGTATTTGATAGCTGTTTGAGGGGTGAGGTTGTGTTGTGTGAGCCAAGGCCATGTCCTCGCCGAGATTGGGGAGCAATGGAGCTCTCCACGGAGCATCTGAAGAAAGGTGGTTTTGCCGGAGCGTGAAGGGCCGACGACTACCCAGCTGGACTCATTTTGCTGAGGTGACTGGGAAAGATGCGAGGGGACCTGGAACGAGATTCCCTTGAATAGCGGGGGGTTATCATTCTTGGGTGGCTGCAGATGAGCATGTTGATTTGGTGGAGGCAGAGAGGAGGGATGTCGGCGGAAAAAGGTAGCTCCTGATTTGATGTTGATGACGGGTGGGCTGGTGAGCCGTTTGACGAAAGGTGGGGGAGGGACACGCATCTCAAAGTCTCCCTTATATTTTACAAAGAAACGGAATGAAACAGATAAAGCTTGGAAATGAAGTGACCACCTTCAACACCGTCACTTGGAAAGGATGTCATTCAAGGCCCCTGTTCGTCAATGGGCGTGGGCACGGACAAGGGTCCCAGCAAATCTGGGGAGTGGGTTAGCGGGGGATGGATTACATAAACCTTGGCTTGAAGCCTGGACCCGCTTTTCCATCCGACGTTGCGAACGACGGCAGGCAAGCAGCGACGCGAGGCTGCTGGAGCCTTGACAATTGTAGCAGCCAGCTCTGAGCTTCCTCTAACGACGCCATAAAACCACAGTCAGTTTGACCACGAAACCAGGCTGCGATCACTCTTGAATTCTGGTGACAGAATCAACCGAACTCCGATACTCATAAATATTCAACACAAAACAACAGACCCCAAAGAAGCTATCAAGATGGTAAGTTGCAGCCAACCCCTCCACCGCCATCCGCCCGCTAATGCTGCTCCCTATATTCAGTCTCTCCGCATCGTCCCAGAGTCCAACCCCTCCTCCTCCTTCACCCATCAGCCCACCCGCGCCCATGTTGCTCCATCAGCACCTGGTCTTCACGACACACTTCGCGCTGGTGTCGGCGCCAACCCTCTCACAACTCCCGCGACCCAAGCCATCTCCGCCCACCCTCTCGAGGCCCGCTTAAAACAGTGGGAGGCCACCCGCGAGCAGCTCAAGATGGAGACACTCCGTCGCACATATGGCATCGCCGAGCCAGTCCGCAGAGGCATGGAGCTCAAGATCACTCGTGAAGGAACATGGAAGCCCCTGTGCCTGGGCGGCAACAGCACACCTAGCATTCACGAAGAGATCTTGACTGGACGGGACGGCATTATTGAATGGGAGGATGTATTTACTGGGGAGGAGAACGGAGCGAACATCAGTGTGCACGAGGAGATCGAGCGCAAGGTGAAGATGTAAAGCGGAGATTTTGTCAGGAAGTGGGAGGGTTGGACGGCAAGTAGGAGAGGAGTAGATGGGGGCAGGGAAGTATTACGAATCAAATGGCATCAATAAACTACCATCAAACTCTTCAACCACAAACCCCTTTTACACCGCCCTGATGCCATACTCTTCATACAGATGGTGCAGTGTTCCTAAGGTGGGACCGATATGCCGTATTGTGGACCAATGGCGTCCGAAAGATTGCACCAACAGTGGTGCGATAGAATCTCAGATACAAATACCATTCCTAAAGAACCGCCAACTATGTATAAACCCGAAATTTACACGCTCATTCAACGCCGCTCCACCCAGCCAGATTCCCACAATGTACGAAAAAGATGGAAAAGGATTGTACCTGTAAGACCAACCAAAAACCAGCCAAGCTCCATGCCAATACAAATGCAAGTCAGTCGGATTGTTGACGTCGTAACGCCAAAGACAAGAAAACAAGATAAGGGCGGCCTTTCCCTCATAGAATTACACAGCAGCCGCCCCCGCCCTCCCTTGTCCTGCCCTCACGGGAGCTGGCCTTCCCACCTTTGGCGCCGTCGTCTTCCTCCATCATCTCTGCTGGCCGTACCGACATGTGCACAACGTTGGGGGCATCTTTGCTCAGTTGGTATTCTGTAGGCTTGTTAGCATTGTCTGCCAACAGGGCGATCCCGATCCTGAGGACAAGGGACGGAACATACTCTTCAACGGCTCCTTATCGTCCAGTAACTTTCCGAAATGAATCAACCTGATACTGGTTGGACTCGCCGGCCTGCCCTCCCACTCGTCCCTCCACTCCCTCAAGATCAGCTCCTTGAGCTTGTACACTGATATACTGAACGGGTCCTTGACCCCCCCACCCTCGAGATATTCTGGAATATCAACACCCCGCTTCGAGAGGTACTTCTCGTCGATCTTGTACGGGTGTCGCGCACCGGTAGGGAGCAGCAGCGTGATGGTGCAGACCGGGGAAGACGGCGAAACAGAATCGGATATGGCCGCGGGAGGCAGAGCGGCTGTAGGCTCTATTGAAAGGGAGTCATCGTCTCTTGCTGGCGCAGCGGTCAGAGCTGTCTTGCCGAGGGGTGGTTGTGATAATGGCGGGGCTTCCTCCTCCGTGTTCTTTCCTTTCGGTTCGGCAGGTGAGCTTGTCACCACCTCGGATGGAGATACTACTGGTTCAGCGCTCTCTGGTGTCTTTGACGGCACGGTCACTCCCGTCTGTTCCGGCTCTTGTTGTTGTGGAGAGGCTGTTGGCTCCTCATTCGACGGTCGCGGCTGTGCGGTGCTCGTGTCTGGCTTAATGTCGGCCATGATGTGTTGGTGGCTGCAAAATACCAAAACCAAAGGATATCAACGAGATAGATGGCGGTGGCTTTCACTGGTAGAGCGACGGTGGCTGTATTGATGCGACAGACCCCAGACCCCAAGCTGAGAGATAGACAGACCGCCTTCCGGTGTTGTTCAATGACTTCCGGAAACGGCGGGCAGGCGACGGTGACGGTGAGACGGAATTGATTGTAGTCGTCTGTTTGGTGGCATCAATTTGCGACAGGGAGTTGCAGTATGGTCAGGCGCGCTCCTGATAAGATTTTCGGGCAAACAGGAATAACAAGAGGCGGTGGTGGCCGTGGTCGTTCCCTTCCACTATTTCGTGTCGCGAAGCTCAGATGGCGGATCGCCAGTGCCCTGGTTGTGCGGTGGGTGGGAAGGGTCGGTGCGTATGTACAAAAAGGAGATGGCGGGATGCGCGTGCAAAGAAGGGATGGAAAAGCAGAAAACGAAAGCTTCCACACGGTGAATTGACCGACGGGCGAAGAGAGGCAATGGGCAATGTCGGGGTCAGGATGCGAGGTCGCGGTAGAGGTGGCCAGCCGCGAGCCCATGGACAAAAAATGGAGACTTGCAAAGATCCTACCACCTATCGTATACCTACTTGCGCAAGCTGACACCCACCAGGTTCACTTTCGGGTTTCCTTTTTCATGCCTAAATATTCTATTTAGTGGCTGTATGCTACTTGACGGTTCAGCCACCTACTTCAAGAGTCATCGTGCATGAGGTTGCCGATTATCATTATTCTATCGTGTGGAAGCTGATATATGGGCTTGATTAATTTGTCCAGCGCTCGCCCGCCCGGCCCGGTGGGTTTGGAGGGACCTCCCTTCATCGCCCGCTGTGGCCCTCATTGCTGTAGTCCCATTCGCTCATTGAGCGCCAGCTTGGCCCAGCCGCCGTTTTCTTGCTTTTGTGGAAATATGATAGCCAGGCGGCACTCTCTGTCTCTTCAAAGATTTGTTTCTCTTCTCACTGGCAGGAGGAGAATCCTCAGAGTACCTTAGTCCAATGAAGCCCAGCTTTGTAGCCGATACCGTGAAGTTTTGCAAACCGCCATCAACAACGGGGATAACCGTGCATCACGGCTGAAGAGGCGCCACCAGAAGCCGAACTTCCCCAGCCCGCACGGACCAGGCGATTGGCTCCCACTTGGTGACGTTTCAGTGGGGTTCTTGGAGCTTTGATGATGCTATGGTACGAAAGCTTCGGCTTCTTCAGCACGGCTGCATTGAGATTGCTTTCTCCCAGCCAGCGCTTTTTCACACACGATACGATACCATACCTGACCGCCCTTGTGGACGTAGAGCGAGTGGGTGAGAGGATGGAGTATTCGATTCGAGAGCCCTCACTTCGCCTGCTTGGAAGATCTTGGGGTCAAATGTACCTATACCGCAGGTTCCGGAACCAACCCACAAGAGGGACAGCTCAAATTCCAGGGAATCGTAATGGTGGAGCCATGGTTCCTCATCCCCTCCATCACGGGTGATACTGTCCCAGAATGCAGCTACCTACAGCAAAGTACTTTCTGAAATCACCAAACCTCTTGATCTTTCTCGCACCAAGCGCAATGCCCAAGTAAGCAGCACATATATCATGCGATTGCCTGTTTCACACGATACTTCTGACCGTTACACATCCTCTCTTCTGTGCTCATTAAAAGTACCAAGGTATTTCGTTTGGGTCGTTTTTGGCGAGTGACATACCTGATGAACCGCCCCTCCACACCGTCCTGTGTCAACAAGTGGTCAACCACTCATCTGCGAGCTCCATGATCTCAACCACACCACCCTACCCAACTTCAGCAGGTCGACGTGATGCTGGGGAATCTCACTCGGAGCATCGGCTCTTCTCCGTCGTCCAAACGGCCACTGAATGTGTCTCGTATGGTTGTCAGCATGTCGTGATGCAACTTGCAACCCCAATGACGCCACTTCATGTTCCGTCGTAAATTGTGCCACTATTTCCATGACACAAGTGAATAGCTGCAATTATCGAACTTGAGAAGAGATAAGATTCTTGTGCAACACGAAGAACCCTGATAATCTTGGCTTTGTTGCCTTTGATCAGTGCGAGATTTCTCCATTGTCTCTACTTGACCCATCTGTGGCCCCCTTGAAGTGTGTCTTGGCGCGTCCATGCCAAAACCCCCTGAACCCCTGACATCTCCTCGGTAACAGCATATCATGGGTAAACAAACCTCGACAGAGAGCACCGCAAAGCTTGCTCATTAGCAACAGGACAATACCAACTTATTTCCCTTCCTTTTTGGAACAATGACACAAGAAATAATAGGAAACCCTCCTACATTCGCTGTATCAATCTTAGTGCCCACCAAACCTTTTAAACATCATCGTAGAAACAAGACCTGTGAGGCTCGCGACGGACTCGCCCAAAACAAGCCCACTGGCGAGCACGAGCAAATCATTGTTCTTCCTTCCCTTTTCACGCCCGAAATTTGCACATGCCCAGTAGAACACAGCCCCCACTATGCGGGTGATCGTGAAGGATGGCGTGTTGTAAATCCCTGGTAGGACACTTGGGTTAGTCACCACATTCTGCCCCTCAAGCAGATCCGAAAGCCACAAACTAACCGATTGCAAAGGAAACACCCGTGGGAATAAACGTCTGCCACCACCGATTTGCATATCTCATCTTGACGATGGTGCTCATGCCAGAGAACAGTGCTGCCCCTATTGCGAATGGGGCGACACCTTCTGGAAGACCATGGCCTATCGCCACTCTTGCCGTGTTTATGAATAGAAATGCAGCAGGGATTCTGAATAGGGGCCCTGGAATCGAATGTTGCGACACGTACAGTCTGTAGGCACCACACGAGACGAGCGCGCCAAGAATTGACCCAATTATGTGTCCATGAAGCTGAACTTTTGGGCTTGATCCAACAAGCTGTCCAATCCTGAAGTTATGGGAGATGTCTCCTGACTGGCTTGCACCAGCCTGTGAGACTGCTGCAGAGAAGAGGTCGATGAGGATTGCGTTAGGATTCGAAGAGGATAGAAATGTCCCAAATACAAGGTGTGATACTAGTAGGTATAAGCACTTCGCCAAAACGTGCTCATTGAAGAACATACCTAAAGCGCATTCGGGGTTGTGGTCAGTTTCTGCGATAGACCTGATCCCGACTACCGCTGTAGGAAGGGCCAAAGTGAGAGCCAAACCAGTGTAGTACCATGGCACGACAGAGCCAAAAGTAACATGCACACTTGCTGCACAGATTATAGCCGACACCAAGAAGTAGAAGATCAACCGTCTTCTTCCGATCATCGATGATGGGTAATCATGGCCGGTGTTGATCTCATCTTCGTTTTCTCCGTACATAATTGCTGTGTCGTCGCTAAAAAGGACAACTTCCCGCCAGGTAAACCACCCGAGTTTGACGAATGCGTCAGCAAGTAGCGAGGCCAGAGCGACCCAGATTATCCAGCCCCTTGCTCCGTTTTCCCAGTCATCAACATTGCCCGGGGCCCAACCTTGTTTCTTTGCATACGGTGACAAAGTTCCCCAGCCAGCAACGGCACCCATCATCGTATGTAGCGGAACGGTAGGACCTGTCATCATGCCCTGGCCAAAGAATCCCGGAGAGAGATCAACAGACCACAACCAGTTCTTGGACGCAGTGCGCCCAAAGACTGGGATCTCGCGCAAGACTGGAACAAAGTAAACAATCATACCAAGGCCCCAGGAAAGGAGAGTTCCTCGGAAGAGGCTTTGCATGCCACGATCCCACCGAAACCCATCGATAGTGGGTTGGGGAGTGAGAAGTGCTTGCTCCCCTCTAACAAAACTGCTGTGATCTGTGTCTTCTTCGTTGTCGGGCTGTCTATTTGCCTCATCTCTGGCGCTCTGGTGGCCCATGCTCGGCTGCGGATTCTGGTGATAAAGTGAGTTGATGAGATTGGCTGCACGTTTTGCCCCAGGCCACGGCAATTTTTCTTGCACGACAAAATGGTTGCGAAATACGGCAGCAAATAGGAGACCAAAGAAGCAAAGCCCAGTAGACCACACAATGAGACTTTTGGCGCTTAGTAGAAGTGGTCCCTTCTCTTCTGAGCTGAGCAGAAACTCTAGCGCCGGAATGACGTTGATGAAGCCAGCTGCGACGGGCATGCACCCTACGGATGTGGAGACACTGAGAAGCAGGGAATTTTCTGAGGGGTTAAGAGAAATTCGAAGATAACGCTGTAGGAATTGAAAAGTGACGAAACCGAGGAGCGCCGAAACGATCGACATCTGGCTGGCGGCACCGATTCGCAGGCCATAATAAGTGTTGGAAAGATTGATGAAAAAACCAATTATGAGTCCAGCTAGGACGGCGCGCCATGTGAAATGTGGAGTTGTATGGTTTTGGTTCTCTTCGTCGTCAGGTTGGGCAATATCCATGTTTTGAAAGAGTATGCTCAAATGTGAGGAGATCTGTGGGTTCAGAGGAATCGAGGTCATAAAGCCGGAGACCATAACCGATCCTTGACACCTCACGGGTGCCCCTGCCTGCAAAGAGAAGCTTTCTTTATCATGATGTAGAAAAGGGAAGGAGCAGGTGAATGCCAGTCGAGAGGTTGTTGATGTGAATCGTCCATAAAACAAGCATATGCAGGGAATGCCGCATGGGCAAAGCGAGAATAGCTGCTGCAAATTCTCCGCCATTACCACTTGCATTACCGCGTTGATTTTGAACACTTATAGATCGATCTCGTAAACTGAAAGCAATCGGCCTAGCCTGCAGATAGGTATCATCTCTGAAGGGTACTCAACGCTGGTGGCAGGTAGGTACACGATCTGCATCGAGATCCAAGTGCTCCTACTGCCGGCATCGAGAAATTAGATAATCATGAACAACGTAGCTGTTCAACCTTTGGACGGCTTCAGGCTCTTACAAGTCACAGTCTGCCGTTACACCCAGTTGGGCAAGAGATGACAGGTTGGCCGTATACGAGACCGCGTGCAACGCGGGCAGCAAATTCCCGGATAATGGATGGACGTGTTGCCATTACTGTACTCTCTTTGCTGTTACCAAACCACGCTTCTTTGGCCTTTTGACCCTAGGCTTGTCATTTGGCGGTCTGAGGGCGTCACTCTGTGTTTGCTATAGTGCCCGTGGGACCTGCAGAATTCCCTGCTCGAGACCTTACAGCATGACCCCCAAGTTCGTGCCTGCCTTGAGATAAGGTAGATGCGTTGTAGAGAATCGATTTTGGGAAGGACCTAACCGGCGCAGGAGTCAAGAGTCCCCCAGGAACCTGATTCCTAGCTAGATTTCCCCGCCATGTGGACCGATAACGGGATCAGTCATGAGACGAAATTTGAATTCCGTTCTGACCATCCTCGCGTTTGCAGTGCCTTAATCTCCCCCAAAACTTGCACCACCTCACGGGTCCGTTATTTGTATTGATACTTCCCCGCCTCACAAAACCATTTCTTGTCTTGCAATTTTCATTCAGTGCAATCACAGAACAAAAGCGGAGTTGTACGGCTTCCCCTTCTCTCTCCAAACATTACCAATATCTACTTGACGTTGCCCCCGCCCCTCTCTCGACTTCCCCCATCACTTCCCCCAACCCCCACTCGATTCTGTCTCGCCGACAGATTTCTAGCATCACGCAAATCCAGCAGCCTTGTCTTCCGGTAGTGATAGAAAGCCTCATCCTTCTTGAGTGTTTTGCGACATTATTAGTGGTAAGTTGTTCTCCTTCTACCTTAATACTGCGGCTACAACATACCTACCTCCATTTTCACACGTCATATACAACTGGGCTTAGTTGTTGTCATCACGGCCATTAGCCAGCCACCCCCTCTGAACCTGTCTTCCTCTATTTGAGAGTGTGACTTTCCCGAGCTACTCTTTCCAGAAACCGTCATACAGTCTTTAACCAAGTCAGTTCTCAAGACAGAACATTGACAGGTCCAGGTCTCTCGTGTATCAGACATCATGATCTCTGCGAATCTTTTCCTTGCAGTCACTGCTCTTTTGAGTAGTCTCACCGCAGCGGTTGATCAAGCGGTTGCTTGTGCCCACGCAAATAACAAGATTCAACCTCGCGATATCAATGAGGCAGACCTCACGACGGTCATTTATCAGACCCAAACAGCCACATTGACTTTGACCGTCGAGGAAACCCCCCCCTGCGACGAGTCCCCCGCTACCACGAATAGCCATTCAGATGCTGGCGAAGTCACTCTCAGCCCCAGCTACTCAACATTCGATACCTCAGAGACGCTGACAGTGACATCCACCATCAGCAGTGGAACTGCCACTCTTACCACGACTGTCAGCAATGCATCTACCTACAACGTTCCCGGTCCTTCCACTTCAGCCACCTGGTCAACCTCAACCACATCAGCCAGTGAGCCTGACGTTGCAACCCCGTCAATCGACACCGCGGTCACGCCTTTCGTCCCAGCACCCTCGAGCACCACTGTTACCGCTGATGGGGTGAGCGACGCGTCGAGCCCAACCGAGAGTTCTACTACCGACGATTCCACCGGCACTCCATCCAGTACCGACAATGTTGCACCCACAGTCAGTGCGGCTGCCATGCCAATCATGCTGAGCAATGATTTGATGGTTGCGCTTGTGGCTGCTGCCATGGTCATCGCTGCCTGATTGAATCTTTTTGGCTCCTCGGTCTGTGTTCCGACGGAGATATCAACAGAATAATAGTGTTAAGGATGGGTTGTTGGCTGTTGAGATCTGATCTTCATCGTTTACATGGACTTCTGGATGAGATCTGGTTTTCATCGTAAGCGTCGACTTTTAGATCGAGGAATCTGTCTTCTTTGTTTGAGAATTTGACGGTGTTCAATTTCTGGTTGTCAAGTGGATGATAATAGGAAAAGCGGTAACGGTGTTGGTCATAGGTATTCGAGGATTCCGGTAATACATGGTGGCCAGGCTCTGGGGCTGGGGCACTTTGCTAGGTTTAATATCACTCTCCTTCATTCTTTGGCCCGCATTGCGTCTCCTGATACGGCATCGATGGGACCATGTAACTTCATCCAAGTCTAACCACTTGAGTTAAGAGTAAGATGCCCTTCTCCTAGTGAGCCAGAATGCTCAACTTGACTCACAAACTCACTACCAGCAAAATAGGTCCTGTCCTTCACAGGGTTCAATATTCCCCAAAAAATCGGCTAAGTATAAATCGAATGGAATTTTTGCCGTTCGACGCAGGAAAAAATAGTCATGCCCCCAAGTCATCCAGTCATCTAGATCTACAAGCCACCGATGTGATCCATCCCAGACTTTGAAAACCCGGCACCATATCTCTGTCTACCTGTAAATGGTGGTGTACAACAGTGTAGGTGTGTAGTTTGTCTACCCCAGATTTCCACCCGAAACCAGAAAAACCTCGTCCCCAAACCATCCCGCCCCTTTCTTTTATTTTGCAGATCCCAGACATTCATTCATATGAAGGAAGCCTGCTTCTCTCTTTTCCCAACCAGCCAGTCCCGAAAAAAGAAAGAAGTAAAAGATTTTGGAAATAAAACGACACGGGAAAAAGGCTTGACCTGAGCAACCCATCCATAAGAAGTCGAAACGTTTCCTTTTTCACCAGACACCGAGAAACCCCAACCCATCCGAGTAAAAGCACAGCCATGTAGATGAATACACACAGATAATGGAATACAAGTCACCAAACTCGTATAAGTCCAAACATCAACTCGAATAGAAAAGTACAACGAAATATTTGCTTGTCATAGCAGGTAAAGAGTAAAAGAAAAGGAAAACAGTTTTTTTTTAAAAAAAAGTGCCGCTGTATCATAGGTCATGATACATGACGATTTTGTGGGCGAGGCCAGGGATGGTTGAAGTGTCCGGCATATCTTCCAAGGATCACCGGAACCGCTTCCTCCATGCCGTCCTTCGACGTAAGTGTCTTCTTTCCATCCACCATCCTCCACTCCCAAACTTCTAGGCTTGTTGGCGTCGGAAGATGAAACTTGGTCCGTCATCGTGCTGCTATCGTTGTAGATGCGGCTGAAAACCAGAAATAGGAAATCCCGGGAGATCCATTACAACTGCAAAATTTCCATGTCCGAAATGCTCCGGTGGCGTTTGTGGAGGTTGTCATCCGCGACGGTATCGGGGGCCTTTCTCTTCTGTGATACATGGTTGAGCGGAGATCCTGGGGAATAATCAAGAGGTCCATCAAGGCCTACCATGCTGTTTCTCTTTTGCCTGCGCACCGGTGTGATGGGGGTTGTTACCGTCTCCATGCTGCCGGACTTGATGCCTCGGAGAGTTCCAATGTGGTAAGGTCCGGAGAAAGCGAGTGACTCCTGGGTCGCGACCTCACTGTTGATGAGTTGCTGATTTACCTGATTACGACGGAAAGCGCCCACGGCGTTGGAGTTCATCTCGAAGTGGGTGAGCAAAGGGTGGACGTCCTTGACATAATAGTCTGTGTTTGTGGTGGACATGCTGGCCGAGGTCTTGGGCCGTGTAGGGCTTGAATTGGGATCATTGCTCCAGTCTCCGGCGTTGTCTTCGTCTTCGTTTTCCTGGTCCGATTCGTTGTCCTCCCTAAACTCGATGAAATCCTCAATCCTGAGAGCATCCTCACCCTCATCTTCCAGGGCTGGGTAGTACTCGGATTCATCTGTCTCTTCTCCAGTGAATGCATCAGAACAGGGGAAGAAGGCCTCACTGGGCCCAAAGGGCTGTGTAGCGAAATAGTCACCCAAAGTATTAGCGTCCATGACACCCAGCATGATCAAGGCCGAGTTGGCCATCATGGGAGAGCAAGCCGACAAATCATCCTGAGCAAAATTCAGGTCATACGACTCTGGAGCCAACTCGAGACGATCAGCCTTTTGACGCGTGAAAATCATCATCTTGCCAGTTTTTGGATTGATCACGCCGACCGGCTTATCGCTGTCACCGTCCAAGTCGAAGCGCGCAAGACGAGGCTTTCCTCGTACGTGGCGGTTAGGTCTTGGTGTCTCAGAGTCCGAAGTTTCCACAGACACTGGTCGCCGAACCTGCTTCTTGCGCACAACCGGCTCTGGGATGTCCTCTTCTGTTGTGTCGCCATCAGCTGGTAAAGGGAAAAAGTCAGCGCCAACTTCCATTTCGAATCGCAAGCCAACAACTCACTCTCATAACCGTCAAGCTCCGGTGACTCGGTGGAAAATGTTGTCAGCGGAGTGGGTAGAATATTCAGTGGAGGGATGACCCTTGGCGTTGGCATTGGGGTACCGTGGAGACCTCCATTGTCGAATTCGACATCCGATGTCTCGACAAATACGTCTTGGGTGGAGCCATTGAAGTCCCAGTACGAGCCATCGGTGTCGGAGCCATCATCATTCTCAATCTCGCGGCGGAACCGGGGATCAAGAGCGTTCTGGTCGACAAAGATATCGGGAAAGAATTGCTTGCCATCATCAGATTCGGACAGGTCGGATTCTGTGTTGTCACTGTCGCTGTCGATACCGGCAAACCGAACATGGCGCTTAACCGGCGTGACATCCGGCAGTTCAGACTCGGGCCACATGGCATCCTCAAACTCTTTTGGTGGTGACAAGCCCTGCCAACTAACACTGTCGTCATCGTCGTCCTCGTCATCATTGGCATCTTCGTCGTCAATGGCTTCTTCGTCGAGCTCATCCTCCTCGTCTTCGTCTTCTTCATCAGCGTCATTCTCTTCGTCGAGCGGCCGAGGGGTTTTCAACAGGCGATTCCTAGCCATATTGGTGATCAGATGCTCCTCCTCGGCCGCAACCACATCGTCCTCGTCGAGTTCATTGTCAGATTCGCTGACGTCCTCGACGCCGGAGTAACCTTCGTCGTCGGAGAGGTTGAGAGACGACTCGCTCGAGGTGACGGAGGGCCTGCGCGGCTTCTTCTTGTTGACGAGCTTGATGCGAGGCGCAGAGGGATATTTTTGGTGAATGTTTCGAGACATGGTTCTTGGCTATGCAGGGGTGGATACAGTAGGTGGGTTGATCTTGGGGTGATGCACAGTGGATTGGCTCAAACGGCGGTGAACCTTGCAGCAAATGACGATACACGACAATGCCGAGTCCAACAAGGCGTGTCTAACAGGTAAGCTTTCAATGAAGCTGTTCAGCGCCCAGTCCGTTTATAGAACAATCGGCAGTTGACTTGATCTCAGATATAAGTGGATCAAGATGGGTGGAAGGGAGGATGTGGGGAAGTGAATTGGCCGACTGGGGAACAGAGCCGCCAGATACTTGCGAGTAGACTGTGGGAAATCGCTGCGTGGCCTGAGAGTGGTGGCCGTGGTGGGTAGAACTTGTTAATATCAGAGGCGGACTGTCCGTCTCACTGCAGTTGATGTGCAATTGAACCCTGTCCCACACTGGAGACGGGCTCGAGACAGATGAGTCTGGTAAAACTTCGTCGAGTGGGGGAGTTGGCAGAGTTGAATATCTCGCTGAGGCTGCTGGACTGCGGACGTGCGAGTGCAGCACACGTCCGCAGTGGGCGCTTAGAGCTCAGCGACGGCCGACGGCATCTTGAAATCGACGAAGTTTTGGTGAATCTGTTCTGGGTCTCTGAAAGATAGTGCGACTTCGTTGTCTGGCGGTTTGGGGTGTTGTGGTTGAGGGAAAGGAAAAGGTCAGTGAGGGGAGCAGCGGGACTCAATTGCCTTTTGACCAAACTTTTTTTCGATGGGTGGGACTGGGATTGCAGCACCTGGGATTGGCTCGGCTCGCTGCTGGAGCCAGAAAACGTGGGGCTAGCGCAATAGAGTTCCACACTTGGAGCAGAGCAGACCCCTGGTTCAAAAGTGTCCACGATCAGCCAAGGAGGCGCTCACTGCCTGCCCTCTGCAATCCCGCGCTCTGGCAGCTGGCAGCTGGAGCTGTCTGTGACTCCATCAACCTACAGAGTAAGGTAGCACACCTCCAAAACTTCAACGGCTAACCCCTCCATTGTACTGCAACCTTCCTTCCCATGCTGCGTGCTCTTACCGCAGTAGCCTCTACAGACTTTTTTTTTGCTCCCTTTCTCCCCATCGAGGGGCCTCGCTGCTCCGGGAACTGTCACCATAACCGTTCTGTCACCGCTCTTTTCCGTCTGCAGGACATCACCCTCCTGGCTCCTCCACAAATCATGATGAGCAGACACGGAGCCAGGGATGGGATGGAGGGCAGCACCACTTGCATGCGACCGAGACAATTAAATCCATACCTACCGTGCGAAATACTCTTTTCATCGTGCCGCCTGTTACAGAAGTGTGCCTACATCGTGACCTTGAACATGAATATCGAGCCCCTCCTGGTGCTCGCTACCAGATTGGGGGGCGGGAGCAGGAATCTGAGGCTCCGAGTCCACAGAATCAATTCCTACGCACACTTCCCCGCATCTCAGACCCTTTCTGTTTCTGTTGACTTGGCTGCTTGACCTGGCAGGCCATAATGCACGTCAAGCGCGGTTGCATATCACACAGTCACTACGGTATGATGTCGGTTACGTTGATGGCCGTGACTGGAACTTGCTCGATGATATTCCCCATTAAAGCCCCACAAGTCCATTTGTCTGCTGCACCTGTATATCGTTTACACGCCGGCCTGAATCAAACATAGATGCCTGACTGGCCCTGAAGAGGTCAAAACAGGCAAGACGTGTATCTAGTCGTCGTCGTTGCGTTGCCTTGACGTGTTATCCCACGCTGAGGGTCTCCAGTTCTCCCTCTGATGTCGTTGTGGTTCCAACTGCCAGCTGGCAGCATCTTCCAGCTCTAGCCTCTACCTAGGCGGGGTAATGACTCGTCTTGCCGTCATTTCTTTCGGATCTCCCTCCTCCCCCTCTGCCATTTGAGAATGTGGAGGAGATTCAACAAAAACAGGCTCGCTTATTGCGGAAAATGGATTGACCATTGCAGGACCTCGACCGATTGCACGCCCAAACAGCGCCGACATGTCACCATTGTTCGCCTTTTACCAGAGACCCAAGAAAAGCTAAACCTACTAGCCACATGCGCAGCGCTAGTGGCAAACAGCTTTATGCTCGTGGAATCATGTTTGCTCAGACCGAGACAACATTGCGGCTTCCAACCTGTCACCGCGGTAGGTCTGCAAGAGTCACACAAGGGTTCCATGGTTACGGTGCAAGCAAGGCAAGGCCAGACATTGGATGAAAATTATGACTCGCTGTTCAGGAGGCAATCTGGACCTTCCCAATTGGCCACGACGGGTGATTTTGCACCTGCACGTTTTCAACAACGAAAGATGACCCAGTCTACACCGAGATCGGTCATGAGAATTCAACGCCGGGTGAACCTGGTCAAAGGAGACAAAATTCTAAGAAAAAACGCTGAGGCCGGGGCTTTCGATTTTTCCAAATGGGAGGTATATAGAAAGAGCGTTACGTATGCCGAACTATTTGCTGGCCGATCACATGCGCTGGGCTTGAAATGGTTCCTGGCGGCACTTTAACTCGAGACTAAAGGTGTGAGAGATAAACACAACTAAAAGCATAAAAAACAAACAGTGTCATGGACTTGGATGCAACTGGAACCGGCTTGAAAATTTGCACAAGAGTCCAGGAAACGGGAGCTTCCAATCTTCCCCTCTGCAATTTAAACGCGGGGCAGATATCATCAAGGAAAAGAGTGGGGAGCTTAGTTAAAAGATGGAGGGGCTAGTGGGCACCCTCCCAACTGAATAATTGGCGCCACAAGTAAGTTAACTCTCTATTATACTGTGAACCATGCCTTAAAACCAAATTAATAGGTCTTCAAAGTATCTTTTAAAACCTGTTAACTATCTTTAAAGGCGTGGTAACTATGTTTGATAGCCAAACGATTATCTTTCGAGGTATGGTTTATAAGTTTGACCCCCACGTTTGAGTACCAACTCTTATTTTTTGTGGTGATTGTGGTGGGTCTGTGGACGTATGGCAGATCTTATCTTATCGCTCCACCTAGCATCGCGCTCCCTGTCTCCCTGTCAGTTTGGTTGTTCGTACCTGATTCGCCGTTGCCAGGGGAACTGCTGCTTCCAGGTAGCGTAAACATTTTTCTGGCCGCGCCTGGCGACACAACTGGGCAGGGCATTGGTCCAAACTTCCATGCGTTTTCTCTGCTTCGATTCTTCCACTTGCCAACTCACAACTGCAGCCATCCTGGCCCATATTCTGAACCAGCTCCACTCTGTCTCCCTCGGCACTGCCCTGGACCCTGGGCTTCACCTCGCGCATCACCGAGGACAGGTCGCGGCAACATCCCCGATCTGCTGTAGGCGAACAAAGCAAGGTGACAGATATGGCCACGTCAAGACCACCGCAGAATCTCTTCCAGGTTTATCTGCGACTTCGCCCACACAACAATAGCGCGTCGACCAGTGGGGAAAGATTTCTGTCTGTCGAGGAGCCCGACGAGAACAGCGACGCGCCGAGACATATCACCCTAAACCCCCCCAATGATCGACGGCGTGCCATCGAGAAGTTCGCATTCACCCAGGTGTTTGAGGAGGATGCCTCCCAACTGGATGTCTTCCATTGCACCGGCGTCGCAAATCTCGTCGAAGGCGTGCTTGCTCCCTATGGCGGCGAGGGGACTGATGCTCTGCTTGCGACGCTGGGCGTAACTGGGTCAGGCAAGGTCAGTGGGATGGCCGCCACTTATGGCAGTGGAAAGCAGGAGACAGCTAACATTGATGTTGATACGGAGTAGTCGCATACCATTCTTGGCTCAAAGTCCCAGCGCGGGATGATCCAGCTCGCCCTCGATGTCATCTTCCGATCCCTTAGCGACAATCTTCTCGACTGCAGCTCTTACCCTCCCCTCGAACAGTCGATCACCAACTCTGATCCTTCCGAAGCTCTCGTCTTTTCTGCCCACAACTTCCTCGACAGTGTGTACGCGGATGCGCCCGCCACCTTCAAGAGTAGCAGCTCCAGAGCACCTACGCCTATGCTAGTAGGACCCCCTTTTCAGTTACCCCCTCAGTCTCTAGTCATGAATGAAAGGGCTCGACCCTTTGGATCTGCCACGAAGACAGTCCTGCCAGGGTCAGCGCCCAAGCGGGTCCCAAGTGTTCGGATTGTCAGCCGTGAGGATTCAGTAGCACCACCAAGTCCGCCTGCCACACCTCGGAAGCGGCTGGAGCCAGTGTCCAAAAGGCCGCGCAAGGCGCAGGGAGCCAAAGCTGCTGCCGCCAAGAGTTTCAGGGCTTCTACTGCATCGTCGATACGTTCCAAAGCAGCTACTAAACAACCTTCACAGAGCGAATCCGTTGGACCGAGTTCGAACCAACACCGACGCATGAACCGCCCCCTCGCGTTCCCGCAGCAGCCTGATATAAGCGCCCTATCTGTTTCATGCGATCCGTCGTCCGAATATGCCGTGGTGGTTTCCATGTACGAAGTCTACAACGATCGCATCTTTGATCTCTTGACCCCTCCCACCAAGTCGGCCGCAACGAAAGAATATCGCCGACGACCGCTCCTGTTCAAGCCGACAGAGACATCCCCTGATCGCAAGATTGTTGCAGGACTTCGAAAGGTTATATGTGGGGATTTACAGCAGGCCTTGCTGGTGCTTGAAGCTGGTTTACATGAGCGGAGAGTGACAGGAACAAGCAGCAACAGCGTTAGCTCGCGAAGCCATGGCTTCTTTTGCGTAGAAGTGAAAAAGCGCACCCGAGCCAGCCGCAAGCACGGCGATCTTCCCTGGGGCGGCAGCACTCTCACCATTGTCGATCTTGCTGGAAGCGAAAGGGCAAGAGATGCCAAAACCGCGGGCGCGACACTGGCAGAAGCCGGCAAGATCAACGAAAGCTTGATGTATCTGGGCCAATGCTTGCAGATGCAGAGCGATGCCACGACCAAGGACAAGCCAAATCTTGTCCCATTCCGTCAGTGCAAGCTGACTGAGTTGCTGTTCTCCAATTGTTTCCCGTCGGTCTCATCCTTTTCGTCAGCCCGCCATCGAAATCCTCAGAAGGCTGTCATGATCGTTACCGCCGACCCTCACGGCGACTACAATGCAACGTCTCAGATCCTTCGATATTCCGCCCTGGCGAGGGAAGTTACCGTCCCGCGCGTCCCCAGCATAACACAAACCACGTTGTCGGCCCCGGCGCCTCCTGCCAGCCCACCCTCCCTGGGACAACTAGGCTCACCACCTGTCCACCATCGCAGCTTTTTTGCTCCTCCCGGATCATCTTCTTCCAACCAACCGCAGCACGGTGGCCTGTTGTCATCCCCCAACATCCAGCGAGCATTCTCGCCTCTGTCTGGCTCTAGCCCCAGCGGAGACGCCCACCGCAGCACTATGGAGGCCGCGGCGCTCGAGATTGCCCGTCTCTCCGAAGAGTTGGAGTATCTTCGTCAAGCGCTCGAGTCAGAACGCTCAGCGCGCGAAGAAGCCGAGGCGCATTTGCTCAGCATGGAGGACCGTATGATTGAGCTCGAGCAAGCTATTCGTGAGGACTGCACCAACGAGTTTGAGCAGCGCCTCGAGATTGAGATGGCAAGGTGGAAGACGACGATGCAAATCGAGATGGAACGAGGCGAGGAGCATTGGGGACGGAAGATTGAAGTTTTCGAGAGGAGCCTAGCTGTCGCGCCTTTATCGTTGCCGTCAACCCAGCCGCAGAGCGATTACGAGGAGGTCGACGGGGAAGACAACGACAAGGAAAATATTCTCATGGAGGACATGGAACAGGAGAACGAGAGACTCAAGAGGGAGAACGAGATTCTCAGAAGAGAGGTAGCTGGGATGAGCCCAAGCAAGAGGAGACCGTTGGGTGAGAGATCAGGACTCGGTGTTGCCGGTGAGGAGAGCAGAGGTGGCAGTCCAAGACCCACAAGAAAAGACAGGGAAAGAGACAGGGAGGTGACATTGAGGCAGAAATTGGAGAATCTTAGGATGGATGATTCATCTTCTGAATCTCAGCGGCCGCCGTCTGCACAGCAACAAAGCAGGCACAGCAGTCCCAAGAAAATGAGGAGGTTACAGACCAAGAGATGGAACGAAATTGATGATGACGATATGTTTTAGGTTCACCGATTAGCCGGTATGATTGGTATGAGGGAAGCGCATTGGGTTAGTTCTTCCCCAGGACATGAAGGAGCATTGCTGGGTACATACATGTCGGAGTTACAGATACAGACAGATAACACCTGAACCAGCCAGTCACGGCAGTCAGGCATTGTTGGGAGGCCTTTCCTTGGGGCATATATAAACGATTGTAATGGCTTCTCTTTATCCTCGGTAAACATGCTGTTGTCTACTCGACATATAATCGGCCGCCTCGCCGATAGTTCAAGCCCTCTTGAGCTCAACCTTCTCCTGCTCTTGCTTTTGCTCTGCAGAACCACTTCGCTTGTTTGCCGTGATTGGCTTACGGCATGTGAACACATACATTGGGGTGAAAATCCCCATCTTGCCGCCGATAGCCACCGAACGACAGCAGTACCACATGGTGTCCATCAGGGTGAGTGTTTCGGGTGGCGCAAAGCCGAACAGAATCAACACTCGGTAGATGCTTTCGGCGATGAATAGGAAAAGGGGAGACATCTTGACCACCCTGAAGAAGTCATCCCACCCAGGAACACGCCATGCCCAAGAAACATCACCTGCCGGACCGTAGTACCAAGGAGCCCCATTGCTACGGTCAGCCATGTCCTCTTCTGCCAGTAACTCGAATCCTGTTGACATTTTGTCAGTTTTGCTCTTTGCAGTTGGTTTGTTGAGGCAAGAAGTTGGACTTACCAGCAGAGAGCACACACCTCCTCATATCCGGCACCCACGGCATCTTCACAACCCCGTTTCCAAATTCGACCCAGTTCCGAATCTTTGCGTGCTCAGTGTTGTTCTCGTCAAACTTCTTAGTCATGGCGAAGTCGTGAAACGTAAACGGGGCTCCTGGCTTCAAGATGCGCTTGATCTCACGGTACACTTCTGCAGGGTCGGGGGCGTAACAAAGGCTTTCTACCGAGTATGCGGCGTCGAAGGATTCGTCTTCAAAGGGGAGTTTCTGTCTTTCGTCAGACAGTGCTGCTGTGATAGGAGCAAACAAGAAGGGGTATACAAACCACAAAATTGCCCTGGACGAGGGTAACCTTGCCTTCGAGTCCAGCCTGCTTGGTCAACTGCGTGCCTCGCTCAACATGCCAGGTGCTGTTTGTGATCCCAATGATCTTGCAGCCGATTGCTTTGGTGATGGTGCGGGCAGGGCCGCCAATGCCGCAGCCAAGATCCAACACCTTCATCCCTGGTTTGAGGCGGGCAATACGGGCAAACTCGTGCTCATAAGCTGTCATGCTGTCGGCTATGGACTTCCCAGGGAAGATTGGGGTGTAATGGAATCGCTGCCCCCATCCTTGCTCGTAGAGAGGCGAGACAAGATCATAGTAGTCCGAAGCGACTTCGTTGTATTTCTTTGCGCGGGCGGCCCGTTCTTCCACCGTGGCGTAGCCGACGGCATCGTGGTCGATGACATTTAGCTTGGAAGGGTCACGGCTGAAATGGGAAAGGTAGCGGTGGAGAAGCGCAGGGGTGTAGTTGGGAGGTAGGTGGGAAGACATTTTCACAAGCAGTGTTTTCTTGAGTAAATGTTGGCAGTGTCCAGGAGATGGAGAATTGTGAACAGGACACCGGTGTCGATTTTTTGAAATCTATCAGTAACACAGGCGAAAGCATTTACAGCCCTTTTACATTGACAAAGGTTGTTGAGCTTGGGAGTCGGGAAGGGTGCAGTTAGTATTGTCATGGATCAGCGTTCTTTGTTAAGACTTACGATTGTTGACATATACGACAACGAAGGCTCAGGCAACTTATGCGGCTCGACTCAACGAAGCCGTGGAGCTATAGCTGCGGCATCATTTCTCATTGGCCTTGGGCCTGTCGCTCACAAGAATGCAAGCTTGAAAGAAGAAAATTTTAGTGGTCATCATCAGGTCATGCGACTTCAGGGGTAGCTGGCATCTAACCCCTGGGCCTGACCTTTCCAATAGGCCCCGAGAATAAAAGAAGCCATATGCCAACTTAGGTATCATCCAGACTCTTACTACACCCACAATGGAACTCGATCGCATTACAGTCATTAACTTGTGCAACCAAGATGGATTCGCCTAAACCTGACACCCCGAGCAGCAAACCACCCAAGGAGGATCCAACATTTCCCGTTGTACGTCTTCCTCATAGGGCGGCGACCTTTGCTATCACTGCATATGGAGCTGCTCATCCCATGGGCCGATAGGTGCCTGGTTTAGAGCTCGAAAACATTTCTCCCATTGGCCAGGTACAACTATGTGAAACGACAATCAAAGTACACACTATCCCCTACTTATACGAGGAAAATGCCCTCAAAGTACTCCTGCAACTGCTTAAAGTCTTCCAACTCACCAACCCAACCCACATATTGATCCGGTCTGACAGCCACAACGCACCCTTTCTCCTTATCAACTCCGTAATTCTTGTATGCATCGCCAAACCCTTCATGGTAACTCTCGTCATCGACAAAAACCTTGTTGTAGTCCCATCCGGTGTGTGGGTCGAAGGGATGCAGGATGTCGGGGAAATCTCGCAGGAGCTCTGTCTCGGTCCTTTTGGCTGAGTGGATTGTCAACACCTCGATCACACTATCAATCTTGGACCCCTCCGGAGTAGCCCTTCTCATAAAGCCGTTGGACGAGCTCAGCTTATCACAGAACACCTCAACTCGCTGCTTCTGTGCTTGATCCAGTATGTCCCCGGCAAACAACACAATGCGGAACCGTCCATCAGCCTTCAGCCTCTCTTGGAAATGCCATGGCCGAGCACAGGCCTGGTTAAGGACTTTAAAACTGTTGAACCTCATCCCCACAGGCAGCCCTTTGGCCAGGCTCTGCTTCACCTCGAACTCTTCCACGGTAATCCTGCGCACCCCTTCCAAATTCCGGCTTCTACCGCTCCTATCGCCCAGCTCGCCAGGGTCGCCGCTCTTGACGACCAAAGAACTTGGACCATAGTCAACACTCAATCCGCTGGCAAACAGGTTCCCTTTCAGGAACGCGTCCTTAAATTCAGCCATGCTCACGCCTTCTGCGTCCATAACATCCTTCGCCGGGCGCCCGCTGAACAAACGACTGAACTTGTGGTCGAACTCGATAAGGTCCTGAGCAACTCGGCGTCGCTCGGACTGATACGTGTCCAAAATTCTGGGATGACAAATCCCCTTGGCTACGAGCCCAACCTTCCACGCCAAGTTGAATGAGTCCTGCATAGCAACGTTCATGCCTTGTCCTGCTTTGGGGGAATGAGTGTGCACTGCATCGCCCGCAAGGAAAACCTTATTGGAAGGGTGCGAAAAGGAGGGTGAGATACGTTGTCCGATCTGCAGTTGCCATGTTAACCAGGAGTGAATAGGGGTAAAAACGGGCTCAGGGGGAAATACCTGGTACGCGGTCCACCAGTCGCAATATTCATAGTCGATCTTATATGGCCTTAAAATCTTTTGCGCAGCGCCAAAGATGAGCTCCGGTGTGATCTTGGACCTGTCTGCCCTGCCGGATGCGTCCGGCGTGACCTCCTTGAGCTGAATGTACAATCTCACCAGCCGGTTCTCGCGAGGGATGACCATGAGACTCCCATCGTTGGCTGAGTGGATAGCACAGCGCATGCGAATGTCGGCTATCCATGTGTCAGCCATGTTCCCAAGTTGCGCCCCGAGGAAACTTACGAAAGTCAGTGATAGGGATGATATCCATAACTCCCCAAATGAAGTCGGTTGCTTCGCCTTGTAGCTCAAACTCGGGACCAAGTGCCCGTCTGGTCCAGCTCCTAGCACCATCACAACCAATGACGAATTTTGCATTGATCACTTCTTCCTCCCCACCCTTTGCATCTGTGATGTTCTTGTCCTCGTAGTCATCCCCCACAAGGTTACTCCGAAAGAGCCCATCTGTCACATCACTCTTGCTGCCTGTCGTAGCTTGTGGCGGAGTAGCTTCCTCTTCTGTTAGCTTTCTCACCGTCACTTTAACTCTCTCCCCCCCAATCTGCAAACTAGTTGGTAGGATCGCCCTCTCGACTTTGATGGCACCCCCAGAGTATTTCTGGATGTTGTCCAAAAAGAACCTCTCAATCCTGCCCTGTTGCAACACAATCTGTTGGAATCTGGACAGCCCCACAATCGTATCAGGGATTCTGTCGCTCCGTTGAATGATACCTGTCGCGTCAGGATTCCACATGCAGATTTCGATCATGTGGTTTGCTTCCTTCCATGCCCTGTCAGCGAAGCCAAGAGAGTCAAAGATCTCAAGAGAGCGGCATTGAAGACCGTCGGCCTGGCCCGAAAAGATCTTTGTGGAACGCTTGTCTATGATCCGAACTGAAAGCGGAGAGGCAGAGGGGATGGCGGTGAGGTGAGCGAAAGATGCGGCAGCCATGAGCCCGGCAGGCCCGGCGCCAATGATGAGGCTAGAGTGTGCATTAGAATGGTAGGCATATACTTTGCTCTGGGCTCCAGTCTTACACGTCGACATTCGTCTCCGGAATATCAGACTGAGAGAACATGGTGCCGTCACAAAAAGTACAGTGAAATATCAGGTAACAGGCTATGGTCAAACGAAGAGTTTCGTCAACGACAGGAACGGGGACCGCTCCGGTTTAAACCCCTTCATTTCTTCACCGTACTTTCAAGGTAGGTACCTGGGTGCAGCTCCACCCACCCTCAAGGACATGATCAACATGACGAGGCATACAATCATAGGCCCTCATTGGTCATGTTTTTTATGCTATTGGACTTGTCCCTGCACGTTGGTTGTGCTTTGGGTCGCTTTGGGTGCTGAAGAATTGCAACGACATGAAACTAACCCGGAAATGGACTAGATGCTTACTGACTTTGATGTGGACTGATGATGGACTTCAACAAGGCTGGGAATAGTTTTGGGAGTGAAGTGGAGGTTTACCTTCAAATCAATGTACTGAGCATGCTCCTCCAAAATAACCTGGAAGGCTGTTTTTCGGAAACCGAAGAACCACCGACCGAGAAGGGTGGCTGAGGGATCTCGCCATGGGGACAGGGGTACGCTAGGATCGCGGGGGTCTTAGAAAGACTCCACCGCCAACCATCTTGACCATCACCAATGACTTCAGTGGACACGGGAGGCTTGCCCATCCATGATTGTTCACATAAACGACAAAGAGTCGAGAACTGGCAGACAACAAATGACACGAAGAAGATATTTACGACAAGGTAGGTACTTAAATTTCCCGAGCTGTCCATTACCTGGTATCACGAATAGTCCTCAAATTTATGTTCCACACGTCTAAATGGCGGAGAATGGCTGCGGCACGCTGCGCCCCACTGGCCATCATTACTAAAGAACCAGCAATCCCAAGCTTGACAGAGCCGCAATCCTTCCACCTCGAATATTCTTCTATTACATCACTCCCGACGACAAGATATCACGGTCTCGAGCTTCCTGAGAAGTATTCCCTTCCAGGTTCTTACCCAAGCCAATAGCGAAAATGGCAGACATAATTGGCACCATCGTCACTCTTGTGGAAACGGTTCAGTCTGCCGTCACTCTCTACCAGCGCATCGACGGCCTACCCACACAAATGACGCAACTCGGTAAACGAATCGAGCGCCTGAGCCCATTTTTGAGCCGGCTGGAATCTTTCATAAAAAAAAGACCAGCAGCTGCCTCCTCAAGCCTGTATCCTGGCCAGAAACAAGATCTCAGACAATTGCTGGATGCTATCAACGGCCACATCAAGAAGGCAACCGATTTGTTTGAGCGATACGAGAAAGGCATTCTCTCGCGGTCTCATGATCTTGAATTTCGAGCACGATGGGTTTCACAAATATGGTTTTCCCTAGTAGAAAACAGCCCAGAGAAAGTCCAGGCAATCCTGGATGATATCGAATACGACAGGGGCGTTCTTTCAGACTACCTCGCCCTAATGGCTGTGGACAAACAACCCGATATCCCGAGTCCCAACCTGATCACAAGTCCAGCCCCTAAAAAAATTATCATCAACAGCCCTGCGAACAAGAACATCGCTAATTCCCCAAAGAAGAACAACTTATCACCATCGTCAGCACCAGCCAAACGACCATCACCATCACCATCGCCGATACCACGACAAGATTTAAAGGTCCTCTTTGTCGACCCTTATCATGCTGAGCGAACAGCGATCGCCGAGTCTCTCCTTGCCCTCTTTCGGGAGCTGACTCTACTGTACAAGTCAAACACACCCTGGCGCATATCAACCGTCTCGTCCGCTGGATTCTTTGTCGAAAATTCTTCTGATTTGGTGCCAGTCATCTCATCCCTCAATTACAGCTACTCATCATGGAAGAAGGATTTCAAACCCGGCGGTCCGGGCGATGTTCCAAAACCCGAAGCCCTGAAGGCCATCTTTGACAACAACTGGGCAAACTACCCCTTTAAAAACGCGATCAAGTCGCAAATATCAACTCGCCCCAGTGTAGGCTTGACAAAAGACGTGTTTAAGAAGTACGACTACATCATTGTCTTCACCAAGCGGGAGCACGACAACATGGTCAAGCTCAAGGAAGCGGTAACTGCAATGACAAAAGAGAGGCAAAGGGCACGGGTGTTACATCTGGGAGTGTACTTGGGCGGGGAGATTGTTTATCCAACATTGGCAAAAGGAGCGGGGGAAGTTATTGAGCAGACAAACCGGCATGAGTGGAACAAAAAGGTGGCTCAGATCAAGACGGCGTTGAAGGAGTTCTTGAGGCAGGAGATGCGGTGGCAAATGCCAGAGCTACCTGGTCCAGAAAAGAACGATGGGAAGCAAATCAAGGATACCGGGGAGAAGGATGCAAATGGAGTCAAGAACAAGAAGAAAGAAAGCGGTAAGGACAAGGTGAATGCAGCTGGTAAAGCGAAGGGAAAGGGGTCTTAGCGACATGACGCTTTGGTACCGGCTTTTGGTGTGCTTTACCTACCTGCATCGATGAGAGCCGGGCATTTTGGATTCAGATCAATGGTGATTGCATGTTGTCTATGTTCCAGACCAATTTTGTTGATATTTCAGAAGTCCGGATAAATGTTTTGTTTTGGGATCAGATATGGTTGCCGGCTGAGCTTGTTTCCGTCAAGCTTTGACTAGGCGCCGCCACTGACAGGGGCTTTTTTCAGGCACCTACGTTACATATAGTGTTTTTATCGACGGCTAGAACCTAGATTCAATTAAACCCAACTTCATAGATGACGTGGCCATCGACATACACCTTCCACAGCATAGTCCTTCCCCGCAGAATGCATCCCGACCAACACACATTCGCTTCTTACTTCTTATAACATGCGACCCTGTTCGCTTCTCGGCAAGTGATCCGGTTCCTCAAGCCCAAAAATGCTTGCAGAGCAAGTTTATTGCGTTGGCCAGATGCCGGCCGTTCTACACGGCTAAACAGCAAGAGCCTGGACTGGCCTCTGGTTTGGCGAGCCTAAGAAGGCTCTTCACCCGGATGATACTGATCGGAAAATCAGGACGCCAGTTCCATGGTCTACTCAGCGGGAATCGTGAATCCGTTTGTCGAAAATACAGAAATTGCACTTCCCTAGAGTCACACCCAATGGCTTGTCAGGGGCAGAAGACTTGTGGTTGCACTTTTGATATTGATCATGGCCGGCAGTAACCTTGCTGGGTATGCAATCTCGTGAGATCGTCCGATCCAGGGCTTGTATCGTGGTGAACTACGTAGCTGTTGCCTGTATTTAGTCTCAGCCGGCCACGATTATTGTCTTGTCTTTCACGAGCATCATCTGATTTTGATATCATTCAACTTTCAACACACTCAACATGAGAATTGTATATCTTTCGGCGTTGCTTGCGTTCGGCCTACAGGTTGAGGCCCAGCTCGCTGCCAGACAGCGCGGCGGCGGTGGTGGAGCAGCGTGTGTGTGGGAAGGTCATTGTCTTGGTATACCTTTGCCTATTCTTTCAACTCTCACCGTATAGAGACTGACAAGTTGCCAGGTGACGAATGCGACTCTGAGCTTGACTGTGACGGGGATCTGTACTGTCGCTCAGGAAGATGTGCGAATCCCCCTACCCAGAGTTCCTCTCGTGGCGGTGGACAAGGCTCAATCATCCGCACAACAACCATATACGTTTATCCAACCCCTACCGTGAGACCTACCTCACCTGCTCAACCAGCTTGCGCTTGGACCGGACATTGCATTGGTATCTACTTACCCCTGGACCCCTGGGTTTTCTCTCTTGGCAGCCAATACTAACCGTCTCCCAGGTGACAGGTGCGAGGACGAGAATGAATGCGACGGAGACCTGATCTGCCGTGCAGGTCGTTGCAATCCTCTTTCCGGTGGCATAAGCACGTCCACGCGCAGAGCCACGGTCACATACCCGCCGGTTATCACGCGTATCACCAGTACTCGCCGTGTCACGGTCACACTGCCCCCGGTTATTACCCGCACGAGCACAAGTACACGTCGGGTTACAGTTCCTCCCATCGTGACGACTGTGACTCGCAGCAGAAGCACAGCAGTACCGCCTCGTCCAACGCCAACAAGCGGACCAGGGCCAAACTGTGGAGACAACCCACTCTCTTGTATCGGTACGTTGTTTTCTGCCTTTTTTAAACAGATAGGTTGCTGATGCTCGAAATAGGCTTGAGCTGCCAGGAGGATTCAGACTGTGGATTCGATTTGATCATCTGCAAGAATGGCTTTTGTGATTTGTAACCAGCGTTTCAGCTGACGACCGAGATGGCGAACAAACTTGCGCCTGTGTGGTGGTACCGAAATGAACCAAGTGCTCTAAAAGGGCATCTGTGTCTCTCCCATGCGTGCCCAATGACTAGGTGAGGATCTCTGTGTTATGTCCATTTAAGGTAGCTTTGGAGAATGTAAAACGGTCGAAGCTTTTGCCTGCTAGTAGGAGAGGTGTCACTTTCTCTTTGTATCCCGCATGTCGTACGACCACAAAACCCACCAACCTAGGTAGGTAACTTGGGATAATGAGGTGTTCAAAGTTGTACAGTATAACATGTGAAATTTGCGAGATTGGCATTACGATTTGCCTTGTGGAGGTTATTCATAGTTAGTGCTATGATTTGATGATGATAGGGTGGCTTGGCAAGGAGGGTGAAGTGGGTTGCGAGTGCGGTTTAGATGTCACGATGTCTGTTTAAGGCAGGCAGAAGTCTTCGCAGTGTCGAACGTTGCTAAAAGTGGTATGGCAATGGGATGTGCCACTGCGAGACAGAAGCTTGGACCATCTGAGAACCAAAAGCCTATCCGTAACATTCTCTCCGGTTTGAGCTTTTGAGGACAGCAATGTGGGGTGCTAGGCACACCAGCTTAGTATTAAGGTAGACCATTTTGGTTGCGTTGGCTGCAGAAAGACCCGCTCCATCCCGTCCGGACGAACACATCGTGGGTATCGGAAGACGTGGTATCGGATCGGCGTCCCGCTCCCGGGAAACCTGACTAAGCAGATCGGAGATCGTGGAAACAACTGAAACAAGGCAGGCGGGCAAGCTTGGCATTTCATCGCCAAACCTCGGCGAGACCGCTGGGTCGCGTCTTTTGACGCAACCCAACTTCCTCCGCTCAACGTACGGAATCTGCCGAAAACTGCGAACTGATCTCGCACACGAGACCTCGCTGCGAGGAACAAAGCTCTCGTGCACACTGAGGCCTGGGCTGCCCGAGTCAAATGGGAGCCGGAACGACCCTGTCAGCGGCAGTAGGAGCGGGTGGGACAGCAGAGTTCAGTGAGCCGAGTCACCAGACGCCACGGTTACCTCCCACCTGTGGAACAGACGACGCATCCACCACAGCTACCGAGGATCTGGACTTGCTCGAGAGCATCAAAGAAGTCTTGGACGCTGATTCCCGTCCGACTTTTGTTTTGGATCTCGACCCCGACGACCCCCTGCCGATCACTCCCATCGATACCACCGGCAGCCCCACCACCAGAGCCAAAGTCCTGCTCCCCGTATTCTGCAACGCTGCCCTGCGACTGTACGAACAACTTTACGATGGCCTCATCGGTCTCGACGCTCAGGGCTTACCGCCAGAGCAAGAGCCTCAGGACGCCTCCTTCGATGAGTTCAAGCGATGGGCCACCGGCGTGACGACTCATGACGACTCCAAGGACGTCTTTCCACTTTCGTTTCTCTACGGCGACCTCCTCTGGACCGGCTCTACCGTTAGGAAGCGATGGCGCCTCATCAGTGGGAACCGCTTGTGGCGCGCTGCTGAAGTTGCCAGTCCCGTTGGTGACCTGTCCTCTGGAGCACCAGCTGAAGTTGCGACAGGCGGCTTTGTCGCAGAACACAGCCTCAAGGCCGCATCACAAAAAGCGCCACCGTCAGAACGCCCAACAGACACGAGTCTCCCCGTATCAGGAACGACAATAGCCGTTAGGTACTCCAAGCAAAAGTCGGGACGGCCTCCTCCAAAGTCGTTCTTTTCAACACGACAGACCCCGGCGGGAAGTTCTGACGACACCACAAAATCATCCGCATCCATCACCTTGGCTGCACCAGAGAAGTCAGTTGCCGACTGGACCTGTCCTGAGCCGAGAGGGGTACTCTCAGCTCATCTTCAATATGCCCGGACCGTCAACTGGGCCATCACGCCGTTGGGCCCAATGGAGAAATGGTCGCCAGAATTCAAACAGACGGCCAACCTCTGCATGAACAACCCTCACCCGGCCGCTCTGTTCTGGGGCAGCGAGCTGACAATGCTGTACAATGAAGCCTACGCCACCGAGGTGGCTGGCAACAAGCACCCTTCTCTGATGGGCACCGGGTTCAGCGGTCCTTTTTCTGAGCTCTGGGACTACCTTCGCCCCATTTTCGCTGAATGTGCCCGAACAGGAATAAGTGTGCGCAAGGAGGATGATTACTTGCCTATTGACAGGCATGGCCTACTTGAAGAGACCTTCTTCTCTTGGTCTTTTACTCCGATGTATGGGGGCACCGACCGAATTCTCGGCTTTTACAACGCACCTTTCGAGACAACGAAACAGGTCATCAACCGCCGGAGGATGCATACCATCAACAAAATTGGCGAACGAACAGCCCAAGCCAAGGCTGTTAAGCAATTCTGGAAGTTTGTCTTGGAAGGTCTGCAAGACAATGAACGCGATGTCCCTTTTGCGTTGCTCTACTCGGTGGGCGATGGAGAAGGCGAAGACAACGACCACTCTTCCATGTCTTCAGGCAGCACCATTTCGCTCAAGACATGCCATCTCGAAGGATCCATTGGAGTCCCCGATGGGCACATGGCAGCCCCGACGCATCTTGATCTCAAGCGGAGCCGCGAAGGGTTTGTGCCATCCTTCCGCGAAGCCATGCGCACCCGAGAACCAACCCTGCTTCATACACGAGATGGGACATTGCCGGAAGTCCTCCTCGAGGGTATCAACTGGCGCGGTTTTGGGGATCCCTGCCGTGAAGCTGTCATTTTTCCTGTCCGGCCGACTAATGGGGATGCGGTGCTTGCCTTCTTGGTGTTGGGCGTAAACCCTCGCCGGCCGTACAATGACGAATACAAGGCTTTTACCAGCATGCTTAACCGACAGCTGGCCACGTCTTTGGCATCCGTGATCCTGTTCGAGGATGAGACTCGGCGTAGCAGGGATGCAGCGGAAGCAGCTGCATTGGAGAAAGAGCAGTTGACACAACAGTTGAATTTGCAAGCCAGCAGGTACAGACGCATGACTGAGCTTTCTCCCCTCGGAATGTTTCTCATCAGCCCCGAGGGTGTTTTACGCGAGGCCAACGATCGGTTTTTCGAGATGACGGGCCACACCAGAGATAACAACAGCCAGTACGAGATGTCGTGGCTGGATATCATGGTTGAAGAAAGCGCAAATACGATGAGAGAAGGCTGGGAGCGTCTGGTCAAGGATCACTTGCCTTGGTCGGGAGAGTTGAAGCTAAGGAAGCCGCGGATTAACCCAGCGTTGGAAACGAATGAACCAATGGATTCCTGGGTTTTGTTCAGTGCCCATGCTGAGTTATCTCATGATAGCACGGTGAGATCCGTAATGGGTTCCATCACAGATATCTCACATCTCAAATGGGCCCAAGGTCTGCAGAATCGTCGGCTCCAAGAGGCCGAAGAGACAAGGAGACAGCAGAATGAATTCATTGACATCACCTCGCACGAGATGCGGAACCCCCTCACAGCCATTCTGCAGTGTGCCGACGATATTTTATCGGCCTTGGGGGCCGGAGACAATCAATATCAGGGCACAGAAGCGACATATCGAGGAATTGGGAACGCTAGTTCAGTCACGCCACAAACCATCCAGTCCTGTATAGATGCCGCTCAAACCATCGCATTGTGCGTGCAGCACCAAAAATCCATCGTGGATGACATCCTTACCATCTCGAAACTGGATTCAAATTTGTTGCTTTTGACGCCTGTCCCCTGTCAACCGAAGCTTCTGCTGCGACGGGCTGTCAAAATGTTTGAGCCCGAGTTACAGGCGAAGAAGATTGAGGTTTCTTTCGACATCCGGGAGACCTCTCTTACCGGACTCAGTGTGGACTGGGTAGCCATGGACCCGAGCCGCGTCCTCCAGGTTCTCATTAACCTTCTCACCAACGCCATCAAGTTCACTGCGCCTGCCAAAGACAAGAGGCTGATCACAGTTGCATTGGATGCATCTTTGAATCCTCCAGATGCCCGCCTGATCCCCGGGTTTCAGTATGTTCCTGTATCGTTCAAGGCAGCTGGTGGATACGTTGACTCGAAAACATCGGCTCTGGGACCGGAGGACGAGATGCCCGATGCGACAGCACCAGTTCCATCCAGCGAGCTATATCTGTATTTCCATGTGCAGGACAGTGGCTGTGGCTTAACGCACGAAGAGAAGCAGATATTGTTTCAGCGATTTAAGCAAGCCTCCCCACGGACTCATGCGCAGTACGGCGGAAGTGGACTAGGATTGTTCATTTCCAAACGACTGGCTGAGCTTCATGGAGGGCAGATTGGAGTGGCGTCGGAAGCAGGGGTGGGGAGTGTCTTTGGTTTCTTTGTCAAGGTGAGGAGAGCCGCCCCCTCTCCTGTATCACGCGAAGAGGAGGATGCCTTCCTCGCAGCGGTTGGGCCAATGGAAAGACACTTGCATCCAGTAGGCGAACGAAATACCTCTTTGCTCAGCAGTGAAGCTGTCAAGCAGGAGGGCAAAGGATATTCTGGAGTTTCTTCCGCCGAATTCAGTTCGGGCGCGAGCCTAGTTGGTTCTATGGCACTCGAGGCAGCACCGGCACGACCGCAGCCATTTTCAAGAATTGCATCCGATGTCTCATCAACATTCGACCCGAAGCAGCTTGATATTTTGGTCGTTGAGGACAACCTCATCAATCAAAGGGTTCTTGTAAGGCAACTCAAACAGTATGGATGCAATACGGTCGGCGTTGCGAATGATGGCTTGGAAGCGCTGGCCTTTCTTGAGAAGACGCACTTTTGTCGGACCTCTGAAGAGAACCCGGGCCAGGATCTATCCGTCATACTCATGGACTTGGAAATGCCCAACATGGATGGCCTAACTTGCGTCAGGGAAATTCGCAAGTGGCAACAGGAAGGAAAGGTGACCAAAGGGAAGCACGTTCCTGTCATTGCAGTTACCGCCAACGTGCGAGACGAGCAAGTGGCCACTGCGAGAAAGAGCGGAATGGACGATGTTGTGTCTAAACCTTTCCGCATCAAGGATCTAATGAAGAAAATCGAAGTGTTGTTGGGGCAGGATTTGGCAGGATCACAGGCACAGCCGGAGCACGCATAACGATAGGGACACGGCTTATAAAGGTATCGTGGCTGAATAGAACGCTTTCTAGAGCGTGGCAGTTGCGCATTGGGAATGATACCAGGGATATGAAATGGGGGTATGGGATAGCACATATACGAATCGGCGTTTGGTGTTTCTCGTTATTGTCTATTTGGATATCAAGGTGCCATGGCGCTAACTTCTAGAAAAGATGACGGGGGATAGATGTCACGGCTGTTAGATGTTGCTCGGATTATCTTACTAATGAGGCTCTCAATACCAGAACTGTATGATGTCTAAATCCCGTCCCGTCAAAGCCTTGGTACCTGCGAACAAGGCTTCTACACAGCTTTGCAAGTAGACAAATGCGCATTGTCATAGTTGGTACCGGGTTAGGGTTTAGGATTGGAGAACTCAGGGGTTCAGGGGCTCGAAAGTCAGTAGTTGTCAGCAGAGCGCTAGTATGCGGTGTTTGTGCCCACATGAGATTTGCACACCAGTAACAAGTAGGTACCCAATGTCCCAATCTCCTCCCTGTCTTGAATCCAGCTTCCTTCCGCTCTGCATGCTTATAAAGGACAGACTGATTAGGTATCCATTATCCGTATCTCTGTCGGCGATTGGAACTTTCAACTTGCTCCTTCGGCAAACTAGATACACCGCCTCCGCGTAGGTAACTGACCAGCTTTCTTAACACCTGATTGGTTAACTCGCCTATTTCGGTCGAGCTCGCCGTCTCCCGCGCAAGGAACTGACGCACCAGAAAACAATTACTAAACACTTGGCACTACAGCACTGCCCAACGGTGCATTGCTTTTCTCCGCTTTTCGGATCATGCCGTGGTTTCCACGGTATTTACATTGCCAAGATTCGGCCTTTTCCCCTTTTTGTCCCGTAACCGACATGGCCACGGATCCCGCGTGCCCCGTTGACCTGCGCGTCTTTGTCTGCCGACACGGCCAGTCAGCGGCAGCAATTGACACCAATGTCAAGTCGCACAACACATGCAAAGGCTTCATCCTTCCGACTGTTGACCAACTGACTGTGTAAGCCTGCGCTGATGCGACCGTTGATCATGCCCATACGACTGATTTCATAGCCGGCGGTGAAGCCTACTTATAGCTTGGACCCTGTGCCTAAATCTTCACTTTTTAACTACAGCTTGATTCCGTTGTTGTCTTCCCCGTAAGAAAGAAATCATGGCTCTCGGGGGCCTTCCTTTACCGGTACGATATATTTCTTTTTCACCTTTTGGTCTTGGTTTCTGGGTCACTCCTTTGAGAAAACGTTCAGGTTGGTTGTTACTGATACCCAATGCATCAATAGGGTCCCCGCGCATACCCCATTGTGGGGAATGTGCTGCAGATTGATACCAGCAGCACCCTAAAGTCCCTTGATAAGTTTACTGATCAATATGGCGAAATCTACCGCCTCGTGCTACCTTGGGGAACAACCGCCATTGTTGTAAGGTCCTTGATGCACGTCTAGTTTATAAGCAAAGCGCCCTGACCATGGAAATGTAGACAACAGCAGCCCTCGTCCATGAGGTCTCCGATGAAACACGCTTCAAGAAGCCTATCATTGCTGACTTCGAGCAACTCCGCAATGGCGTTCCCGCCGGGATGTTCACCACCCCGACAGAAGAACCAGTATGGGGTATCGCCCACCGCGTCCTAACCCCTGCTTTCGGGCCGGTGCCCATCCAAGAGATGTTTCCCGAGATGCACGAATTGGCTGCCCAGCTTGTCATGAAGTGGGCTCGCCACGGCCCCGAGCAATCCATTGCGGTCAGTGAAGACTTCACCCGACTTGCCCTCGACACCATTGCCCTGTGTTCGATGAATTTCCGATTCAACTCTTACTATCACGACGAGCTGCATCCTTTCATTACCGCAATGGCCAATTTCTTGACCGAGTCTGGAAACCGATCCCTCAAGGGCAACTTCTTGTCCAGTTTATTTTTCTGGTCAAGCAACAAGTACTTTGCTGACATCAAGACCCTGAGGGACATTGCTCAGTCAGTTCTCGATGCCCGGAGAGCGAATCCAAACGGAAAAAAAGACTTGTTGTCGGCAATGCTGGATGGCGTGGACAGGAAGACAGGCGAGAAGTTGGATGATGGGGCTATCATCGACAACCTCATCACCTTTTTGATCGCAGGCCACGAGACCACAAGTGGCATGTTGAGCTTTGCGTTTGTGATGCTGCTCAAGAACTCAGAGACGCTGAAGAAGGCCCGCCAGGAGGTCGACGAGGTGATCGGTCGAGGACCGGTTACGGCCGAGCACATGAAAAAGTTGCCATACATTACTGCCATTCTTCGAGAGACGCTCAGACTATGTCCGACCATTCCTTCGTACGGCGTTCAGGCTCTCGAAGACACAGTTATCGGGGGCAAATGGGCAATCGCCAAGGGTCAGGTCGTTCTTCTCTATCTGGCGAGATCGCATCGAGACAAAGCGGTCTATGGCGAAACAGCTGACGAATTCATTCCTGAGAGGATGCTCGATGAGAATTTTGATCGGCTCAGCAAAGAACATCCCGGGTTTTGGAAGCCTTTTGGAAATGGTCAGCGAGGATGCATAGGGCGCGCGTTCGCCTGGCAAGAAGCCATGGTCATAATGGCAATGCTGGTGCAAAACTTTGACTTTGAGATGTCGGATCCGTCCTACGAGCTCAAGATTAAAGAGACTCTGACCACCAAACCTGAGGGATTCGAGATGAAAGCCAAGCTGAGGCACGGGTTGACGCCTACCGAGCTGGAGAGACAACTGAACGGCAGCCTTTTGGAGAAGAGCACACTTTCCAAACACCCGCACGCCCAAGCGACAGAGAAGGGGACACAGCTCAAGCAGCTCAACATTTTTTACGGATCCAACACTGGCACATGTGAGGCGCTTGCCCAGAGGCTGGCCATGGACGCCCCTTCCCACGGATACAATGCAACAATCATTGATGCGCTTGATGCAGCAGCAAACCGGCTCCCCAAAGATGACGCCACCCCTGTTGCTTTCATCACTGCATCTTACGAAGGAGAACCGCCTGATAATGCCATCGACTTTGTCACCTGGATCAAAGACTTGCCTGGCACATCCTCCCTCAAAGGAACCTCTTATGCCGTCTTTGGCTGTGGCCATCGCGACTGGGCCAACACCTTCCACAAAGTCCCTCGTCTGGTCTACAACACTCTTGAACAAAAGGGAGCTACCCCTATTTGCGATCTTGGTCTGACAGATGTTTCCCAAGGTGAGATGTTCACCGACTTTGAGGAATGGGAAGATGACGTGTTCTGGCCTGCCATCAAGTCAAAATACGGTTCTGCTGTGGGTGGTGGCAGGCAACAGGCTCTTGAGGTTCAGTTCTCAACCCCTCGTGCTTCGACTTTGAGGCAAGACGTCGAGGAGGCTGTAGTGGTGGAGGAAAAGACTCTGACCAAGGGAAATGGGGTTCCAAAAAAGCATCTCGAAGTCCAGCTTCCGGAAGGCATGACATACCGCGCTGGGGATTATCTGGCTGTGTTGCCGGTGAATCCCAAAGAGAGTATCAACCGGGTGATGAGAAAGTTTGGGTTGGCTTGGGATAGCCATATCACGGTTGCCGGTGGGGCTGAGGGTAAGAAGACGACGCTTCCAACTGGAGTACCAGTGCCAGTCCACGAGGTGCTTGGCTCTTACGTTGAGCTGTTGCAACCTGTCACCAAGAGGGTACGCCCGTTTCTATTCTTCACCCTTTGCTTCTAATTGACTGACATTTTTCCAGGGCGTACAAACACTTTCCAACTTCACTTCAGCTGCAGCCGACAAAGCAGCACTGTCTGCTCTTTCCACGAACCCCGAGCTCTACACTTCGACCATCATCACCTCTCGGCTATCATTACTGGACATTCTCGACAGATATCCTTCCATCTCTCTTCCCTTCGGCACATTCCTCTCACTCCTCCCCCCGATGAGAGTGAGGCAGTACTCGATTTCCTCGTCCCCTTTGGCATCGCCTTCCAAGGCTACTCTCACTTACACCCTCCTCTCCGGCCAGTCATTGGCCAACCCCGCCAATTTGTTCGCAGGTGTCGCTACGTCGTATCTGTCTGCCCTAAGGCAGGGGGATAGACTTCTTGTCTCTGTCCGGCAATCACACTCGTCGTTCCACCTACCCTCCAACGTCGAGACCCCGGTGGTGATGATTGCCGCCGGAGCGGGCATAGCCCCCTTCCGTGGTTTCATTCAAGAGCGGGCGGCCTTAGCATCTCAGGGTAATAAACTCGGCAAAGCGTTGCTCTTCTTTGGCTGCCGGCACCCCGACTGGGATGACCTTTATTGTGACGAGCTTGGGAAGTGGGAGGCTGATGGCATTGTGAAAGTGACAAGGGCTTATAGCAGACAAAATGACCGGGAATACGTCGGTGACAGTGTTCTGAACTACAAAGACGAAGTGAAGCAGCTGTGGGACAATGGTGCAAGAGTGTACGTTTGTGGCAGTCGGGCAGTCGGAGATGGTGTGAGAAGTGCCTTGGGGAGGGTTGTTCTTGGTGACGAGGCAAAGGAGGGGGAGATTGCAAAGTGGTTTGAGGGGGTGAGAAATGTCAGGTATGCGGTCGACGTTTTTGACTAGTTCCAGCTTGCTGTCAGTTACCAGATGTTTAATTGGCAAATGTCTATCCTGCCGGACTGCGGAACGCCATGTTGTTTATTAAAGGGATAAGATTGGTAATCAGGCGTTCATAGATCCAACTCTCTGCTTAGTTATATCTACTCTATCTTTCGAAAGCTCAATTTAGTACCTTTGAATGTGACCAGATGTGCAAACTTGGTTCTTCGTGTTAAGCAGTGATATTGGATTCGGTGTGAATCAGCTATATTCCCGAGCGTGTTGCGGCGGCAACAGAGGTCCCCCGTGCCCCTCCCACAAGATTGCGGGGTCCAAGCATGGCCATGGTGCGACTTCACACAGAAACACCTGCAAAGCAGGCTCCATGGGCGGGCACACAACATCGCGACTCGACACTCCACAATAAAAGCATCTCGCAATGTGCTATCAGCTTCTCGAAAGATACAGTAGTTGCGGCTGCTACTATTATCGACACCAGGTTGACAAATGCGGTGCGCATGGCAGAGCAGGACATATTGTTCAACAACGTACGATCCTGGTTGGTCACACATGTGCAGACCACACCAGTCACTTCGAAGACTACGGCAAATACGGCTCTGCTACACCTGCACAAAAAAGCGTTAAGCTTGGGTACTCGAAGCAAGTGGAGGAATCGGATGAGACTGGTTTGGACCAGAGCATCCAGCCCTCCATCGCGAGCCCCATCCGCATTGTGGCTACGTCCTTGAACCCTGACTCAGTGGCAAAGCGTCCCGGGATATCTGACGACTTTGCCTGGATTGAAACACCAGTCCACTATGACTGGGAAGATTCAGATGCCGAATCAAGAGTTTCGGATCCGGATAGCATCATCTCCGTGCCATCTACCGTGAGCTCCGTCGACCCGGACGCAATTGAGACCATCTTTCACCGCCTCCTTCATTTTCAAGACCTTCAATTCCTGTGGTCACACACGGTGCAACTGTCGGGCTCTCGTTTGAAAAGCAACCACAACATAGCCCTGTTTCTCGAGCTGTATGCTATCGACCTTTTGAATCTGGCCTTGAACACAAAAGATCGACCGGAGAAGCGAGTGAAGCTGGATGCCGCTAGATTCGTCAGAAGATCTCGGAGGGATATCGCTCGGAGAATTACCGAGGCTCATTGCAAGACATGGACAGACGACAGTGCTGCTGTAAATAATGAAATCATTGAAGATCAAGAAATCGGTGAGAATATCGGTGCAAGGCGAGATTATGACCAAGGTGATAGCGGGCCCGAAGATGAACCCTTCGACTTGGTCACTGCTGTTGCCGAGGTATTTTTGTTCGAAACGGACCCAGTTCTGCACTTGGAGTCCAATGTTAAAGCATTTGTCAAACGACAGTGTCCGAAGGTCGTCCAACAAAGCTTCTGGGAGTTTATGACTACCAAGACAAGCAACATGGTGTCAAAATTAAGGCAAAAGCCTCTGGAAGACGGGAAGACGAGAATAACATGGACCTGTGTGAGTTTGAGCTGGCAATTGTACACACCCTTGGTATTTACTGATTTGTGACCTTCAGAAATGTGGGAGGAACCTTTACGATGATTTTACTGAAATTGTGCCTGGGGCAGTCAAACAGCTTGAAGCCGAATTACGATACCAAAACACCAAACAGCCTGAACTGGAGTATGATAACCTAGATGCTCAAAATACCCCGAGAAGCCACCCAAATTCATTTGCCAGGGTACTGTTTCAGATGTGGACTGGGACAACACAGATCTTTCGCAAATTTCAGTACCCTCTTTTACCAGAGCACAAGTCTTCGCGTGGCAACATGAGCCTCGAACTTGGCAATCCCTGCGCGCAGTCGTCACAGCAGGCACCCTATACTACACACCTCTTCCTTCTTCTTTGTGTTCCTTTTCTCCGATTTGCAACAAGACTCGCTGAACCCGAGGTTTGCCAGATCAACTCCGATCAGGAATTATTCTAACTCCTCCGGCGTCAGTATCTCAAAGCACGTTCGGGTAAAAGATGGTTATGGGGCCAGCTCAGAAGAGTACAAGCCATAGACTTTGTCAAATTAGAGCTGTATTCGACTCAAGAGCTTGTGGACATTTGCCACTCTCCATCTCTTCCCCAAGATACAGACTCGTATGTTTACAATCCCCAGTCGGCAGAACACATACCACCAATTGGAGCAAATCACCTCATGCATCTGTTTCCTCATCCGTCGCACGCCGAGCCTTTGCCGATTCTTTTCAGACGAGTGCCCAAAAAGGTTGAAAACCCACTAAAGCCTTGTCCAATAAACGGGGTTGGGTTAGGCTGGGGCCTGTACCTTCAGGAGGGCATGAACTGGCCGGCTATGCTTCTCTATGGCTGCATTGGGTTTGGACTCAGCCTTTTCACAGCGGTGGTTTGGGCCACACTTGTTAATCAAGGGGATGTGCAAGGAGGCTTTGCTATTGGGGGCTTTATGCTAGCATTTTTAGGGTTTGCCGGAGGCGTCATGGCGCACATGAATGGTGAGAATGAACTGTAGAAATAACCGCATGAAAGGCAGCAATACCAACATGCTAATCATGCTTCTCTTTCCCAGCGGTCATTAGAGACTCTGTAGCCCATATTCCGCCTTGATAGCGTCCGCAATCTGTGTCTTCGGTCAGTCCTGAAACACTTTTGCCCGAGAGGGAAAGCATTGCGTACCTTCTCGCCGGAAGCATAAGTCGTGGCTGTAGGTGCAGCAGTCAAGACAATAGGCCAGTAGCTCGTATCAATCACTCTCAAGCCCCTGACGCCATACACCTTCATTTTGGAGTTCACCACGCCGCCCAGTAGTCTCGGCATCATGGCTGCCGTGCAACACTGATGGGCACTCGACGGCTCAGTGACCCCTCTCAGTATTTGCTTGAGGATATTCTTATCGGTGATGTCATTGCTAAACGGTGCGGCCTCAAGGGGATTCAACGCAGCCATGCTGGGCTGAGACATGATGTGTCTGTTTTTGAGGAACGAGGCCACAATCAAATCCTCGTCAATGGGATCGACGTTTGTGCGAAAGTCAATCAGTGGCCACTCGAGTGCATTGGTAGAGTTGATCTGAACAGTCCCCCTGCTCAGAGGCTTGAAGAAGTACATCCTGACGGAGTTGGCGGTATCCCAATGAATCATCGACACGGGAGTCTTGGGGCCCTCCAGTTGTCGAAGAATGATTTCGCGTTGAAGAGCGTAGCCTGCTTTGACGGTGGCGTGGGTATCATCAGGAAGGTATCGAAAGGGGTTGGTTCTGCGAGCCGCAGAGACGATGGATTTGCAATCAGAAGTTGCGTTGCAGAGGGGAGGGAGCGCAAGGTTGGTGCTGAGACCACGAGTAAGCTGGTAAGGACCTTGGCGAGTTGCATCGTAAAGAGCTCGCTGCTCAGCGTCGTAGACTGGATCCGAGTTTAGGGTTCCCACGTTTGGCGAGATGTTGTTGGTGACTGCCAGGTTCAAGTTAGCACTCAAGTAACAAGGTAAACTGAGAGGTACACACGTGCCATTGTATGGAATGATGATGCTAGGTTGGTCATGAAAGTTGGCTCCTACGCCGGGAAGCTCGACCACGATTGGGATATTGAACTTGTTCAAAACCTTCTTGGGACCAATCCCAGAAAGCTGCAGGATCTGAGGTGTATGCACGGCGCCTCCCGCAAGGAGAACCTCCTTTGTGGCTTGAGCTGTAAGACGCTCCCCGCCTCCAGTTGGTAGATATTCAACCCCAGTCACCTTCTTGGTGTTATCGAACAGCACTTTGGCAACGGTATGCCCGGCTAGGATGTGGTAGTTTGGTCTCGGCTGGACACGTGTGAAATGGTTCAGTCGAGCATGGCTTCTAGTTCTCGTGGTCCCAGAGGTAACGGAGGGGACATAAACTACGCCTGAGCCATCACCAGCATGTGGATCACCGCCAGCACGAAGGCCTGATGAGATTGCGGCCTCAAACCAAATGCCTATCATTGTCAGCCAAGGAAACAAAAACAAGGAAATAATGGTCACTAACCACTTCCTTCAAAGTGGAAGCTCGGAAATGAAGCCTGCACTGGCCCGGTTGTCCCATGAACAGAGGGATCAAATGAAAAGTTCGCAGCAGCTGCATATGCAGGATCTGGAGCGGTGAAATTTTCGCTCTGTCATCAATATTAACAAGACATCCAACCGCCCGCTGTCGATAAACCTGACCTTCTTGTAATAGGGAAGCAAATCGTTCCATTTCCATCCTTTTGCGCCCAGAAGCTCCCATGCATCAAGCTCCTCTGTTCCAGGTCTCACATACACCATAGCATTGAGGACCGAGCCACCACCAACCACCTTCCCAGCCGGCACATTGAATGACCTGTTGTTCAAAGCCGTCTGTGGAACGCTGGGCAACGGAAGATACATGTACTGGAATGGGAACGGGGTGAAAAACTGTCCTGGAATCAAGATGTTGTCTTCATCCTGATCGAAAATGCCGGCCTCGATAACCAAGACCTTGACTGTTGTTGTGCGTTAGCAAATCTCCGCTGCTAGTCGCTTCTGATGAACTGACAAACCTACCTGATGGGTCCTCTGACAGTCTATCAGCAACAGTTAGCCCAGATATCCCCCCGCCAGCAATGATGAAATCATAGCTATTCGCCAGAACAGTTCTGGGCGTAACGACGGTCGCAAATTCCGGAGCTTTCCCTAGAGCAGCCCCAACGACTTTGTGAGCGAGCAACCAAACAGTAAGAGAGAGCAACTGCGACCTCATTGTTGGAGAGAAATTAAAGGCGCGTCGAAACACATGAACCACTCTGACTTCTGGGCACGTAGAGGCCTCCTTTAAGTCCTGAGAGCTTCTCGGCATGAGGCGATGGTACGCATATGTCCCATACGGGAGTATATTGAAGGCATGGATGGTATCAAGGACCTGTCGCAAAGCGCTAACGCAAAATAGCAGCTCTGGCGAGGGACGATGTCACTACGAACCGCTGACACCGTAACTAGTGCATCCAATATACAGGGAGGCAGAGCCAACAGCATCGTTATGAAACTGCATTTGTTTCCTTCTGGGATACCAACCAAGATTGCATTTCCGGGATCTTTATTCCGAATAGTATTTAGCCCTAAACTATTGATTACTTGGTGATGTGATTTTGCAGGGGTCGTGCAGCAACCCCTCTCCATATGTAGCCCGGCTTATCCGATCCCGAGTCCGAAGGGTTGGGACCACAGTGCCAATCCGAAGAGAGAGATTGCACAAGCCAAGAGTAAGCAAGATCGTGTTCTTAGATTGCTGTATCTGCCCATCTGTCTGCTTGAAGATATATACCTTACATCTACGGCAAATTCAGCTCAGGCTGTCACCAACTTGGAAGCAATCCTAGACTGGGATTCTGGCATTTTTGCTCCCGCCTTCATGATGTGCGAACCGCTGGTATACCCACCTTTGGAATTATAACTATATGAGAAGTAGGTAGAATGACGACGGCGAAGATCGCCATGTTGATCAAACCTTTGGACCTTGCTACCACGGAGAACGACAAAATCGTCAAAAGGATCTTTGATGATGCTGCGGGTAAGCGGTACATGCGTTTTGCATATGATCCGACCTACAGATTGGCTCGACAATTGTTCAGATACGGTACCTACCTGTATTGAACGAAGGGCACATATACTTCTTGGGATCTTGGCGATGTAGAAGTTACCGGGCTTTTGGAAGAACATCAAGAAGCTTTCAAAGGTGGTCAGCGGAATCGCGGAAAACATCCAGACTGTGGAGATAGATCGAAGCCGTGAGACAAGTAATGTAACCACGTAGAAGATCCGGACACAGAAACAGGTCTCAGAGGATGACTGAAAGGGGTGTACAGGACGGTTCCACAAAAAGTCTGATGGCGAGCAGGCAACGAGCGTTTTCACCTTGTAGTCAGAATTGCCAGCCTCAACATAGACATTTTTGGACCAAGAACTCTTCTCATAATTGGCAGTGGGCAAATTACAGCCAGACGTATTGAGGCATTGTCGTCAATCTGCATGCCTACATCCAACTCTACATATATATTTTGTCCGTTTCAACTTTGACCTACCTAGAAGTAAGTTACTTCTTTCTATCCTCACCATTGAGCTGAATAAAACCGGCAGCGAGATACAACTATTATCGCTTCGTAAGGCATTACTCCTTAGGCCTTCTTGTCCCCTGCTGTACTCTTTGGGCTGTTTTGGGCATTTATTACCTTCTCTTTGACTTTAGCTCCTTTCAAGATTACAATCCTTCTTCTTCGACTTCTTGTTTGACTCTGCAGACTGATCTGGGGACTTCTCCCTATCCATTCTAGCCTGGTTTGCACCTCTCTGAGCTGACTTTGTGCACTTACTACAGTCGCCAGTTTTCAACTTGAGCCACTCGGTGTGGATCGTGCAGGGCTCCTGGTGCGCAACGCAGTAGCCAGCACCGGTCTTGGATCGACAGTCGTCCTTGGCTTCGGAAAATGGTGAACCGTTCATGTTCTGATGTCACCATGTTAATGATAGATAAATGATAGCTGTCACAGGCTAGGTAGTCAGTGTAGCTCAATAAGTAGATTGCTTTGGTCGCGACTTACGTTAATAGAGATAAAGTGTTGCACGGAATAATGTTGGTAATTACTTGACTTCAATGTCTGTGGTGACAGGATACTTGAAATTGCGAGTGAGTGCTGTGTACTATCATCGTTCTTGAACGCAGGGATGAGACTCGACTTATAAGCCTTGCCAGTTTGCATAGGTAGGTCAGCCCCTTTCGAGAGTATTGTATGCCGCTTTGTTGACAAAAATAGAACTACCTGTACTCCGTAGTTCTTTAATTTTGCAATACTAATGCCCTGCATGTGCTCAAAGCCTTTCCCGAGTGCATAAGGAGCCATCACCCGGCCGAGTACCTAAGGTAGGTAGGTATGTTCAGAGTATATTGAAGATGTATTTAGATAACACAAGAGTATCTAAGGTAGGTTAAACAACACGAATACGTCCTTTGTATCATGGGTGGCATATGTGAGCAGATATGATTCTACACAGAATCCCCTTACCTGGACTTTATTCTAGAGAAGTTCTATGGGGGCATTACCCTTTTTCTAGGGTGGCATTATCCCCCTTATTCTACCAATAAGCCGCGGTGTCGAGTATGAGTAGCTGCGAGGCAGCAGAAGAGGTACTCAAGGTACATATGTAGGGTCTGGGTCAACTTTGGGATATGCTGTGTCAATAGATGACCAGCAAATCACTGTCATTTGCGTTGTGATCAAGTATGGAGCTTACGCCCCTCCCAGGCTTTGTTCAGTCCACAACACAGTGTTTTCTCAGCTTCCTTTGTTTTGCCACCCAGTGTATCTGAAACGGGTTCCACACAACAACAAAGGCCTGCATTTGAATCTTTGAAGATACCTTATCTATCTTGAACACAAGGTTTCTTTACAGTGATTGAAAGGCCAGCGCAAAGGAAACGTGGTAGTTCAGATTAACAGGTAGCAATCTTAAACCTTGGCTCTGTGGACAACATTCTCGGCTGCTAAGAGCCACGACGAAGAGAAACTGTTGAAACGGTTTCACAGAGCCCCAGAGACACTTTTATCAGCCGGCTTTCGACAAGCCCACACCATCACCAAAGACATCACTACGCATAGATACAGATACCTCGATCATCAAAACGACTAACAAGATGGCAGCCGCTAGCTCTCCCTCCTCTACACATCAGGATGCTGTCCAGCAAGATGTCACTACCGATGCCAATTCGAATACTAGCGCCAGGGCGGGACAAGGATCGAACAGTGAAGATTCCGTCAAGTCCGAACCAGATTCCATCATTTATCAAGTGGAACCTTTTGTTACGTACCAACATCGCATTCGTACTCTGGCGCGAGCAGTTCTTTGTAAGAATGTCCGCGAGGAAGATCTTGATGTTGAAAGACTCGGCAACGGTTCATATAACGTACATTATAAGCGAGTGCACCATATAAGCGAGTGCACCACTTTCCACCACCCTACGAATACTATCCTCAATTACACCACATCAACACAAGGAATTAACTATAATTACATCAGAAACAGCTGAATCTGAGGCATCTGCAGCTTCCTGGCAAGTGCGCGCATTATGGCCAGGCTTGCCGCACACACTACAGCACTGAACCTTCGTACGAGCCCCCCCTGCATTACTACTATCCGGCTGCGTTTCTTACACTCCCTCCTTATCCACGGCCTTCTAATCCAATAGATCCTATGCCTCTTGTATAGTAAGTGACCCTCCAAGCCTTACACGTGTTTTTTTAGCTCTCCGGCGCTTGCTTAGTGCCTCATTGGCCTTACGGAGCGAAGAGACCTCTGCACGAAGGAGAGCCACCTAGTACATTATAGCCGTTATACCTTTAGCAAGCTGGTCTACTGCAGCCAGCATTGAAGTCGGGGAGCTATTTTAATAGTTAGTAATACGAGTCTTAATAAGCGTTGATTGTAAATTGGTTTCTCGAGGGTTGTATAGTGTCTGGGAGACCCAAGGTTGTGTAGTGCCGGGCCGTAAGTTTGGAGGTATTGGCGTACGAAGCTTTATATCCAGCTTAGAAAGCACCCTCTCTAGATCGTACGGTATAAGGCCAGCGCCCGCAAAGCTACCCTATATATTCTTTTTTATTATAGAGACGAAGAAGGCTTTGCGGAAGGTATAGAGGAACTCGAACTTACTTATATAGTTAATATATATACGTATTAAGTCTTCGATCTAGCGACCGTACGCCTATTTTAGCGGCCTAAAGCAACTAATATCGAGTGGCTAGAGGAGGTGGGAGGAGTGTAGAGGTATATAGAGCGTAATAATATTCTTCTACTGGTAGTGACGCTCGAATTCGGTCGAGTGGTGGCTTTCGTGGCTATCGAGGATTAATAACCGGTATTTGCTTTTTATACGGGACGCTATATGATAGTCGAAGTACTTAATCTAATCTAGGCCTACCGGATTAGTAATCTATTTATTATCGGTAATTACGATACGCTAGGTAAACGGTAAATTATATTTAGTATACTAGTTGGCAAGGTAATACTATACGGCCAAGATAATAAAGGGAGGGATAGCCTAGCCGAGGGTATTAACTCCCTAGATTACCGTTACCCATTCGCGGTTACTAGGCTAGGCTAGTTTTGCCTTGCTAAGGCCGTCCGAAGTCGTAATTACTATACCCGCGAAGATAATACCTATCATAAACCTAGTCTCGTCGAAATTATAAATATCGTTATTTATAATACCGTACTTAGCTTTAGTGTTCCGTATAAGCGCAAACCACTTAGCAATAACCTTTAGATCCTCGCACTTAGCCCTCTGGTAGTCGTATCTACGCGTAAAACGCGTACGGAGCTGTGGCTGGCGTTTAACGAAGTTATGTGCCCAGAGCTTACTAATAGGGGGCGCGTCGCGTACGCGTAGCAGTTGGTTAGCCATATCTTCTACACCACGTAATCTTAGTAGAAAAGCTCGCGCACATAGCTCAATGATGTATTGAACAATAGCATCCTCTTTCGGATTGAGTAAGCTTCTTCGATTTGGGCGTGGTATCGCGTCGTGCAGGCCGGCTAGCGTGTCGTCGTAAGAGAGTCGTATGGTGGACGTTGTAGATCTTTCCCGCGGCTCGGAGGCTGAGATTTTTATCTTTTTCAAGAGCTTCGAGGGCTAAGATCACCCTGGCTTCCTTTAAAGTAGAAGGCATATTGGGTTGTGTAGAAAAAGTCGATGTTGGGTGGAAGGATAGTGCGTCGCTTAAAAAGTGGTGCACTCGCTTATATGGTGCACTCGCTTATAATGTACGTTAATCGTGTTATCGGGATCACCCACAAAGGCAATAGTACATATGGGAGATTGGAACGTCGTCCGTATCCTATGGAACCATGAGAGAGAGGACTTGGAGAAAGATATAGCTCCTCTTCTCTTCGTGAAAGAATATACCCAAATACCGTCGCCGGATGTCATCTCCTACGATAGTACTCCCGACAACGTGCTGGAGTCGCCATATGTTATCAAAAGCAGGGTCCGGGGAGTGAATGCACACAAGGCTCTCATCGATTAGGACGAAGCGCAGAAGATTACTCACGAGGGATGGTGCAAGCTGGCCTACGAGCTTGGGAAGGTCGTCAACCAGATGCTTTCGATCCTCAACAACAAGCATGGCCAGCTCGTGCTAGATTCATCTAGTTCAAAAAATGTCTTCATCGCGCCTCTACAAACAGCTACTGGCGACCCGCCCGAAGTCCGCCGTCTCGATAGTTCGTCTCCCCCGGAGGACACCGCCCGCTCTCTACTTCCACGACTATGCTATTACAAAAAAGTGTTAAATTTGGAAAAAGATCCAGAGAATACCTACGATCAAATAGAGGGTTTGGCACGAGTGGCTACCGATATGGGGGAAGCAGACCACCTCAATGACATTCCTCACACCTTCTGCCACTGGGACCTTTTCCTGCGCAACATATTGATCTCGGTCAACCCATCCACATATGAACCCAAGATAGAAGGGATTCTTGACTGGGACTCGGCTCTATTTGCGCCTGCCTTTATGATCTGTGAGCCCCCCGCGTATCTGTGGAACAGCAAGTTGCGCGAGGAAGCAGCAGACGAAGAGTGTGAGGACTGGCATATCGACTTCACCTTTGACCCTATCACCGAGGAAGACAAGAAGGTCAAGAGAGTATTTGAAGAGGCCGCTGGGGAGGAGTACGTGCGCTTTGCATACAACCCAGTGTATCCTCTGGCTCGCCGACTGTTTCAATTTGGTATGACAGGTATCCACGGAAATGTAGCAGATGCCGAATCCGACAAGCTGTTGGAATACTGGGAAACCCTCAACAAAACAACGAAACAGGCTGCTGGCAGGTTCACAGAAAGCATGGAGAGCGTGGACATGGAGCCTACTCATCAGCAACCTGATCATCCCTCATCGGAGGAGACAGCCTCAAACTCCGAAGCGGGGCCAAAAAGGTGGCTGAGAAGAGTCAAGGAGAGGCTCCAGCGTTTCATTAGCATATGAACTCCTTAGTATGAAGTCTGAGAGGGGAGCTGTTAGTTGATACTGGGAATAAAAATCTTGTAAAAGCAAAAAGTGAATGATGAGAGTGGGATTCGAACCCACGCCCTTTCGGACCACGGAATCTGCTAGGAGATATTGATTAAGGAATACCTTAACGTGGCGCCTTAGACCGCTCGGCCATCTCACCTTCTAATTTCTTGAAGTGGCTGCGAGAACTTTCTATCCAAGACGAGAAATGGTCCTGCTGCTAGGTTGACTTGAAGATAATTTTTCTTCCACTGCGCCGCAGCGTTACACCGCGCAATGCACGCCAAGAAGCACTTGCCGGGGTGTTCTCCGCATCAACATCCCCGCACGAACCCCCAATTGCTCCAATCTGCAGGACGGCAGGGGTTCAGTCGGACGTGTCTGTTGGGCGCGAAAAAGAATAAGACTCGGAGGATAATTAACCATGTCAATGTCAACTTTCTATTTCTACTTTTGCTGTCTTCGCGCCATCTTATAAACTCAGTCTTTGGAAAGCCCTCGTCAAAATGGCAGTCGAGAATACGACATGGCGAAATAACGTCTGGCTAGTGTGGTTTTACATCGTGTTTCCCATCACTGTCTGTAAGTCAAGATCGATACCCCGGTTCTGTCATTGATACTGTGCTCAACAGACTTTCAACAGTAATCGACCTCCAAGAGGTCATCTACCCATCCTCTCTCCTCGTCCCAGCCGACGCGCCTCTGCACTTCGCCTACAAAGCCAAACAAGACTACATCGCCAAGTTCAACGACCCCATTGTACAATGGTCGCCCGAAACAGCCTCCGGTCATGACAGCTGGATGGGGCTTTTTATACACCTCGAGTTCTTTTTTCTTCTCCCCGTCATGATCTACGCCATGTACAAGATGGGGATCAGGCAGAAGGGAACGAGCGGCCCCGACGAGCTACTCTTCTTTGTGTATGCGCTTTACAATGCACTCACCACAGCGGTCTGCATTCACGATACATTTTATTGGGACAAGACTATCTGGGCGGACGAGAGTCAGCTGTGGACGCTGAGATCAGCGTACTATGCGCCGTTTGTGTTCATCCGTAAGTGTTTTATGGATCTTTTTGCATGAAGGTTGTGACATGCTTGCTCACAACATCGCAGCTCTCCTCGGGGCGTTTGACATGGGTTCACGCATTCTATCCCGGTTCAAGGCGGCGGATGCGGCGGCAGAATCGAAGAAGGCCGAGTGAGAGATTGGCTTGGGGCAACCCATCGCCTTGGCGACATCGTCGGAGGTAATTGGGCAAAGCGTTTGGGCCGGAAGTCGTGGTATTGAGAACCCAAGGCTGTGTGATGTCTGAGTATGGACCAGGCAAGGTTAAATAGAAAGGAGGGAGAGGGAAAGCACCTGTGGGCTGCATCTGGATCAATTTCTTGTGAGCAACTTCCAAGCTTTGCAAACGCTCCAAATGTATGCAAATGATGCCTAGAATAAGGTACCTAAGGTAGATAGATGTAAGATATAGATACGAGTGTTCTCACATCCGTATGTAGCTACCTCTGATGCACCAGAAATATAAACAATGAGATGGAGTAGCTGGAAAACACGTTTTCCACAGTCCCACCGTTGCATTTATATAAATAACATTGTAATGTCATGAACCCCCAAGCGCCCAACTCCCACCGTCCACTCCAATTCCCGTCTGGTGATACACAGTCAATTCCAAACAACCTCTCAGTCAATAGCTCTCTTCTGACCCCCACCAGAATAACCCCATCCGTTCCCGACTCCAACGCCGTATCCTAACGGTGTCGCGCCTCCCAGCGTTCTCCCCTTCAACCGCTTTGGCAATATGACTCCAAAGAAGTACGCACCTGCCACGACAACTCCGGCCCCGAAGGACAGCAGTGAATAAAACACTGTGGAAGCATATATATGCCCTCCCATCCCCTGCCACTCGACTCTTCCCTCAGTTTTTGGCAGGGCAGGAGTAGGGAACCACCTGACGCTGAACTTGAAAGGCAGCGGGTCTCCAATGACCAGTCTCACAGTGTCCCCGCCTTCCATATGTGTCAAGGGGCTCGTCGAGTATGCTGTTGCAGAATCCAGAACACCGCTGTCGTGCGGATAAACATGTTGCTTGGGCGTGCTGTGCAGCAAAACATTCATGTGGGTAGATATGTGCATGTGGCTCAGCTGCAGCGTCCCCGCGAGCGCAAAAACCAGAGGGATGTATTCTTGCTCGGGCTGTCGCTGGCCTACGACTTCGATATGCGGCGGGGGCCGGGCGGGCAGTCGGCAGGCGAGGGGTGCATCGGCGTGCACGTAAAACTCGAGGAGGTGGAAGAAGGGGTCAGAAATCATGGGGATTGTGCAATTTTTTTCTTCTTCGATTCCGTACCGGAATTCTAGCGGTGAGGACGTCTCGTTGCAGATCGGGAAAGGGATCCATTGGATTTCGTGGGTTGGGGAGTCGGGGAGGGATACGTGTTCGCCCGTTTCTCTGGTGGTTTGCGACTCGCAGGTCAGTGTATGCAACGATGGGATTTTGGGACAGGACGAAGAAGAAAACAAGCGTACGAGCTGCGATTCATACACTCAACCCGAATGGGGGCGCCATAGTGGTAAGATGGCAGCGAGAGTTCGTGGTGGCTTGCGCTGGAAGCAATGGCAACATGGCCGAAAAAGGAAGCTGTCAAAGCCAGCGATGGCAGTCGAAGCCACGGTCGCAGTATCATGGCTGTAAATCTGTAGCTTTGTATCGTCAATGACCCAATGCCAACTATCGCAGGGACATTTTGCGCAGTCTCTTTCGATATTGGCGAAGGGCACACAGTCGATTGCAAGACGGCCTGAACCCGTCAAAGGCGGATGTCGCCGCTGAAAGCTTCCCCAGACTTTTGGTTCCGTCCTCTGTGTCCACTTTGAGCTCGACCTTACAGGGGGGCTGCCAGGCTGAGTCATCATGCAAAGTTTTACCCTAACCCTCATCAACACTACCCCGTTTGTCCCCTTTCTGCAGAGAAACCCAAGAATTTTATATCTGGAGTCTAAAAGGTCGTTTACTTTTGCGCCATGGGTTTTTCCTCACCATGACGTGCATTGTGCTTTCGGATTAGTCCGAAGCACCTTAGCTTTCCATGGTCTCAAAGAGTCGTCAATCCTCAAGTCTTCAACGAGATGCGAACCTTCAAAAGGCTCAATAATAAGGGGGAACAGCAGGTCCGCAGTGGGTTGGAAGTCTCTTGCATATGGGAATAAACACCTTGTTCATAATGTATGTACAAACTGAAACAGCCTATTTACAGTCCCGTCTTCTTCCTCGTCCTCCAATCTGCTCCCCAGCCCTACTTTTACCTGCACATCTTAGGGGCACCGACGTCTAAAGGCATTGGTGATAGTAATCGTTCAGCTTTGTGCAAGTGGTTCCTGAGACACAGACGGTGGGACCGTTCCACCCTTGCCCACCGCACTGTCCCCAGCGAGGAGCAGTAGGGCCGGGCGCCGGTCCGGTTGTAGGCTCAGGAGCGCGAGAGGTGGTAATCAAGGTGGTCTGAGGATTGCCGGGATTGGAGGTAGGTTCGGGGCTGGGGTTGCTGCTCCCATCGGCCTGGAACTGTCTCCAGAACTCCCATGTGTTGCCAGGGGCGAAGGGGGTGTTGCTTCCCTGGTCTTGCTGAGACGGGTTATGGTCTCCGTCAAAGATAACCCAGGTAACGGGCTTGCCAGGGAGACAGTTGCGGTACTCGGTCTTGGTGGAGCGGCCTCCGTTGGGCTGAGGCTCGGGATTGAGAGGGGTGCAGCCGTTGTTTTGGACAAATCGGTCACGCATTTGGCGGCCCATGGAGATGCTCAGGACCGAGTCGCGGGTACCGTGCTGGTGGTAGTAGGCCACAGGCTGAGTGCCTCCGTTGCAGCCACTGAGAACAGCGCTGGAAAGAACCGAGATGGCTCGGACCTGGTCAGGACGAGAGCAGGCCCAAGAGTAGGACATGGCACCACCGTAGCTGAAGCCGGTGGCGAAGCGCAGAGACTGCTCAACGCAGAGATCGTTCTCGATAGTGCGCACCATGTTGTCGACAAAAGTGATATCTTCGCCACCGGTGTTGGCCCAACCTTGGTTGAGACCGTTGGGCGAGATGAAGATGGCACTGTTGTTGCCTGTCATCAAGGGGGGAAGACCGTACCAGGCAAGGGTACCGCCCCCTCCGTTGGCGATCTGCTGAGCGTTTCCTCCAAGAGCATGGAAGGTAAAGACAAGGCGGTACGCAAAGTTGCGGTCATAGTTGTCAGGGAGGCGGACAATATATTCTCTTTGTTTGCCGTTCACGGTTGTCGTGTATTGACCATTGCGAATGGTTGGTGTCTTGCCACAACCAGGAGAGCGTGCGCCCAAGACCGGAGCGATGCAGGAAAGCGCCAAAAGCGCAATAGTTGAAAACTGCATGATGGCTAGACGTCGCTGAGGTTGTTGCTGGCACTAACTCCCTTGCCAACCGATGTGGGAAAGAAGCTGCCCATCTTATATACCCAGCTCGACAGTACCTACCTACCTGGTGAGTCGTGTTAGGGATTGAGACAATCGCCTTAGGGAAATATTTCGGAAGACATCCGTGAAAATGCAACATGGAGTGAATCTCTGGTTACATCTCCCCGCTACTTTGTTCTTGGGCTGTTGAGTACATGATGGAAATAGCCATGATTCAAGTCAGTGTCCTGTTCATGTGAAGTCATTCCGAGCCTTGACAACAAGATGCGCACCAATAACGACTCAGCACCAACTACCGATTTTAGGTGGCTTGGTTGTTTTGCTTGAACAATGCAAAAATGCAACACTGACCAGGGAAGGAATACCAGGCAACGGATATCCGTTGCAACGGTGCGCTTCCCTAGACATGGGGGAAGCCCAATTGAGGCTCGCCTAAGATGCTCCCCAGATCCAATGACTAAATCGGATCACTCTCCCGAGCTTTTCACAGCCAGACAGATCAGAAAAGTCCAGCGCGCCAAGATCATGGGCAATGTTCAAGATCATGCGAAGTTAGCCGCGCGTATAAGAGCTCTCGACATGCGTTGAAGTGGGACTGTGGCGACAGCGAGCCACAATCAAGTACACACATTCAGTTATATTCAAAACGGCGAGTATAAGTCCGACGCTGCCGTACTAGTTGGGATTCCAGTGTACCTAGATATTCCTATCTTGTCAAGTACATGTCAAGTACAAGTCAGTTCATATGTTTCCTGGTCAATCTTTTATTCTCTTCATTTGTCAGGCATTACTTGTGTCAAATTTCTGTTGCTAATCCAACTAGGTCGATACGACCCCAACTATACCTCCGTGGCTCGGCTAGGTTAGCTCCAGTCGTCAAGCCCAACTTCCATTTTAAGCACGGGGCTCTTCTTCTCAGGACCGACAACTGGTCAAACACAAAACCTGTGTTTTCTCTTTTCTTTTTATTTGCCGAACTTATCTGCCGACGTGACTACCAAGATGTCGATTGAGACGAGCACTTCGGCTCCCAACTCCGTGGGTTGAGGCTCATCTTTTGACTATTTAACCGCTGCAGCTAAATTTCCGTTGTTTTGTTCTTAGCATATCGAGTCACCCTGAATCCGGGTAATCGGTCATGTACCTGTTGCGGAGAAATACTTTCATCAGCGCTCCCGTCCGCTTTGCAGATGGACACAACGTGGTCATAATGAGCCTACCGCTGCCAATCAAGCGGGAAAATAATTTGGAATCTGCATCCTTGCCTTTGACTAAAGTGTTTGCTGTTGTATGGGATGTGAGGAGAAGGTCTCAGCATCAGGATTGTCTCGGTATGACGAACTGCCACTTGCATGTGTTGATATTGACAAATGCATGGCATTTCAGAAGATTTCTACAGCCCTAATCCCTATCGGAGTCCTCTCTGAGTTACAAATCGAGACAAGAATACCATTGAAGATGATCACGGACCGTAATGTAGGTAGGTACGTAATTCGATGCAAGGTGTAAGAACCATGCTTGATGGCCGAGGCAATCAATTAACCATGTTGCTTGTACCTGCCTATCTATCCTGACTGTAACAATGCATTTTCTCCAAGAAATAAGATGACTCGTTTAGGTTGTTACTGCACCCGACTGAAATCTCCGGACAGTTGCTGTAGCCATGCCTATTTAACTTGGAAGTGGTTCGGTCTGGTAGCCTTATATCGTAAGGCTTTGATTAGATGCACGCTTACTCCGGCATCTTTATCCTGGGTAGCCGGTTACGGGCTACCATTATGAAGGTGATATAGGACAACCTCGCATGATAGGTGGCCAAGTGAGTATGAAGTCCTGGACCTAAAATCTCACCGCCCAACCAGCAACTGCGGTCAGAAAAAAAGCAGGCAAGCTGAATCAGATGTTGTAAGAGCTGTGATGTGGCTGCCTGAGTCATGTGGACTAAAACATCTAGTCTAGGGCTTACTCTGGGCTTCGCTCTTGAAGTTGAAAATGACAGGTACACTAGGGTCTTGGTACCTCACATTAGACGCTCTCTTCTCTGAGAATGGTCATGATTCCGTGGTTAGAATTTTGACCATTCGGTGGGATTCGAGTCAGCACTTGGCTCGCAGGGAGAAAAGGTTCAAGGCACCGGTGACGCCACCAAAGTTGCTAGATAAACTCTGGAAAGTTACCTAGAGTTGAGTGACTCACTGCCGTTGGATACCTACCTACCTACCTGCAGGTTAAAACCCCCCAAGTCAAATCCTTTTGTTTTTTTGGGCTTTTCGCCAGTCCTCACTTCATTCCGATCAAAATACTACAAAGGGGGATACCTGAAACAGTCCAAACGAAGAAAAGATGTCGGCCTTTTTGGCCCGTAGCACAGAGACTCTGCTCGACATCGCAGCAGATGTGATACAGCTTCTTAAATCCTCGAACGCCACTGTTGGGGTTGCCGAGTCTCTCACAGCAGGGGGTGTCATGGTCGCCCTCACTTCTGTCCCAGGAGCCAGCGCTGCCTTCCTTGGAGGCGTCGTCTCTTATGCCACACCCCTCAAGCAAACACTCTTGAGTGTCGACGCAACTCTAATCGCTAAAGAGGGAGTCATTCATGAGGAGGTTGCTTCTCAAATGGCAGAAGGTGCGCGCAGGATAACCACACATGACGACGCTCCTCCCACGACGTGGGGAGTTGGCACTACTGGCGTTGCTGGACCTGATAAGCAAGATGGGAAGGCAGTTGGGACGGTCTACATCGGCATTGCCAGCCCCACTGGTAGCAAGGCGTTTGGTCCGTTCAACTTTCCAGGGACAAGAGAAAGAATACGGGAGGCAACAGTTATGGAGGCACTCGCAAGGTTGCGAGAAGAGTTGATGAAGGCGAGACAGGCATGATGGCGTCATCATGAAAACGGCTGAAGATTTGTTGGAGGCGAGGTGGATGCAAAGTTCATTTGTTTGTTAGAAGGGGATCTGGGTCGTTGATTTGTTGTGGGGCACCTACAAAGGGCCTATTTTCCACCAGACCCACACCTGGCTTGATCTTAAGGCTGGGTTTTACTTACTGTTTACTTTTACTCCAAACAACTAACAACAACACTAAAATATCAATTTGTCAACCGATTTCCCTGCCTTTTTGGCCTCTCTTTCGCGGGCAGTGACTTTACTAGGCCACCGCCCTACATTTGTTTTTGGCTTCCAAGGTTGTCTTGTCTTCCTTACCCATCAACAGGCATGATTATTTGCATACTTCATCTGCACCCAATTGCAGGCCTGTGAAAAAGCATCTTTTTGTTCTTTCTAGCGGATAAGTACGCTTGCACTTTATTTGGATAGGTCAAAGTGATGATAGCATCTCTTGTGGGTATGCATTTCTCAGGTAAGGCAGATTCGGATGACATGCCAGCCGGTCTCTCTTCGGCGAATTTCTTGTCAATACACGTGCCGTATGGAGAATATCTGTTTGTGCCTCAAAGCCACACTATGGACATTTAGTTTATGACGTACCTGTGTAACTGAAAGTTCTAAATGCCTGCACGAGGTCAGTCGGAGCTCGTAAAAAAGAATTTGGTAGGTGACATTACAAGAACGAGTTCTGATGTTCATGTGTTTACTCTAAGATTATGACTACAGTCTTCTAGGTTGTGAGAGCTCCCAAATAGGTAGTGTCGTTGGTTTCGCTTTAGCAGGATTTGTGGAGAAGGATTACCGCTACTTAATAGAAGGTAGTTATTGGTGCGTACTAGGTTCGGGGAATCACGGGGGCTTTTGAGAAGCTGGCTGTTACGGTTAGTTGAGTACCTAAGGTATTGGCTAGCGATAGTCTTTTCTCAATACCGATTACCTGGTTAATCCGCGGAGCAGGAATCGATGCAGGTTGCAAAACCAGGGCTCAGTGGAGCAGATCAACAGGGTGGACTTTAATAGTTAGACTCAGTTCAGGCAAGCAGGACGCTGCTGAGTTTGGTAGATTGGTTGCATGCTCGTTGAGAAGATTTTATACATGGGTATGGTACGTTGCTTTGGATGTCTTTCTTATTATAACATTAGTTTAATCCCATGCCTTATATTAGCTGTTTGAGTTCCAAACCCGACAGAATCTAGGCTCGGGGTGGTTAGCTACCTAGTGTTACGGTGTATTTTGACAAACTTTTGAGTTCAGTCCCTGGGATCTAAGACAACCCGAAAAGCTACAACATCAATATCTTCTGTCTCGGTAGGTAGATGAACTGGTTGATGACGGTGGCAGGGTGTAGTCTGCATGTGGCGCAGGGTTCTCGGCCCGGCATGAGAATATCATGCCGTAGCTTCCAGGAAATGGAGAAGTCAACTAGGATTGCATGGTCTGGGATTTCTATTTTCATGGGTCGCTGCCGATAATGCTGTTTCACCTATGTCTTCGTGAGATGAAATGGTGTTCCTACACGAGGCACCGGGTGTCTGGTTCGCGATCTGATTGGTTTTGCGGCCCATAAAACACTGCCTGAGATAGCCGAGGTGGGCGAGCTTCGTGGTTGTGGCTTCCAGTTGCGCGACAACTTTGCCGCTGAGCTGCTGTCGACTTAGAATTGAAGAATTTGTTTTCTCACAGATAAATAAGGTTCCATCACAACCGCCCGCCACCCGTATCTCGGCAATGGCGCAGCCAAAGCCGGTCACGCTCATCGCCCTACAGGGCACCTGGACAGGCCCGGGTTGCTGCAAATCCCACGTGTGAATTCTCCAGGCCACCCCCAATCATCTCAAGCCACAGAGCTTTCATGCTCTGCACTGTACCCTGATTAAACCAATTGTATTCTGCTTGGTGCAGGTTTCTGGCACAGGAAGCTCGATGCCTGGTGTACAATGCGGATGACGGGCCGAGTTCGCACAGGGCTCGCAAGTGCGGGCCGTCGAACAGACTGCTCATAGTGCCTTGTCGATCCACGCCAGTCAGTGAATCTTCTTTTCAGGTAAATTTAGTTGCTTAGAAACCTTGGGAGGCCATGTGGTTTTGTTGACCGTTTCTCTGTGCCTGTGCCATGTTTGTGGTTAGAATATACCCTACAGTACTGTGTTCCTGCCTGCGGGATAGAGTGCCATTCCATTTCTCCGCACTCACATATTGACAAAGCTTGTCAGGCGGGGCAGAGATTAGTTCTCCCCGCTTCCAAGGCTCAGACCAGCTCAGTCGTCTTCAGGGGCATTGCTCATGCTGATTGGCGACATGTTTACGAGCAGTGGAGCGCGGAGGGAGGCGGAGCAAGTCAAGAATCCCACTTGCACGGGCCATCTGCCAAGCAGAAGACACTGGTGTGCCTTCCATGTCATCGACAAGCTTCATCAAAATTGGCATCACGAGCGAGTTGGGGGCCGTTTCTTCATTCCAACAGAACCGACAGGCCGAAGTTGGGTTCAAAGGTGGTGAATAACAATGGGATATAAACTTTGTGGGCGCGGGCCTTCTTTCTCGGAAGGGCCCTCCAAATCGCTCGTCAACAGTCCCAGTCCACATGAGCTCCTTCCCGAGGTCATCTGCCAACCTTTCATCGTCAAGCTCAGCTTGTTTCAGCCGGTTCAAAGCCAGGGATGTGAATAGTGTCTGATAGGTTCTATATGCAGCCGCGCTATAAATCCTGACCCTATGGGAGCTTGTATGACCGCTTCATACAATGGCACCATCGGCATCACCCTCCCACACACCTGGCCCACACACGGTCGTCTCTCCCCCGTCCAACCAAAGGCGTGCCAGTACCCCCAAGGTCCGTACCGGCTGCATCACTTGCAAGAATCGACATGTCAAGTGCGATGAGCGCAAGCCGACGTGTTCCCGCTGTGAAAAAGCACGCATGGAGTGCCATGGCTATCTCGCCAAGACGGATCAAAAAGCAGCAAGAAAGTCGTCTAGCAAGTCCGCAACTATTCAAGGAGGCCCGCGGCCGTTACAGATGATACGTCCCGCACGTGTAACGCCTTTCTGCCCCGAAAAAGACATAATCTACCATGACTTCTTCCGGTATACCCTTGTCAACGATCTTGCTGGCTATCTCCACGCCGACTTTTGGTCCCGGGTTGTGCTTTGCGAGGGTATTCGGGACAGTTGTGTCAACCACGCCATATTTGCCATTGGCGCGCTTTCTCAGGCTCTCTTTGTTGAAGCTAGGCTTGATAGATCACTTGCTCGACAATCGTCTGGCTCGCCACCGTCCCCTCCACACTCTCATGTTCGTTGGCACCATATATACAATCCCCACTACCAGGCGGCCATCCGCCACCAAAACCAGGCAATATCGCTGTGTTTACAACGAATACGGGACGATGGAGATACCATGTCCGCTCGAAACCTTCTTGTCATCACGTTGCTTCTCGTCGGCTACGAACTTCTTCAGGGTGATGTAGAAGCCGCCGATGGACTTATGACAAGCGGCATCCGACTGCTTCGAGACTCGATAACAACCCTTAGGGACGCAGCACGCCGGAACACCGGGCCTACCAACTATGTCAACCGCGTAGATGAAGACACGCAAGATATGGAGTACATCCTCCCTTTTTTGAGTGGAACGTCCAACCTGCGTCCCAGCCCGCCACCCCATTACACAATCCCCAGCTCTTCTCTTGAATGTAACGACCTCCCGGTCTTTGGGAAAACTAGCGCAGTGAAGTGTACTTTTCTTTGGGGCAATTTTCACACACGGTGCTTGTTATTTATCTCGCAGGCTATGCAGCGTACCTTTGCTGGACAACCCCTTCCAACAAACGAGAGACACTCCCTCTGGGCAGAACAAGCACAACTTTGGAACTCATCTCGCCAATGGCAGCAAGTGCTATCTGATTACAAAGCAGCGGTCAGCCCTGAAGACGTTCGAACTAGAAAGATAATGTTACTGCTCCTTCTGCAATGCTACACAGACCTCATCTGCCTCGCTTGGTGCCTGGATCCAGCAGGCACAGCTTTGGACAACTGCGAGCCCGATTTCGGCCAGCTGCTCAACATAGCCCTCGAATTCTCTGAGGATCGAGAGCCCATGACCACGAACGGATTTATACTCTCCGGTGGAAACGTCACCGGTCCCCTGATATTGATTGCGACAAAATGCCGAACTAGTCGGACCCTGAGGTGGCAGGCGCTCGAGGCTTTCAGAAAAATGTCTTGGCGGACAGGAGCATGGGATGCCAAAGTCTTTGTGTCTGTGGCTGGTTTGGTATCGCTGGAGGAGGCGGCTCGGGATGAGGGAGGTCGAATAGATCCCATCAACAGGTGGCTATGTACCGGTATCCACTCGGATGTGGATAGCATGAAGGTTATGGGGGAGTATACAAGAGCATCATCTGATGAGAAGGGTGATCCGATAAAGAAATATTTGGTCTTGAATGTAGATGGACGGCGGTTCCTAGCTGAGGGGGAGGGACCTATGGACCCGAGTTTGACAAAGGTTGATCCTGATCTAGGATGTGTTGGGAATACTCATGGACAACTGGCAGGTCAAATCATGAATCATGGTCTCGACGCTGATATGGGTAGCAGCATAAACGGGGCACCGTCGCCAGCTTCAGCGGTTACATGGTCGGATTTTGATTCACCCTTACCTGTACCCACAGAGTTTAACTCAAATTGGGATGGTCTGTCAAGTCGGGAGGATACCTTGGTGTAGATACGATTTAAACCCCACATCATGAGCTTGGGCGATGGATAGAATCATGGACGGCACATATACGGTTATATCAAACGTGTAGGTAGGTAGAGCATACAATGCAGAATCAATGACACCATGACAGAGTTGCCCTGTTTCGAGCGGGATCATTCCTTTTCATAGCCGTAAACGATCGCTCCCACAAGCTTCCCCAGTTCTCGAGTTGCATCACCAGCAGCGTGACACCACGGCGTCATTTGAAGCCACCCGTGAATTAGGTCTTCATGATGAACCCACTTGACATCGACACCTGCTTCCTTCAGTTTGCTGGCATATTCGATGCCCACGTCTCTCAAGGGATCAAATCCGTTTGTGATAACAGCCGCCTTGGGCTGGTTTGCCAAATCTTTTGCAGGTTGGTAGCCGGGAGATATGTATGCATCCAGTGGTGAAGGACCTGCGTTGTGTCAGCTGACATCAAAGTCGGGAATACACTGAAATCACAAAGCAGCTCACCATTCGCCTTTGATGGTCTTGGCATATAGTGCGCCGCAAAGCTGAAGATACCATTGGTGTGCAAGTAATAGCCCGAGCTATTCTCCTTTGCTGCCAGGGTGTCAAATGGAAGGCGAGCCGTCGGGTAGACCAGAATCTGGGCACAGAGGGGCTTCTTGCCCTTGTCTCGGCGCCGTAAACAAACTGCAGCAGTCAGGTTGCCTCCAGACGAGTCACCGCCGCCAGCAACACGATCGGCACGCACGCCTCGATTCCTGCCCTCCTCGCTCTGAACCCAGTCGATCACAGCGTCATACTCATCCAGTTGAACAGGATATCGAAACTCGGGGGCAGGGCGATAGTCGAAACAATAGACCTGGCAGCCAGACCTCTCTGCCACCAGCCTTAAACCATTTTCGAACTCATCCACGCTTCCTACGGTGTATCCACCCCCATGGCAATAGATTAGTGCACCTGCCTCGCCTCTGTCTCTCCAGTCTTCGGCTGACTCGGGATACAGAATCCGGATGGGAATCGTGCCGTGCGGGCCCCGGATCGCCGTAAACTCGACACTGCCGATGACATTTACGCCCTTCTTCAGATTGTGAATACCAAAGATTTTCTGGTGGTGAGCACGCTCGGTGATGAAGCCTTTGGAGCCTCCCAGCTCGAGATCCGGATTGTTGTCCAGGAAGTCTTCAAGCGCGCCGTTGGGACGACGAGACCGAGTGCCGATCGGGGGGTTGGGAATGGATGAAGACATTTTGGGATCTCCGTTTCCTTGACTCATGGCAAAGGTGTTTCTTTGGGTCTTGGCGGCATTGTCCAGGGAGATAATTGCCAGAGGTTCATCTCAAGTAGCTGGAGGAGAGAGGCCCGGTGTGGTAGCGGTGCAAGCTCCGAAAACGAACGTCATGTTGATGTATTCTCTTTGTTGAGGCGGCGATGATGGCAGAGATGAACTAAAGTTGGCGCTAAGAAATTCGCTGCCATCATGACAGTTGTGGTGTCTCCCCGTCTGGAGTCGTTCCTGCCTGTAGTTGGCCTTATCCCTTATCGTTGATGGGGAGGGGTTGGAGGGGCCATGACGTCCCCTTTTTCTCGGCTGGGACTGGGCAGCCAATGGGCGCATGTTGACATCGACAAGAGTCCCACCCTCGTGTTGCTTTTTTTCACTGGTTCGGCGGCTGCCAAGAGCGCGAACCCAATCAATTATCAATTGGCACAAAGAGTGCACAGCCGTCAAGGTCTGGTTGTCGTGCGACGCCAATATTTATTTTGTTATTTTTTTCCACAGACGGCCCTCTTCTCCGCTGGAATCGCAGCAACAGCCCAGAGGAAACCAACAACACTAAACCCGGCACTTTGGCGCATTGCTCACGCCGCCCGCAACGTCAGACAGCTCACTTGCGCGTGATGCGACGACTCGTCTCATAAGACGCGTCTTCCCTTGACTGGGGGCCCCGCCGTTAGACCCGACAATGCGGCACCCGACCCGGGATGGTCTTGCCTGGGACGACAATGGTCTCGGCCCGGTCGCGAGGTGGACCAGACAACCCGACATCGAAACCGTCGAGCGTGTATGTCGCCGCGCCCTCAACATCAACCACACTGTCGACTGCAACGTGCACCTGCATGCCAATGGCGAGTTTAGCAAACTTTATGCCGTCGACAGCATCCGCGGCAAGCACATCATCCGCATCTCCCTCCCCGTCGACCCCGGGAACAAGACCCTCGGCGAAGTCTTCACTCTGCGACTGGTGCATCGCATGACCGACATTCCCGTGCCCAAAGTCATTGCATGGGATGAGACTGTCAACAATGAGCTTGGGTTCGAATGGCTCCTGATGGAGATGATGCCCGGCAAGCTAGCTTACTATCGCTGGCGCAAGATGACTGACACCCAGAAAGAGATACTTACCAAGCGCGTGGCAGAGTTCCATACCCAGCTGCTCCGCTGCGGCAATCTGGGTCAGGGTTTCAGATCGATTGGAACGCTGGGAACGGGCCCGAATGCCGACTACAACACCGCAGTCACACCCTCGCCTGGCCCCATTGTTGACAGCGTCTTCTTCTCTGGGCCACGCTCCAGTTACCCTGTGGCCCGTGGCCCCTTTGAATCCAGTCATGACTGGCTTCGAGCCTATCTTGACCTCATCATCACGGAGCACACAAATGCTCTTGCCAAAGCCAAGACTGATGACGACAAGGAACATGCCGAAATGGTGCTCCGGCTGGCTCGCAAACTGCTAAGAATGGTTCATAAGATATTCCCTTCCTTGGTTTTCCCGCCAGAGCATACCGTGCTTTGGCACGACGATCTCTCGTTGAAGAGCCTTCTTGTAGACGACAATGGCCGCATAACAGGTGCGATTGGATGGTATGTATTATTTCCCTATCACCGCTCTTTTTGTGTCAACATGCTGACCGCTACTAGGGAATGTGTATCGACCATGCCACGCTGGATGGCTTGTCAGATGCCTGCATTCCTTCGAGGCGCAAGCCGGAAGCAGAAGCCCAGCAGGGACAGTTATACAAATCTGGCTCCGCGCCCGTCAGCTTCTTCCACTTCTGACGAAGACCACTTGGACAATGAAGGAAAGACGGAGCTTTATTGGATCCACCTGATGGAGTATGACCAGACCCGGCTGCGCGAGGTTTATCAATCTCGAATGACACAGCTCTTGGGCCCTGAGTGGGAGAAGGATGTCGACGAAGCCCGGCTCAAGGTTGACTTTCTTGGAGCAGTGTCTCGATGCGGCACCCAGTTTTATCCTGTCAGAGTAGAACAGTGGGTTGATGCCATAGATCGCAAGGAGTTCATCTCGTTGATGCAAGTCTTGCGTACGGGCATCAAAAAAGAAAAGCGACCCGCGACGCCTAGCGGCAATGCCGCTCCAAGCAAAGTGCACTACGAGAGGCCAGCCAGCAGCACGCCCAGCAGAGTTCAACAAGAGATTCAAAGACACGAAAGGATGCATCTTGCTGGATCAGGAAACCCCACCGCTTCGGTTATTTTCAGGACCGGGAGCCCTACCAAAACGGCCGCGATGACAGGCAGCTGGACTCCATCTAGACCCAGTTCTGTCAACAGCCACCGTCCCACAACATCATGGAGAGGCTCGGTCTCGGGCGTCTCCGGAGCGCATCTGGAAACGCCCCAGAGTCCTGTTAGCGTACATGTCCGTCGAAGGTCGTCGGACGGAATATCATTGACCAGCTTGGAACTGCCCAATCCCAAGAGCCCAGTCAACGTGCATATTCGACGCAACTCGGGGTCAACTTGTGTGTCAACCACCTCGTCCATCGTTTCCGGAACGACCAATTCCTCATCGAAGCTGGGATAGTGTTACAGCGGCAAGGATATTAGGGTGAGGTGGAGAATGAAGAAGCCAGTCAGTGAAGAATGAAGTTGGGGGGGGGGGGGGAAGAAACCTCGAAATTGTCGGATGTTTCATGAAGTTGGAGAGACGGGGAGATATGAATTGTCGGTATGAGTATATGTATATAATTTTTCATCCTTGTCATTTGCATGTTGGTAATTTTCAGATTCAGGGGTCAAATGTCAACAATGCTAGCGTCACACCCCTATCTGGTTGCTATGCTACTGCCTGCTTATCTCCGGCCCGGTGCTGTCACAGGGCTCGGTACTTGGCAAGTGCCTCTGGGCATCTGAGTTTAATACGAACCTGGAAGTGGAATCACCGATCTCACCTTCTGTTGTGGCACAGCAGTAGCTTCCCCGCACTTGTTGACGTACGCAATTCCAATTGGGGACTGACAAAACAACAACTCATCCGTGTTCCAGGTTGCATTCCTTTCTTTTTTCTCCTTTCCATTGACCCTTTATGCCTTTGCTGCTAGAATCACGATTCGACATACAGACATAGAGACCAAAAGATGGAACACGGCATTTTCCCCGACCGGTTTGGGAAGTTCTCCCCGAGCTTCTACTCCCAGGCCCAACGCCGCCGTGAACAGCCACAGCACCAATCAACTGGCGCCAGCGGACACCCAGACGATTCGACAGATCGGACCACCGCCAAATTCTTCCAGCACACATCGGCTCCCCGTATCTCTTCCGACGCTGTCATTGCTGCGTCTCTCAAGCGCCAGTACCCTTCACTTCAATTGACTACCGTGCCCGTGGACAATGTCGACATTCTGGCTTATGCCTCCAGCGTCCCTGACGATGTCGCAAGTTTCCATCAGGTGGAACCGGAGTCCTCTGTATTTCCGGCCGACCTGAAATGGAACTATTACCTCCCGCCCGCCAGGCGACTGGACGGTTCCAAAGGGGGCATTGCCACGGATTTGCACTTTGGCAAGTTCCTGTATCGTTACAAGGGTGCAGAGTTCATTGTGTATCTGGCTGAATGTCGAGACGGATCGAGTTCTTATCCCCCTATCGTCAACTACTACATTCTGTCTTCTCCTCCCGAGGTCCACTTGGTTGAGAGTTTGTTGATGACTGCGGGGCATTCGGCGTTTGAGCTCAAGGACGAGATCTGGGTCTTTGATGGAGGGCGGTGGCAAAAGTCGAGGGAGCTGTTTGACAGCGTCCAAAAGTCGAGCTGGGACAATGTCATCTTGGATGAAGACATGAAGAAAGCGCTGATTGACGACCACACGAGCTTCTTTGCCTCCAGGGGCCAGTATGAAAGGCTCAAGGTGCCTTGGAAAAGAGGACTTATCTACTGGGGTCCTCCCGGGAACGGAAAGACGATCAGCATCAAGGCCATGATGAAGACGCTTAGTGAGAGGGAGGAGAAGGTGCCGTCGTTGTACGTGAGAAACTTTGTTTCGGTGAGTTCTTCCCGTGTAATAGGGTGAAAGGCGACGTCGACTAAGAAGCACTAGTATGGCGGCCCTGAATACGCCATCTCCATGATCTTTGCCAAAGCAAGGCAGTACGCGCCTTGCTACCTGATCTTTGAGGATCTCGACTCGCTGGTGACAGATGGCGTGCGAAGCTACTTTTTGAACGAGATTGATGGTCTCAAGAGCAATGATGGCATCTTTATCGTGGGCAGCACGAACCATCTGGAAAGACTGGACCCCGGCCTTTCGGTGAGTATCTGTCCTGTCTTGGCTGACCGCTTGAGTGTATAACTGACAAGATGGTAGAAACGTCCCTCTAGATTCGACAGAAAGTACTTCTTTCCGGACCCCAATCTGGAGCAGCGCGTTGCATACTGCAAGTTTTGGCAAGGCAAGCTGAAGAGCAACAAAGACCTCGAGTTTCCCGACAGCCTGTGCAAAGCTATTGCCGAGATCACGGACGGCTTCAGCTTCGCCTACATCCAAGAGGCGTTTGTGGCGGCGCTGCTTGTCATTGCGAGAGATTCGGAGACGTTAGATTTTGGCTCCGCCCTGGAGGTGGGATCAGAGGACGACTGGGTCAGCGTTGATGTCCCTGACAGCAATGGTGGTGGCGACGACACCGACTTGGAGAAGCTGATCTTGTGGGTGGAGATCAAGAAGCAGATCGAGATTCTGAGGCAAGGAATGGGGGAGGAGAGGCAGCGGAGGGTTCGGTTTCAGTAGGGAGCAGCTGTGCATGAATGCCTGATAGTAGGTATGGCGGGATGCGAGAGGAGACTATTTAAGGGAGGCAATAGGTTTCTGGAATTAAAGATCCTTTATTTTGAACAGTGCTAACTTTTAATCACTACATTTATACAAAACAAATTCATCTGTCGGCTCCCTCGAACCTTCTTAGGCTGCTGCTATCGCTCATCTTCCTCCTCCTGACACTAATCGAAGACAGTGGCGTCCCACTGCCGCTTCCACTAGCACTCGATGGACGGGGAGATCGCGCACTGGCCAGTTCCCTATCAATAACCACAATATCGCTCAATACGTCCATCTTTTCCAGCGCATCCATGACCTCCGGTGGTGGCTCCGCGCTGAAGATATTCTGAATGTCACCATGCGGATTCAGACCCGCAAAATACTTCCACTTCCGCCACCTGCTGTTGCGGCCCCTTCTGCCACCCCATATCCTGCGCCGCTCCCAGAGTCCAATCAGCAACAGCAAAGGTGCATTGACCGCTCTGATCACGGCAACGTTGACGTGATGGAAAACTACGGGTCCAACAAACCACTTGAGCGGCAGCATGATGAGAAGAGCCAAGAGGTTAAACGGCGGGGGGTATGAAAAGATGGCATCCGACTTGACGCCTTGAAAGGTAAGAACAGCCCGGCGGAACTGGATCTCGGCCGCCTCGTTGGAGATGATCTTGGAGAAGGTGTTGGTCAGGATGGCGACGAGAATGGTGAGGAAGAGAGTGTTGCCCAGGAAGGCAAAGGTGATGATGAGGGTCGGACCGAGAATGATGTGGAAGTCAGAGGCGCGCTCGATGCCGGTACCATCAAGACCGAACCAAATCCTAACCCATGTCAGTAAAGCGAAACAAGACACGCAGGACACGCAAGACACGACAAATGATACGTACCACAAGAGCCACTTTGTGATGGTGGCCCATGTCACACTTCCCTCCAGCTTTTCATCCCCCGTCGTCCTTGCCAGCAGCAAAAGGCCCATCACAAAACCGGCAAAACACCAAATGGCGATAAACGTCAGCCGCGTAAAGTCTCTCATCATGGCATGCAATGCAATAAACACAATGTTGTCCGGCATCAGCGTAAACGCAATCCTCGTCAGCAACACAGGTGCAGCCGTGCAAAGCACAGGCATGGCGTAGAACGCATCGCTACTAATCAACAGCTCCACCGTCCTGACCAGCCCGTACGCCCCATAGATGAACACAAAGGTGATGTCGAGGAAAGACCACAGGTTCTGCGCGTGCACTTCCCATCCATGTTCCACAATGGCAGCAAACTGCTCCAACACCCACCCCGCGGCAAACACGTTGAAGAACGTTTCGTACGTGTTGACATGGAGGCCGGCCAGATGCTTCCCAAACCCATAGTGTGTCACCGTCAGCATGTAAAGGACAAGCAGGACGATAAAGTGCAGGAGCTCGATGCCGTTTCGGATCCGGGGAACGATCAGGCGATGGTGGTTGAGAATGGCCGCACGACGGGGTTCGTACAAGGAGACTGGATGGTGCTTGTAGTGATCGGGCAAGATGTCGACAAACGAGAGGGGGGTGTACACGACTATGCCACGGTAGACGGCATCGACGACGCGCTGACAGGCAGGGGAGCCTATGAACAGCTTGGACTCGGAGATGATGGCCAGCTCGAGACCTGTCAACTTTCGTTCGTGGCCGCCTCGTTCCTGAACAGCCCATTGTGGACGGCGTGCGCGGATGGCTTCAGGGGCTGCGTCGCAGGGGTCAAAGCCGGACACGAGAATGTGGGCCAGCAACAACAGGCCAGATCGACCGGTGTGATCTTCGTGGAAGCGGCGGAGGATGCGGATTGCTAAGAGTTCGCAGAGGGTGGCGCGGGATTCGTTGACGGTTTGTTGAAGAAGCTCGTGGGCGCGGGGACGCAGGAATTGGACACGGTTCGCAAGGAGGGAGTACACGATGGCGGGATCATTGGGATTGTACAGCCTGTCCACCAGTGGCCTCACAACCAGTCTGTCCAGCCGTGGAGCCCTCAGCTCCTCGAGCGTGTAGTTGTCATTGACGGCGGCAATGACGAGCCGGCGAATTCGGTGAATCGTGATATATACGGGTATGGCAGGGTCGGGCCTGGGCAGGAACGAGGCACTCTGACCGTGTCCTCCGCTGTTGTCGCCGCCATCATCTCGACTTGGGCCGCCTCCTCCTTGTCCTCCGCGCGGGACGAGGCGCCTTAGCATAAGCGGCGCCACGGTGTCGTCGTGGTCGTGGTCGGCGTCAAAGAGGATAGCGGATGCTTCGGGATCGTCGCTGTCGCTCAAGTAAGGATCGTCACTCAAGCCACCGTCGTTGTTGTCGAGCAGTCTGCGCTCGGTTCCCAGACCCATTCCGAAGCGCCTTTGCGTGCCTGTGTCACCTGTTGTCAAGATGCATTGGTTTAGTGCTCAGTCGTGAGTGTGGACAGCTCCCAAGAAAAAAGGGCTCGAGGAGAGCAGTCGAAATAAAAGTAAAATGGAAGCCACGATGCGACTGGAAGGAAACAGTGGCAGTGGGCCTAGAGCGGGCTAATTGTTTGCTGTCCAATGTTCACGACAATCCCATAACGTAATTTACCGTTCGCCGCCATCTTGGCAAACCCCTGACGGCCAGCCGAGTCATGCGGACGGGCCGTGCCTTTGATGCCTCCATTCCGGCTACGAGATGCACAAGTAGATGTTGGATGGTGTTTCGTTAATGGAAATTGGAAGTTTGAGGTTGCTGACTTGGCCGGGCATTTTTCTTTAGGAATTTTGCAGGAGCGCCAGGCACAATCGACGTCATTTTTTTCGGTTCAGGGCACGTTGGACCTAAACTGTATTCGGCAGGCGCCACCAAGTCATCACCACCTCGAGTCACCGCAACAAAATTTGTTTCGGCTCTATGAGTGAAGCGTTTCGGGATACACGCACCGGAATGTTCATAGAGTTGACATTTGTAATGTATGTCCTTGAATTGATCCATATGTACATAGTAGTAACGATAGTTGGCAGTGAGAGAGTCCTATCTATGCATGTATCCTGCGTTCCCCCCCATGGAGGACCATTATCCTGAACAGTTGAAGCCTAGGTACAATGTCCTCCTCTGCGAGTGCCCTACTTGCAATCTCAAACCTATCCTTTCAGCTTGCACCCGTCACAAATTCTGTCCTCTAAATATCCTCATATCACCAATTCCTATTTGCTCCTAACATAGTCGCTCACTGAGATGGTCTTAAGTCTCTTTTCAACCCGCCCAAAACACAGACTGATATGGATAAACCCCGACGGAATTTAAGCAACCTGGAATACTACGACAAGTCAGCATCTCATCTCAGTCAGCGATGGCTCCTTATCATGAGGTGTACCCCTGAAGTAAGCACTGGCAAGCTGCGGCTGACACTAGCTCACCGTTAGCGAATCCTTTGCATTGAGCAATAACCCTTTTCAGCTGTAGTTTTCTCATAGTGGCGCGTGGCGTTTAATTACCCGCTGAGCCCTCAAAAAGGTCCACTTCCCACGTTGTTGTTGCTGACACCCTTCAAGCGTTTGCATCGCATTTCTGTCGATATCACATGGTCCGGTAGACCACAATCTACCTTTACCTTCGTTCGTTTCAGCAAACCTCAATCTCAAGATGGGGCGGTTTTCCTCTATCGCCATTTCGGCACTGTTGCTGTCACCTGTCTTGGGCCAGACAGAATCACCTGCGGCAGTTCCAGTCAAGAAGAACCCCAAACGCGGTCTTGTCTCCACGCCCAACGAATTCTTCCCCAGAGATGACTTTATCTGGTCCGATCCTTCATCGCCGCTGTCATGGTACTGGAACTTTGCACCCGATGTCACAGAGGCCTATGCCAACATCTCTCAATCCGAGTTTGAGTTTGTCCCGAGCATGTGGGGCGCCTACACCCCCAACGGCACAGACACATACTTCTTGGGCAACTTGACCGAGAAGTTCTCCAAGCGAAAGCCCTCTCACGTTCTCACCTTCAACCTGCCTGACCAGTCTTTCGAATATGGAGGCAGTGAGATGACCCCCGAGATTGCCGCGAGGACCTGGGTCAACAACATTCTACCGCTCAGGGAAGAACACGGGATCAAAGTCGGCTTCCCGACCGTCTCAGACCCGAGAGGAGGGTGGGTAGATCCTTTCTTGAAGAACTGCTCCAAGATGAATGATGGACACGGGTGCGAGTTTGACTTTGTGCCACTTCATTCATTTGGCGGTTTCGGGACCTTGAAGGACAACATTGGAAAGTGGCAGTCAAAGTATGTGTCGTTGCCCCTACACTAGTAACACGCCGATTAACGCTGAGGCAATAGATTTCCCGAAAAACCTCTTTGGGTTACTGAGTATGGCTTCCATGACCAGAACGAGGCCGAAACCCAAAAGTTCTTCAACGAAAGTTTAAAGTACTTGGAAGAGCACCAGGCAGTGGCACGGTACTCGTGGTTTGGTGCTTTTAGAAAAACAAAGTCGAATGTGGGGGAGGAAATGGCCATGCTGGACCAGCGAGGCAATCTGACAGACATTGGCAACTGGTATCTGGACCGCGCCGCTGCTCTCAGGACCCCAGAGGGTGTTTTGGCGGCTGCTTGCACCTTGGAGAACCCATGTGGTGGAAGCGGAGCGGCTGGAAGGGCGAGCTATGTGGGTGTGGCTGGAATAGTAATTGGGCTTTTCCAGCTGGGTGTCACTTTCTGGATGTAAGCAATGCAGGGTAGCCACGGGCAAGCTTCCCTAATCGTTTATAAGAATTGATAACTAAAGCTGGAAAACGACCATGGACAACGTTGTTTAAAACCGCCCAGAGGTTCACCAGGGCACATTTCTGCCAGAGTGATGAAAATACTCCCCATTGTTTGACTCCTTTAGGCCGTGCAGAATCTTGAGCATATTGCCAACGCTCTCACTGGGCTCGTATATGGCATTTTCCCCGCCCATGTCCGTCTTCACCCAGCCCGGATCCACCAGTGCCACAACTGCCCCTGGGAGGTGCGATTTGATGTCCTCTGCTTGGTGGACGGCAAGCATGTTGAGAGCAGCCTTGCTGATGGAGTAGCCTGCACTCTGTCGTGGCTTGTGGTCAAGACTCACAGCCATGCTTCCCAAACCCGAAGAGATGTGGAAGATTCTCACTTTTGGCGATAGCAGTTTGGCTGTGAGCAATGCCGAAGTAAGGAGAGCCGGACCGAGAACGTTGGCGGTGATCATTTGATGGACAAGATCAGGCTCAAGGTTCAACGAATTCATCTCTGGTTTGAGGTTCAGAGCGGCATTGTGAATCAAGAAGTCTACTTTTTGGTCCGCCAAAATCTTTTGCTTTCCCAACGTTTCTACAAACCGGTTGATCGACTCTGCTGAGGAAATATCGCAGTCCAGTATGATGGCATTGTGATTCTTGGATTCCTCGATCACGGACTGCAAATTGCCGACATCGGAGGTGGGGGAGCGGACACAAGCAACAACGATGTTGGCGTGGTCTTGTGACAGTTGGCGGATGAATTCCAACCCAATACCGCGGTTTGTTCCGGTGACGACGTAGACTGGCATCTTGGTTCGGAGTCGGTTTGTGAATTTAAAACGGTTCTGGGGAAATGGGACAGAACCACAAGGACCCTGGAACAATGCGGAGGGGAGAACATGTATAGATATACCCGGAGTGCTGGGCTCAGTGCCCTGGAAATTGTTCAAGGGCCCCCACGGATGGTACTTTATTTTATCTGACGTCACGAATTTGGCCGAATACTCCTTTAAAAAGTAATGTACACTAGACCGGTTGCTGTTGTTATTATTCGTTGTGGCAATACTTCAAAACTCTTGTAGCCCAGGCATCATTCCGGTGTATTGCATTCTTGTGTTTATCGTGTCCAGTTCCCATCTGGAACTTCAATTCACATGCCGCAGTTGCTCGTATCCTGACTTGCATCCACCTCCAATAGGCCATTCTCATCCGCACTACGTTGCTTACTTGTGTTGCCGTAAAGTGAATCAATGCTGAAACGTGCTCTCCAGACTCTTCAAAAGCTCGCCAAACACGGGCTGCAAAAATACGGTGGCGAAGGAGGCAATGACTGCCACAAGGGCAAGATGCAGTACTCCAAACGACAGCTGCTTCCGTGTCCTCTGCCCTCCATGTGTGGCGCCAGCACCTACCATCTTGGTGAGAGGTACGATCCCGTCTTCCTTGGCTGTCTTTCTGGCAATGTCTAAGCCTGGCAAACCATCTACACTTTCCGAATTCTTGAGCGCCCAGTACCTTTTTTTCGTCAGAAACACTTTAAAACTGTTACGGAAAGAGGTGCGCTTACTTCTCTATGCTCTCCTTGGAATCTCCCTTGTCAAACCTGTCGGCCTTCCTCGCAAAGAATTCGTTCAAGGTTGTTCGCCAATCTTTGAATTCGAAATAAGGGACAGAGAAGCCACAACTGCTCCCAACCTGGTGCACATGGACAAGAATTATGCTTCTTGCTCCGGGAAGGAGCCTGACCTCGTGCTTCTTGACAAAAGTATTGAAGGAGTCTGTTCCATTTTCGAGCACTGTGCCGTGGCCGAACAGGCGGACGATGCGTGGTGGCCCTTCAAATGCGTTGAACATGACGGTTATCCGTCCGTTATTCTTTTCGTACAGATGAGATATGGTCTCATTGCCGGAACCACTGAGATCGAGGTACCAGAAAGTCTTGGTGTCGAGGATGCCGAAATAGGGGCCGCCTTTAGGAGATACGTTGACATGTCCTTCCGGCGACAGAGGGGCGGTGGCCACCCAAAACACTTTTTGGGCCAGTATCCATTTGACAAGGGACTCGGGAATTGTTTCGTAAAACTGCCCCATTGTGAACATGCAATGTGATGACAAGGATATAGAACGGCAAAGGTGGAAACCAAACGGTGGGCACGGCTGACCACAGGTGTTCCTGATCGAGGGACCGTAAATCAGGTAGTTTACCAGCGGCGGTAAATAGAGGGACCGTGGTGCTATAAGAGTTTGAACAAGCGCGCAGAGAATGAAGATAAAACAACCATTACAGAGCTGGAATAATATGAGCGGACAGCGGGAGCTGTTTGGACATTGATAGCGATGAATCACATTGCGACATCGCAGGCAGACAATGCCCTGTAGTAAGACGGAGCAACCTGGAAGGCCTGCCCAAGTGCAACCCAATAATAGGCCGCTAAGAGCCGCCCGCCCACATGGTCCTGGACCACTGGATGCAACGTCATCACTCAGCCCTAACCCTGGGCGGTTCGGTCTCGTCCCAATCAGAGAATGGCTATCGATAAGGTGGGTGATGGGAGCGGGGTTGCGCTGCGTACCACTTTGACATCTGCCCAACGACACAAACAGTGATAACCCGATCTCGAAACGACAGCAAAAGTCATAACCTTTCAGCATCTCATTAAGCATCTTTACCTGCTTCAAGACTCGGGCCGCGATGAAGAGCTTTCTCCTCGGCCTGGCCGGCAAGCCATCACCGGAACCAGAGCCTGCCCAAACGGCGCAAGCTCACGCTCTCAAAAGTGGGACTGACCTGGCCGATGCGATCACCGAAGGCATCAAAAAGCTTTCCACATCAGACCGGCAAAATGATTCTCAAAACGAGCCGGCAGCTAGCAATAGCCAAGATGAAGCCGCAAAAACAAGGACGGCCTCACCAGACGACCAGGAGGATTGGAGCTCGGGTGACGAGACGGTCGTCGAGCAGACAGTTGCACATCCCAGGCAGGACATGATTGACCACATCATGAAGAGCTTGTGTACTTCCCTCGACACCAAAATCACTGAGTTGACTCAGTTCGCCAGTCTCGCCAAAACTGAGAAGGCATTCAGTGTCGCCGACTTGCCAGCAGCTCCCAAGAAGGGAAAGACACCTACGGCGGACAAGCCTCGAGAGCAGCAGGAAGCCAAAGAGACTCTGAAGGAGGAAAAGAAGAGCACCGAGGAGGAGGAAGTACCCAAGCCTATGAAGCTCTCTGACCTGTCCAAATCGAAGAAGCCAACCTCAACGTCTGCAGCTCCTCCTCCACCTCCTGCCCCAGCCCCCGGTGCTGAGCCTGAACAAGACTTTGCCTCGCTCATGCTAACTGCCAAATCTCAACCCTCTGCGGCCTCACCTAGTTTCCCGGCCACCTCTTTTGGCGCATTGCAGTTCGCGAGCATGCCGTTTATGGCCTCGGTCATGACGAATTTCCCCCAAATCGAACCTTCATCTACTCAGCGGCCTTCCCAAAGCTTTTCTCGTTCCATCAGACCGACGCAAACGCCAGCACCATATATCGCACCAGCCCCAAGCTTGCCTCTATCTCCGGCCCCTTCGCCGCCAGCAGGGGATCACCCATCACCACCATCCTCTACAAAAAGGAATGCCAAGCGATCATTGGATGACGAGCTGCAAGGGCCAACAGCAGCTGATTTGAAGCCTCACTTTGGTCATGAAGAGGTCTATTCACGCAGAATTTCGGGTATTTCGGCTCCTTTTGGGTTTGGCCGTCCCAGTCCGAGAGCGCCCACTGTATCCTCACAGATGCCACAGTCGCGACAACTTCATACGGCTCCGCAACCTCGCGCACCCAACTTCCCACCAGGGCCGCCTGCTGCGTCTAGATCGATCCCAAGTGTCGACTCTTTCTTTAACGCCCCTCAACTTCCGAGAGATTCGTTTATTCCAGAGCAAGAATTATCTCCCAAAACGGTAGGTGATGTTGCTACGCATGCTACTGCAAGGCGGCATCTCAGTGAAGCCGAGGTGGAGCCACCCGAAGACCACGACGGGAGACGCAAAAAGGCACGGCGAGCCACGTCTGATAGCCCCGCCGGGCTGATGAGAAGCGGAAACAAGTTTGCCTGTCCCTACTTCAAGCGGAACCCTCGCAAATATCAGAAATGGACGTCTTGCCCGGGCCCGGGATGGGAGGAAGTTCATCGAGTCAAGTATGCAGTTTCCTCGACGTCGATCTCGTGGTGTCTTTTATTAACCAGACAGCAGGACTCATCTTTACAGACGACACAGGCTCCCAATCCAGTGTCCTCGTTGTTGGGACACCTTTGAGGAAGATACTATTCTTCAAAATCATCTCCAACAGGACCCGCCGTGCACCATGCAGCAAAACAGGATTCCACACGAAGGCTTCACCAAGGATCAGGAAAAGAAATTGCGAAGTCGCAAAAAGGCCCAGCCAAACATGACGGATGAAGATAAATGGGTTGAGATCTACATGATCCTGTTTCCAGACGATGATCCGGACTCTGTCCCCACACCATGTCTGTGAACCCCCTCGACCAAACTCCGTGCCGAGTTCTCGCGCTGACAAGTCACAGACTACGATGACCAGGACGACGATAACGCTACCCCTGCCTCGGGCTTGGGTTCTGGTTCGAGCGATCTGGAGGATTATGCAACGTTTCTCAGAAGAGAAATGCCAACTCTTGTTCGTCGTGAGCTCGAGGTGCTCTTTCAAAACGAATCCCGAGATGTTGAGGACAGACTTCGATCCAAGGTGGAAGACATCATGGTCGGTCTCCAACCAAAGCTAATGAGCCTTTACCGCCAAAGCCAAATGCCACTCAGCGAATATGGTCCGCCGCAGGACATTCCTCAATTGCAAATCCCGGCAGATCAACCAGCGCAGTGGGATACTTTGAGCAGCAGCGATCTCGCCACCCCTGCCATGTCGACTGGCACCGGAACAAGCATTGACCTGGGTGCAGGGATGCATCCGACGTCCCCATATCAGCAAATGGCCGGCGGGGAGGGATTTGATTCCACCAATCTCGACTACAGCTCATTAGCAGGTCTCGAGTGGGATGGAAACCAGCTGCACTCCAACACTGGCTATCAGTTTCAACAGCAGGCCCAGAACCTGAATTGGGATCAAGAGTTCAACAAGTTGCTCAGCCCTGTGGTGTATGCTCCGCTTAATGGAGAACTCAATTTTGCCACTGGGTTTCAGGGAAACTTTCAAGGTTCATACCAGGGGTAAGGGGGGTGAAAACATGACCGTAAAACTTTGGGTCAATGGTTATGAGTTTATGACAGCCTTTCTGTATTTTTGTCTGGTGATGAATGATCAGTAGCTGAAGAAATACAACAGCGTACATTTCTTATTTGAGTAGCTCGGGGTCGCATTGCCAGTGTCTTGTTGGTAGCGAAATAGCCGCCGGATATACTACCTTGCCTTGGTGCCGCGTGAAGCATTCAGCTAACACATGGTTGATATTTGTGTCTAGCAATGCTCCCGCTGTGGAACCACTATGGACAGATTGCACTTCTGATATTTGATAACAATGTCCTATCCAGCCGCCCGTGTCTTCGTGTCTATTGAATTTCACCTGACATCAAGCAAGTCAAAATGGCACTCTCAAGCATCTTATCTCTTGTCCTTCTAGCATCGGCAGGCAAGGCGAAACAAACAACAGCAGCTGTGTTTCCCTCTGCAAAACAGCAATGTCCTCATCATCCAGCAGGCCGCTTGGAAACAGCTGCGCTGCTACCGGTTTGTCCACTTCCAGGGCACATTGGCGTCCTGTCCGATGAAAGCCCCAATGCTATCGCGTGGGACTACCCACCCAAGTGCATTTCACCTCCAGCAAAAGACAATACAACCGTCCCAAGAATCGACTGCCTGTTCACTTCGACCACCTTTCGCAATGGCCACGGCATCAGCTTGGTTTCTTCCACACTGACAACATCTCATATTGTCGGTGTTGGTTCATTTGATGATGAGGCCCCTCCGCTTGGGGTGCAGCGCCGCGAGAATCTTGGTTCTGCCTACGAGATTGTCCCGGTGGAAGGGAAAGGGTTGGGTGTTGTTGCCAAGCGCAAGATCAAGCGTGGAGAGATTGTCATGTCTGACTACCCTTCCCTACTTATTGGGACAGGCTTCTTGGGCACCGCACAGCCCCATCATAGGAGACGGATGCTCAAGCAAGCCATCAACCAGCTTCCCGATAAATTGAGGTCCAAGGTCAGGGGTTTATCGAGAGGAGCAGAAAAGTACGAGGTGGACGCCATCTTGGGACCGAATGCCAATACGGTCATGATTGGAGAGCAAGACGGGGAGCAAATGCATGTCGGCCTGTTTGCTGAGGCTGCGAGGATAAACCATGGCTGCAGACCAAACGTTCACTCGAGGTTCTCGGAGAGGAGGTTGACAATGGAGATCATGGCTCATGTAGCCATCGAGCCGGGAGAGGAGATCTTGATGAGCTGTAAGTGCTGGACTATAGGGTATTCAACACACATGCATATTGCTAACTGATATGTGATAGATGTGCCCATCACAACTGTCCGTGATGAAAGACGAAAGTATCTCAAAGACCATTGGGGATTTGACTGCAAGTGTCAACTGTGTACTGGTACGAAGAATGAGATTGAGGAGTCAGAGTTCTATCGACGCCGCCAAAAGAGTCTCAAGGAGAGTATTGAGAGCGCGCGTGCCGAAGGTTCTTCAAGGATGCCATTGTCATGAGCGGCGAGTGGCATGAGTTTAGCGAGTGGGACATGGTTCCCCCTCTTGCGCCTGAGTACCATGATAGCCTGGCAAACTTGCATTACGCAAATGGGGATTTGTTCAATGCGACAAGATATGCGAGGATGGCATATGATGGGTGGGTGAGGTTTGGCAGTGTGGATGATGAAAAGTTGGAGCACTCGAGAACGGTGCTGGCAAAGATCGAAAAGGAGTTTGAGAAGAGTTTGAAGTTTGAGAAGGACTAACAACCAGGCGTGTATATACTTTGGTTGAGATTTAAAATTTCATTCTTCTTGTCTGTTTGTTGATCACCGGAGCCAAAAGTCGTCGCCGAAAGAGAACCACAAAGCCCAGCCACACAGTTTGGTTGTCTACCACATCGACTTATTACAGGAATACCTGTGTCGATCATCACATTTGTAAATATACCTTCCTAATAGACAAATCCCATGCATCGGTTCCGGCACCGGAGGCACGGGACAGATGCAGGAGGGGTTACATTGGTAGCTCAGCTCTACTTTACGTGTATCGAAAGTGACAGAGGCAACCATTGTGTACAACCCTCATGATTCTACAAATAGCTTATGGCCTATGCTGGCTTGCTATGTGTTCTGCCATTGTTGCAATCAGCTTACAAGATCATGCTGTAAGCCACGGGGTACTTGGGGAATGGTCCTAACGCCATGTATAAGGAGCTGATGCACAGGGCTAATTTGTCACAGCATCTCACAACCTGGAAATCAGTGGAGAGCCGACTTGAAGATTTCAGCATGTGGTCTGTTACTGCGATAATCACTGCCACGCTTTTCGCGCAGGTGGCAATAGGTCAACCTCCGAATGACTCCCACTTTTCAGATGTCGATATCGACACTGTGGCTTCAGGGATCTTTGGCAACCGAGGACCATCCACCAAACCAACATCGCGTTGCAAAGCCTTCCCCGGAGAAACCGCGTGGCCATCTGTTTCGGATTGGGCCAGTTTAAATCGCACTCTAGGTGGGGTTTTGCTCAACCCTTCCCCCCCAGCCTCGGTGTGCTATCCGACTTCAGCAAGCTTCAACACCACGGCATGCAACTTTTTGTTTAATGGTGCTAGTCAAAGCACTTTCTGGTTTGATGATCCGGTCACTGTTCAAGGGACCTGGCCTCAGGGTTTGACATGCCCCCTCGTGAGGAACCCTCAAGCTAATGCCACCTGTACGAGGGGAGGTTATCCTGTTTACGTGGTCAATGCTACACAACCAAAACATGTTCAGTCAGCGGTGAATTTTGCAAGAGAAAAGAACGTTCGGCTGATAATCAAGTATGTTTACTTGGCCGTCCTGCATCTGTGTCTGTGCCTCCTGCTGACTGACGCATAGAAACACGGGTCATGACTTTCTTGCTCGCAACATCGGTGCGGGATCTCTGAGCATCTGGACCCATAATCTGAGAGGTTTTGAGTTCATATCAGATTATAAGCAACCCGGAGGACGTTACCGAGGTCCTGCTGCGTGGGTTGGCGCTGGACTACAGGTCTATGACGCGTTTAGATATGCACTGGCGCACAACATCACTCTACCTGCTGCTTCTTGTCTTACCATTGGGTCTTACGGAGGTTGGATATCGGGTGGAGGCCACTCCCCTTTATCATCCAAGTATGGCCTAGGAGTAGACCAGGTTTTGGAGCTCAAGGTTGTGACAGCCGACGGAAAATATGTTACGGCAAACCCGACCAAAAACGAGGATCTGTTCTTTGCTTTCCGAGGTGGTGGAGGCAGTGAGTGTTTTGCGTCTGCTGTACAAAGTATGCCACCGAAGCTAACAGACAAACCAAGGCACATATGGAGTGATAACCTCGGCCATTGTGAAAGCCCATCCTGCCATCAATCTGACCATCGCGTCCTTCAACTTCAATCTTGGCAACACACCTTCTTCGAGCCCCTCCTCAAATCCAACCATTACCAACAGCACTGCATTTTGGCTAGGCTTCAACGCTATCTTTGCTTTTGCAATTCCTGTTGTAGATGCAGGGGGTTATCTCTGGACAAATGGACTGCCTTCTGGTCCTGGCTTCGCCATGCAAGTCCAGGTGCAGATGCCGGGCTTGTCTCCAGGTGAAGCACTTGCTTTTACTCAACCTCTTCTGGATGAGCTGAACGGCCTTGGAATACCTGTTGCAAACATCACCGTCCGCACCCAGGTTTACAGCAGCCAATCGTCGACCGGAGCAGGCGGTGCTCCAGGTGCAGGTGGATATTTTGCTTCTCGTCTGTTCCCGCGGGCGGCATACGTTGATCCTGTCCTATTCTCCAAAGCCATGAACGCCTCACGAGTACTGGTTGAAGCGGGGTATACGTTTCATGGACTCAACATGGCTCCCACGCTCGAAGCAGCAGGCCACCCTTACCCAGCAGGCGTCAACCCCGTATGGAGAGAAAGTGTCATGCACGCTGACATATTCGGATTCAGCAAGCTCAATCTTGGAACAGCCACTGATCAGCAGGTCATTGCAGCCCAGCTTGCTCTGACACAACTGATGGAGCCCCTCAAGGAGGCAACGCCAGGGGGAGGGAGCTACCTCAACGAAGGGGATCCTCATGAGCCGAACTGGCAACAGTCATTCTATGGGGACAATTATTCAAAGCTTGTTAGGGTGAAGAAGACTCGAGATCCTTGGGGTGTATTTTGGGCGCCGACCACCCCGGGAAGTGAAGAGTGGAAGATTGAGGGAGAAGGGGGGCTTTTGTGGAGGCAGAGTGGTCGACTTTGTAGGGTGTAAAGGTGTCAATGTTTGGAACATCGTTTGTTTATTGCGGCATGCTCTTCGAGGGAAACAATTCGAAGATAGGTACCCACTCCACATGAGTGAAAGTTAAGAAGCTGAACTTGACCAGACTCTTGTGTTTTACCGACATGGTATTTCATCTCTGCATTTTCCTCAACTGTCTCCAACCCAGGAGGTGCATTTGGCCGAAGGATTGGCCAATCAATCTTCTCATCCGTCCCACCTGCATTATGTGCTTGGCGACGATGCAACACGATTGACACGTGCAGAAGAATGTGCATTTAATTGACCGTAGCATTCTCTGAGCTTATCCTTGCAAATGGAACCGTCCGCTCTCCGTCCCCCACCTCGGGTATACCGGGCTAGATTGGAAAAGGAAGCAGCTCAACCGTCGTCGATATATGTGGGAACGATGTGGCAGGGAGACATGCCGATAACGCTGGGAATGCTCACTTTATTGGATCCCGTGTAGACGGCCCTTGCCATCGGGGAGGAAGAGATGGAAACTCCAAGACGCAGCAAAACCGAGACCCCGGAAAGATGGATGCAACTCTGTCTTGTGCAAGCACGTGGCAAGGACTCGCCTTGTTCATAAAGATCATCTCCCCGCTCCCACCCAGACGTTATAGTTACTCGCCCCAGGTACCTTGTTTCCCCTGTGCCAAACCACCACCATGGCGACCTTCCAGAAGCTTGCGATCCTCTGCCTCGGTGCTTCCACTGTGCTTGCCGCCCCTAGCGACAAGCACAATGGCAAGAAGACACCCAAGGTGTCGCCCATCAAGCAGATCTCTCTCGGACCGCGCCCCTACTGGCTCGTGGATCAGATGGACGAGGGGCCTCTCAAGAAGAAGCTCGCCTCTTGTTCAGAGAAGAGGATGAAACCCAGCGACTGGAGCATTTCTCACCGTGGCGGTGGCACCCTTCAGTTCCCGGAGCATACCTACGACTCAATTATTGCTGGTGTCAGTGTTGCCCATTCACCCCTTAGGAAGAATCTGTCTAACTCGAGCCCCTAAACAGACCAGAATGGGAGCCGGCATTCAGGAATGCGATGTCACCTTCACCAAAGACCTTCAACTCGTCTGCCGCCATGCCCAATGTGACTTGCACACCACAACCAACGTCGTTTCTCTCCCTGAACTTAATGCCAAGTGCACCACCCCCTTTCAGCCTGCTTCTGGGGACAGGCCTGCTAAGGCCAAGTGTTGCACTTCGGATTTCACTTTGGCAGAGATCAAGACGCTTTGTGCAAAGATGGACGCCTCGGATCCGAAAGCAACAACCCCGGAGGAGTATCTTGGTGGCACAGCAAGCTGGAGGACCGACCTCTACGCCAAAACCTGCAGCGAGGTGCCTACTCTCAAGGAATTCATCTCTCTGGTTGACGATCTCGGTCTCAAGTTCACGCCTGAGTTGAAGGCCCCCGAGGTGCCCATGCCCTTCAATGGCGGCAACTACACCCAGGCGGCTTATGCCCAACACATGATTGATGAGTTCAAGGCGGCCGGTATCAAGCCAGAGAGGGTGTGGCCACAATCTTTTGTGTATGAGGATATCCTGTACTGGCTAAAGGCTGAGCCAAAATGGGGAAAGCAAGCCGTGTTGCTGGACGAGAGCGGCGATGAGCCAGGTACATTCCCCTCTGCTGTCGCGAGGCTCAAGGAGTACAAGAAGGCCGGTGTTAGGATTGTCGCTCCTCCTCTGCCCTACTTGGTCACCGTTGATAAGAAGGGGAAGATTGTGCCCAGCAGCTATGCCATCGAAGCCAAGAAACAGAAACTCGACATCATTACGTGGAGCTTGGAGAGGAGCGGTTGGCTTAGTGACGGCAGCGGAGGAGGATATTACTATGCAAGCGTGGCCAATGTGACCAACGGCGAGGGAGATGTGTACAATCTGTTACATGTGTTGGCTCAGGATGTGGGAGTCATTGGCGTCTTCTCTGATTGGAGTGCCACGGTCACATACTATGCCAATTGCTTCGGCCTGTAGTCGACCAAGCAACATACACGAGTATGAGCGAACTTGATCATATGTTGGGCTGGCGACCTAGGAAAGTCACTGGCTGCGAAAATGAGGCTAAAATGGCCAAAAAATGGTAAGCAAATTGGTATTACAGTAGTTGT